GTTTGGATAGTCGGATCAAGCTAAATGTTATTGAATTGTGTTTGGCCATTCGAATTACGTTTGTCCTGAAAGAATTAGAACTGTAGCTTCTCAGATGACCGAGATATGAAGCATAACGAGTTTATTCATTACGTGTGATCAGGTGATTGGTTTACCTAATCACGTGATAAGGTGACCCCGTTAACTACCCCGTTAAACATTATGGGAATTATAGACAGTTTTTGGGTTTTTCCAAATAGTTTCTGATTATTCTGATTTGCGACAAATGATATTGCACTGTTAGGATAAACGACGTTTCAAAGTAACAACTTCTTATTCATGCTGACAAAATTGGTAAATACGTGAGAAAAATGTCTCATAAAATTTATTAATCAAAAATGGCTAAACGACAACAAATTGTTCAAATACTCGACTAAAAATAGAATCAAAATCTATATATATACAACACTACTCGATCTGCTATTCAATAAACTTAAAACATCCACTAAACAGCAAGTACGTGATTGTGATCGTGTGATGGAATGACATGTACAGTGATAACAGATGATTTAAGATGTAAGTGATAACAGATGATAAGGTAAAAGATACAATACATGTAAGATGGTGTATACACAATGTGAGTGAAAATATAGTGAGTGGTTACTGATTGTGAGCGAGATGTGAAAAAACATTAAAACTTACTACTGCTAGAAAACTTAAACTGTATGCAATAAAAAGGGAATGAAACTAAAATATCTAAAATTCTTCAGTACTAGCTATGATAAAACGTTTAATAGTATCCAGTTCTTCTCTCTTGTTAATTGTAGGGTTCAGATTAATAATAAACATCGCTTCAAAAATCTTTCTTCTGACAGTATTGGGTTCAATTCTTAAAATATCTACTTCTAAACTGGGATTTAACCCCTCATGACAGCTCGAATAATGTATGGCAAAAGCTTGACTAACATTAGAAGGGGTAGCAGGGTAGGTAGCGTAACGTAAGTGTTCTCCTACACGAGCATGTACTTTCCTACTGGTTTCTCCAACGTAAAGCTGGTCACATAATTTACACTTAATCTTATATACAACATTCTTCACTTCACAATCTTTATTACAAACTATCAAAGGACAAATTTTACATGAATTAATACTGCACACACGTTTATCATACGGTCTGTTACTACATAAAATATTTCTCAATTTCGAAGTAGGTTTAAAGTTTACTTTAATAGGTAAATTGTTCTGCTTTACATAATTTCTAATCTTATTGCTAGTACTGTCCGAAATAAAATCTAAATTAAGAACTGTCCTGGAATCATCCTCAACACTCTGACGCCTGTTAGAATTACTACTGTTACAATAACGTCTTGGGTTCTGGTAACCGTTTTTCTGTAATAGATCATCAAGGAGTCTGAGAGAGTGCTCCTTTTCCGCTGGACCAGATGAGATACGGCAAGCCTCGCTATATAGGTTCTTCACTGTATTAATCTTAACAGACTCAGGATGGCAAGAGTTGTTGTGCAGGGTAATATCCTTTTGTTGCGGCTTGCGGTACAATCTGCTGGTTAATTTACCGTTTGGCTCGATCCGGACCTCAGTGTTCAGGAAGGGGATAAAATCGTCCTGTTGTTCTGGAAAGTCGACCTCCCACTTCAACTTTTTGTCCGGATCTTGGTCTGAAATCTGTTATGGGAATTGTTAAAGGTGCCCAATTAAGGTGTCGTGTCACGGTGTCACATAATCACCCAGTCAATTTTGTTAACGAGATACACAAAATGCTTAATAACTTCGTCATTTCTAATCCGTTTTGCCTCATGTTTTCAGATCATATGCAACATTTGATAATCTACCGTCTCTGACAAAAATTAGGCGTTCAGCATGTTCAGAGAGAACAATATAGGTGTTTTAATATTGAATGGGCGTGGTCTAAAATATTCGAATTTTCAAATTTTGACGACGGAATCCTCGAACCAGTAAGTACAGTATGCCATCTGCAAAGCAACAGCTCTCAAATATAAAACACGGCGGAGGTATAAGACCCAACGTTTGCACACTGACTTTTGGCCCACCCTGTAGTAATGTTTAAAGTGGCGAATCTTTGTGATCTGCGTATTAAAGTGAAAACGTCCCTACAATGAATATAGAAGAGGGAGAGAAGGTAGGAGACAGATACGAGATTAGAAATTAAGTATTCAGAATAATATTTTGATTGGCTAATGCAGCTTCTAGGAAAGCAATCAAAATTATAATTAAAATAACAATGTGGTCGTGAAAGACATTTAAATTTATAATTAAAAATTGCAGTAAGAAACTTGTCTTTAGCTCAGAAAAATAATTGGGGCCGTATCTTGCACTGTTTTCAAGATTTTTAACGGAAATAGCACCGTACAAATAACTAATATTACATCTTTGCTAGTTAGTTGTTGTTGATGTACCTACGCCCTGGGTACGACCTGCTGGATATCCGGCCGGGTAGCTTGCTGAATTTTATTTGTGGGATTTCCAATAAGGTCCGCGTGGGGTGGAATTTGGCTGGTGGTCTAAAAATAATACATTCAGTGTAGACTATAAGCCACCAATAAGGTAATGACAGAGCTTGGTGGATAAAAATACCAGATCTCCTCAGTCCTAAGTCCTCATACTTCTTAGAAAGGCGCTCCCTTCGCGTGTGACGTGATTCCTACTGGATCCATGGAGTTTTGGTAATTACAATGTTAATTTTTTATAGTGTGCTACTGATACTCAGCCGTTTCTTTGAGTATCTGCGAGAAAATCTTTCTATTAGAGACTTTACGTTATCACAGTTAATTTTCCACTCGATTACTTCACTGATATAATGCACAGCTGACAATTTTTATAACTTCATTACAACATGCCTAGAAGTGAGCATCAAGCTGAGCCGTAGACATAAAGCAGAGACCTTCAGTTCTTTCAGCAAAGGCAACGTGCCCACCCGAGTCCTCCAATCAGAGCTTCGGATTTGCTGGCACTCATTTGACCTTTCGTTGCGGGGATTAACAGACGAATCTTAGTGTTCAGCAATGACTTTCAAGCAATTTCAGGAGTTCCAACTATCGACGGATGGCTTCACCTGTTCATATCAATTACTCCTGTAAAATAGGGGGGCGTTCATCCGCTACACAAGCGAATTTCTTTGATGCAATTAGTTCGACCACCCTCATCACTCGGGCCTATACAGGACCACAAGCTGGTGGCACTCCCACTTTCTCACGGGACTGTCACGTGACGCTTATCTTAAAGCTGCCAGCCTCCACAAACGGGCCACTTCTTATATATAACAAAGGGAACAGCCGTTAATAAGACCAGCACTGTTACTCTGTTATGATTGTTATGTTGGGGGACTTAGACGGTATCAGGTACAAGTTTACTGGCAATATAGTGGCCATCCGATAAAGCATTGCTATTGTAGCTACATCGTCTTTAACTCCATTTGCGGGCTGAAATTGTTATCAGCGAAAGGTCACTTTTCGGTCAATTTCGTTCAATTTTTTGTGATTTTATGCCGTTGCCGGAGAGATACAGTTTACATTATTGATATGATTTTTTTATATAGCGTACAGTTGAACTGTTATCAACTTGGCCATTCAACTGGTTATTCAACTTGATGGCATCCCAATAACGTGCCAAATACAATCACAAATTTAATTGCATACCCTACGTAAATCAAAATATCAGTTGTTGACAGTAGCTAAAAAAGTTATCAACACCAAGAAGAGGACAGGAAATTATCCTAAAACGGCAGGTTTTAGGATATGTAGCTACGATAGCAATTTTAGAATTTTGATTTAATCCCTAGATGATTTGTAATTAACGATGCAGGCAAAAGTGGCTGTTATAATGCCATTATTCTAATATCTATATTTCTTCACCTCCGACGTTAATTGTAAGAAATCTGAATCCTAAATGAAAATTCTAAAAAATGCTATAACAGCTGCCTATCCTTTTTATAAAACTGTGCTAAAAATCGCGAGTTGTCAAATGTCAACTCCATTTGTGAGCTGTAACTGTTTCATCCGGAGGGTCACTTTTTGGTAAATTTTCAGTGTTTTTAGCGGTTGCCGGGGAGATTTCGTCAAGTTAAAAATATGTAGATGGCTGTACGTGGCAGTATCTGGAAGCTGTATTATCCGTACTTTTTAAAACATAATGCTATAAGGTTAACTAAACCGTCCGATTCCCTAATCGCTGGAAATTTAATAGGTAGGTCAATTTATGTAAGTTCGCTTTTTGCTTTTACATTTTTTACAATTTTAAGAACAAATCAAATAATAGGGGCTGCTTTCAACAACTTTCCAACGTAATTCAAATAGTTGTCTGGAGCATGCTGATTGAGATGGCCATTTCCTAATTTGTCATTTACTACTGAAAATTGTTGCAATGTAACCTGTAAACCTGTAAACCTCGCACTGTGACAATTATATTGCTACGGCAGTCGGCACTATAAATTATGTTATTGTTATTATTTCATATTCATTACAATAGCCCTGTATATTCATGGACTACTTAGTACTTAATGCTACGGCACTATAAATTATATTGCACCTGAGTCCTGACGATGTGAGCGGGATTGTTGCCAGGTGCAGGATAATCTTTTGATCCATTTAACTCATTATGGTGGTTTTAAAGGACGTGGTCAGGCAAAGATATATTAATCGATTTAACATCCCAACTTCAGGGTATATCAAAAAACTGTCTGATTGAGAATATATAGTGGTCTTCTCTTGATTATCAAATGATTTTGTTGCATTTCGCTAAAGTTATATTAAATTTCTCGCGGCTAAAGTTGCCATTGACCATTGCAGGATATTTCTCTAAATCCTACCCGGAGTTTTTTCTCCGATGATATAGAAGGGGGGGGGGCTCATGTTTTTTTGTCCGTTTTTGTCCGTTTGGCAGCTATATTTTCAAAACGGACAAAAAATAAAGCGGACAAAAACGGACAAAAACGGACAAAAACGGACAAAAAATAACAAAAATTGAAATAACATTTAGATGCTTCCTCCTCCTCCTCCTCCTCCTCCTCCTCCTCCTCCTCCTCCTCCTCCTCCTCCTCCTCCTCCTCCTCCTCCTCCTCCTCCTCCTCCTCCTCCTCCTCCTCCTCCTCCTCCTCCTCCTCCTCCTCCTCCTCCTCCTCTTCCACCTTCTCCTCCTCCTCCTCCTCAGCCATCCTCCTCAGCCATCCTCCTCAGTCCTCCCCAGTCCTCCTCCTCTGCAGTCCTCATCATCCTCCTCAGTCCTCCTCCTCCTGGGTCCTCCTCCTCCTCTTCATCCTCCTCCTCTTCCTCCTCAGTCCTCCTCCTCATCCTTTTCGTCAGTACTCCTCCTCCTCAGTCCTCCCCCAGTCCCCCTCCTCCTCCTATTCAGTCCTCCTCCTCCTCCTCCTCAGTTCTCCTCCTTCTCATTCCTCCTTCTGAGTCCTCCTCCTCCTCTTTCTCCTGAGTCCTCCTCCTGGGTCCTCTTTCTCCTCCTTCTCAGTCCTCCTCCTCATCCCTCTCAGTCATCCTCCTCAGTCATCCTCCTCAGCCATCCTCTTCAGCGATCCTCTTCAGCGATCCTCCTCAGTACTCCTCAGTCCTCCTCAGTCCTCCTCAGTCCTCCTCCTCAGTCATCCTTCTCCTCCTCCTCCTCCAGGGGGGATCCTGTTTTTTATCCGTTTTTTCCGTTCGGAACACTATATTATCAAAACGGACAAAAAATAGAGCGGACAAAAACGGACAAAAACGGACAAAAAATAACAAAAATGGAAATAATATTTAGATGCTTCCTCCTCCTCCTCAGTCTTCCTCAGTCATCCTCCTCCTCCTCCTGAGTCCTCCTCCTGGGTCCTCCTCCTGAGACCTCCTCCTCTTGGGTCCACCTCCTCTTCATCCTCCTCCTCTTCCTCCTCAGTCCTCAGTTCTCCTCCTCAGCTCAGTCCTCCTTCTCAGTCCTCCTCCTCATCCTTTTCCTCAGTCCTCCTCCTCAGTCCTGCCCAGTCCCCCTCCTCCTCCTATTCACTCCTCCTCCTCCTCCTCCTCCTCCTCCTCAGTCCTCCTCCTCCTCAGTCCTCCTCCTCAGTCCTCCTCCTCCTCAGTCATCCTCCTCAGTCCTTCTCCTCCTCAGTCCTTCTCCTCTTCCTCCTCCTCCTCAGTCTTCCTCATATTCCTCAGTCCTCAGTTCTCCTCCTCAGCTCAGTCCTCCTTCTCAGTCCTCCTCCTCATCCTTTTCCTCAGTCCTCCTCCTCAGTCCTGCCCAGTCCCCCTCCTCCTCCTATTCACTCCTCCTCCTCCTCCTCCTCCTCCTCCTCCTCAGTCCTCCTCCTCCTCAGTCCTCCTCCTTCTCAGTCCTCCTCCTCCTCCTCAGTCCTCCTCCTCCTCAGTCATCCTCCTCAGTCCTTCTCCTCCTCAGTCCTTCTCCTCTTCCTCCTCCTCCTCAGTCTTCCTCATATTCCTCAGTCCTCCCCCAGTCACCCTCCTCCTCAGTCCTCCCCCAGTCACCCTCCTCCTCATCCTCATCCTCCTCATCAGTCCTCCTTCGCCTTCTCAGTCCTCCTCTTCAGTCCTCCTCCTCCTTTTCCTGGTTCCTCCTCCTCAGTCCGCATTCTCCTCCTCAGTCCTTCTCAGTCCTTTCCCCAGTCACCCTCCTCCTCATCCTCCTCATCAGTCCTCCTTCTCCTTAGTCCTCCTCCTCAGTCCTCCTCCTCCTCCTCCTGGGTTCTCCTCCTGGATCCCTCTTCTCCTCCTCAGTCCTTCTCCTCCTCCTCAGTTATCCTCCTCCTCCTCCTTCTCCTCCTGGGTCCTCCTCCTTCTGCTCACCAGTCCTCCTCCTCAGTCCTCCTCATCCTCTTCATCCACTTACTTCTCCTCCTCATCAGTCCTCATCAGTCCTCCTCCTCCCAAGTCATCCTCCTCCTCCTGGGGCCTTTTCCTGTGTCCTCCTCCTCCTGGGTCCTCCTCCTCAGTCCTCCTCCTCTTCCTTCTCCTCAGTCCTTCTCCTCCTCATCTCAGTCCTTCTCCTCTTCCTCCTCCTCAGTCTTCCTCCTCCTCAATCCTTTCCCCAGTCACCCTCACCCTCCTCCTCATCCTCATCCTCCTCATCAGTCCTCCTTCGCCTTCTCAGTCCTCCTCTTCAGTCCTCCTCCTCCTTTTCCTGGTTCCTCCTCCTCAGTCCGCATTCTCCTCCTCAGTCCTTCTCAGTCCTTTCCCCAGTCACCCTCCTCCTCATCCTCCTCATCAGTCCTCCTTCTCCTTAGTCCTCCTCCTCAGTCCTCCTCCTCCTCCTCCTGGGTTCTCCTCCTGGATCCCTCTTCTCCTCCTCAGTCCTTCTCCTCCTCCTCAGTTATCCTCCTCCTCCTCCTTCTCCTCCTGGGTCCTCCTCCTTCTGCTCACCAGTCCTCCTCCTCAGTCCTCCTCATCCTCTTCATCCACTTACTTCTCCTCCTCATCAGTCCTCATCAGTCCTCCTCCTCCCAAGTCATCCTCCTCCTCCTGGGGCCTTTTCCTGTGTCCTCCTCCTCCTGGGTCCTCCTCCTCATCTCAGTCCTCCTCCTCTTCCTTCTCCTCAGTCCTTCTCCTCCTCATCTCAGTCCTTCTCCTCTTCCTCCTCCTCAGTCTTCCTCCTCCTCAATCCTTTCCCCAGTCACCCTCACCCTCCTCCTCATCCTCATCCTCCTCATCAGTCCTCCTTCTCCTTCTCAGTCCTCCTTCTCAGTCCTCCTCCTCCTCTTCTTCCTGGTTCCTCCTCCTGGGTCCTCCTGATCCTCCTCAGTCTTCTTCCTCCTTCTACTCCTCAGTCCTCCTCCTGCTCAATCCTCCTCTTCCTCCTAAGTCCTCCCCTCCTCAGTCCTCCTAAGTCCTCCCCTTCTCAGTCCTCCTCCTCATCAGTCCTCTTCACCAGTCCTCCTCCTCAGTCCTCCTTATCCTCATCCTTTATCTCCTTTCTCCTCCTCATCCTCCTCATACACCTCCTTCTCCTCATCAGTCCTCCTCCTCACTCCTCAGTCCTTCTCCTCCTCCTCCTCCTCCTCGTCCTTAGTCCTCTTTATCAGTCCTCATCAGTCCTCATCGGTCCTCATCGGTCCTCCTCCTCCCCAGTCCTCCTCATGGGGCCTTTTCCTGGGTCCTCCTCCTCTTGGGTCCTCCTCCTCTTGAGTCCTTCTTCTCCTCCTCCTATTCATTCCTCCTCCTCAGTTCTCCTTCTCAGTCTCACTCCTCCTCAGCCCCCCTCCTCTCCCTCCTCAGTCCCCCTCCTCAGTCCCCCCTCCTCCTTTTCCTCTCTTTCATCTCTCAATAATTTGTTCAATTTATAATTATTGTTGGTGTTATTGTTAACATAATTTATTGTTATATACTAAAATGTTTTTAAGCGCATTTGAGTCTGACTCAAAATGTGCTCAAGAATCTTTGTGTTTAACAAAGTTTTACTCTCCAGTAATAAAACTTTTCATCCCTTTTTATGTTATTAAAAAATGTGTAGACTATTCTTTGTGCCTAATTGAAGATTAAAAGTTTGAGAAAGGACCATGGTCATTAACCGGGCTACCCATTTCTGCAGATAGCCTGTTACAAATTGTGGAGAAAATTTAAATCAAAAGTTACAATTTTTGTCCGTTTTTGTCCGTTTTTGTCCGTTTTTGTCCGTTTGGCAGCTATATTTTCAAAACGGACAAAAATTAACGGACAAAAACGTACAAAAACGGACAAAAAATAACATGATCCCCCCCCCCTATAGAACAACAATTATGAGACTTTTCATTATGATGTGTCTACGTCCGCGCAAAATTGAAGTCATTGAGATTTTGGGATGTACGGACTTCAAATCTGATGATAATTGCATTTCCAAATCGTTCTATAAATAGATTTCAGGAATTTCTGAAAGTAAGCCTGAAAACGTCCACCCGGTCCTGTAAGCTCCACCCGGTCCTGTAAGCTCCACCCGGTCCTGTAAGCTCCGCCCGGTCCTGTAAGCTCCACCCGGTCCTGTAAGCTCCACCCGGTCCTGTAAGCTCCACCCGGTCCTGTAAGCTTCACCCGGTCCTGTAAGCTCCACCCGGTCCAGTAAGCTCCACCCGGTCCTGTAAGCTCCACCCGGTCCTGTAAGCTCCACCCGGTCCTGTAAGCTTCACCCGGTCCTGTAAGCTCCACCCGGTCCTGTAAGCTCCACCCAGTCCTGTAAGCTCCTCCCGGTCCAGTAAGCTCCACCCGGTCCTGTAAGCTCCACCCGGTCCTGTAAGCTTCACCCGGTCCTGTAAGCTCCACCCGGTCCTGTAAGCTCCACCCGGTCCTGTAAGCTCCACCCGGTCCAGTAAGCTCCACCCGGTCCTGTAAGCTCCACCCGGTCCTGTAAGCTTCACCCGGTCCTGTAAGCTCCACCCGGTCCTGTAAGCTCCACCCGGTCCTGTAAGCTCCACCCGGTCCTGTAAGCTTCACCTGGTCCTGTAAGCTCCACCTGGTCCTGTAAGCTCCACCTGGTCCTGTAAGCTCCACCCGGTCCTGTAAGCTCCACCCGGTCCTGTAAGCTCCACCCGGTCCTGTAAGCTCCACCTGGTCCTGTAAGCTCCTGATCTATGAACAATGAATGATACCATTCGTTCGGGGCATGAACAGTCGCAATATATTTTTAGAGAGCTTGAACTATAACGTTCTAACGTCAATCCAATATTGTCCAATATCTTTCGATGGGACCAGTTTATTGGCTCAAACTTTGACATCGGTGCCCATTTACCGGAAATAAATTTTATTGCATTTGGTTCCCAGGGGTGATGCATTGGTGCAGTAAAACTGCCAAGTACTGGATTGTGCATATATTGTATTCGTGCCGTCTTCTCCACCTTTAATTATCTTGAATCAATAGTCTCATCCTTGGTTAATTAATTTTCCGTGTTTCAAAGAGTTAGAATTATAAATATATGATTTGTGCCGTAAAAGTGTTTAAAAAGGCGCCTTGTCGATTAGTTCATAATTTTCTACCATTGTTCTGGCAGGATGACTGGCGCTAGTTGAGCTGGTCATGAGCAATTTTCAGGCAGAATATTCGATATCGTAACTTTAAAACTATAGATTATCACACATTGTGTCTATATATGAAGCTAAAACTATAGTATTATCTAACTTTGACAATAGCTTTAAGTATAATACATATAATCGTAAGTCGTGACTAAGTCTAAAGTGGTCCACAATTTCAATCTCTTGAGGAATTGCGATCTAGCTAGACGAGTTATTCACTTGCCAATATTCACCCTGGCCCTCTAAAATTTTGTAAAAAAAACTAAAAATCTGTAGTATTTAATTTAAGTCCCTGCGTTATCAACTTGCCATCTGATAATAATAATAATAATGATTATACAGCATTTATTTATCGTGTATTACATTGTAGTATGTAATAAACATTTGTAGTAGTGTAGGATTGTTTGAATTTCTTTTTGCTAGGTTTTATAATATTTATTTGTATAATTTGTGATTGTTTCTCCCGGTTTTCTTCCCTTGCGTAGCAAGCCCTGTCTCTTGTAAAAACAACCTCGAAAGATTTGTAGATACACATAGTCTCTACACCTTTACCCTCTGGTCCCTAGGGTCAGCTGATCCCGGGCCAGAGGAAAACTACCGACTGCCAAGGTTTGACGCCTAGGCAGTCGAGACCTCTTATTGAGACCCTTTATAATAATAATAGGTCATATAATATGCACTATGTGATTGTTTCTCCCGTTTTTCTTCCCTTGTGTTGCAAGCCCTGTCAGTGTCTCTTGTGAAAACAACCACTTTTGTAGATACACACAGTCTCTATAGTCTTTATCCTCTGGTCCCTAGGGTCAGCTGACTCCGGGCCAGAGGAAAATTACCGATTGCCGAGGTTTGATGCCTAGGCAGTCGATACCTCTTATTAAGACCCGATATAATAATAATGAACTTTCTAGGTATATTTTTAGGAAGAAAATGTGTTCTAGATTTGTCTTTCCTGATTTAAAAAGTAATTCTTCTAGTTCGTTCTGATGTTTTCGGTGTTACGTCATGAAAAACGTTTGACCCTAACCATTATGGGCATTACGCCATAAATCTCATTGCACATAGCGATACCAATTACGCAAATCTGATAGAACGAATAAATATATATAAACGAATAAATATATATTTTAAAAAAGTGTGGTTAAAAAAGTGCGGTGTAAGGTCAATAGTGCGATTCTGCACCCACCAGCCCGGTCGGCAAAGAAGTATTCGTGCTACGAAAGCAGGAGTACTTCTGACGGTTTGATTCGCCATTGACTTGGAATAAGTTCATTGTCCAAGTTGGACTTTAACCTGGTCCTCTACTCTTCTACATATTATAAAATATTCACCCTTTTTCATTCAACTCAGGCATGTCATAACATGAGATTGTATGGCATCTCCCCTGTTGCAAGGGGGTAGTCTTATCCTTATAATTACGTTCTCTATCCAGGCTAGAATTGATTTGATTGAATAGAGTGAGATTAATTGTCCGAATGGGTTGAATATTCCGTTCGTATAACTCATGTCACAGCACACAAATCCATGTCCAGATCGAGCGACGCCTAGATGGTCACGAGGATATTACTTTAATTCAATAGGGGGGAAATGATCGGTTTCATGGTATACCCATTAGTGAATTATGTATAAGGGTCAAAGGTCAACATCATTACCGATGATTGGTATTGCTCTATCCTTGACTATACCATGAAAGTATTTCAAGTGTTTTTTTCTGTTCAGTTCCGACTTCCGTCCATTTCCAATTCGTCATCGATGCTTTGTCGATTGTCAGTGAATGAATCTTCTTCGAGCAACAACTCATCTAATCTATATCTATACCAATATTTTACCGTGGAGTTCAAATGAGCTGTACTGGAGATTACCATTAACTCTAACGGTGTTTGATCTTTGATGTATTGCGGAGTTCGTTTGAATTGCCGTTTAATTGAGGTTAAATGCCATCAAAAACGTTTAGATTCAAAATCTCTCAGCCAGCTTGGGAAGTTTTTAAACCATCTATTAATGCTTTTCAAACAAAGTTACAACGAATTCTTCATGTAGTGCATCCTGGGTTTGGACAGGATATGCCCGTTTAAAATATTTCCATCACGTTACATCATAATTCTCAATAAATGTAATAGATTTGTAGTGTTGTAATATGTTTTAATAAGATTTTTTAAATTCAGTAAAATCCTCCTCTCCCCATTAAAAAAGTAAAAACTAACGAACCTATCGACTAGCGCTTCAAATCACTAAATTCTAATAAATTTAAAATATTATAAGTTAGCTTCCTTGCCACTAATCGAGCATTTCTGAATGTCAGACCGTAAGACCTGTTCACTGGTTCGCAGTTCAAGGCTTATTTGGTAGACCTTTATATATTGATGGTTACATCATTAATGGATGAACTATCTCCGGCTCAACTAATTCATGAAGGTCTCGCAAACTTCGCATTAGCTTTGACACACCTAATCCTCTAAACAGTAATCGGACAGTGCCAAGAGCAGCGGTGCATTTTTAGTGATAGCTCTGGAGGCCCTTGTGAAAATGACAGATATTTCACAATCCAGCAATTTGAGTAATATGATTGATCTCTGGTATCTTTTGGAGCTATTCTCAGTTAATTTGGACGAGTACGGCATGGGCAACTAAAAATGGGTGATCTTGGCTTGCTCTAACGTCAAGCTTAAACCCACTGTTACCCCCTAACCCAATAACTGTTTTGATCAAATTCCTGCCCTACAAACTTCAGTTTAGATTCAATAAATGCCGCGTCAACAGCTTATTAAACAAATTATATTGACAGCGTGACGTCCAGATCCTTCGAGGTTGTTGCCCTAAATGTATGAAATTGTAATAATTACAGGGGTTATCATGTGATAGACTCGTCATATCTAGGTGGCGGTCACGTATGTTTTAATAGCACATATTCAGTCCAGACCCATATCCGCTTTCTATGTCCACTTTCAGTCTAGATAAAATGATCTGCGTGGTAAAAGGTTTACTAGCGAGCACGTGTCGAAACTAACGCGTTTATTGCGAACGCCCCTATAGTGCCCGTTTAGACTTAGTGTGCTGGAGAGTCGCTAGCAGTTGTATTAGTTTTGTGTACTATTCATAACTTTATTAATTAATTAGTTCAACTCGAATTTGTAGCCTCTGCCGGAAGTAGACAATCTCGGACGGAGCTCCTCTTGGAAGGATATTTTCTGCTATTGTTAGAGAGAAATCTCCTCTGAATGATCCTCTTTTTATGGGCTTCCTATTGGAGGGCTCCCTATTGGCTAAAGCAATCGTTGCAGCGCTGTCGCGAGGTTAACTTTGCCAACATACGCATGAGGTGATTTATGAGTTATATTATAACTACCGTTGCAGACAGCTAATAGTAATTATGATAGCGCCTTTTGATGCAAACGTCAACTGCGTCTGTACTCTGATTTTGTCGACGTCTTTGGATATCATCCAAGTTCCAACCCTTCTTTGATCCTGAGTCCTTGTTTTTGATATTGATAATATTGTTCGGACAAGCAACCTTTCTCAAGGTGTTCTCAATCCTTGCCAAGGTGTCGTTCATTATTGTCTTGACCAGGTTTAACTTTAACGGAGTCATTTATTATCGCATTTCGGTGTCGAAGTATTTTTAACATTGGTGGCGGGAAAATTCAGATTCTGATCAGATGACTTTCTTTGATAATTTTTAAAATTTCCATTCAAATTTCAATAGAATAAAATGGATTACAAAATGGTTTAAGGTGTCCAAATTATGTTTAATTTTTAAATTTCAAGGCTCTTTGGAGCCATTCACCCACGCAGCGTAATCAATGATGTAACCAAGAAGGGATCGTGGTATCGTCTCATAAATTGCATCCATCGAAATGTTCTATTTCAATTTGTCATTAAGTTTCTGGATTTAAAAAATATCCTCTATGCAGCGCCTAGATGAATGGCAGATGCAGAAATATGCAATTAATTCATTTCTCTTCTTAAAAAACCTGTACATAATATTCGATCACACTTTATCCGGGCTTTCTTTCCTGAGCTAAGAAGCATGCCTTCAGTGATTTTTGGTGTCGAAAAGTAAATTTTGTGTCCAATGATTACTAATGGGGGCCGGAGTAAGAGTCCAGAGCACATGTGTTCTTACATGGATGTTACTGGTTTCCCCAATCATATGGTGCAGTCAAATTCTGTTTACCTGTGCCTGCCCTACCCAGTCAAACATTTTCCCAGCCTAAATATTTCCAGCTTTATTCAAGTTTCCATGTCGTATACTTTTGTATTATTTGATGAACGTTTCGAATCAAATCAAGAGGTTGTGAGTAAGGATTTTCATATGCTTTAGATGTTCGAGTACTGATTGAGTATCCTCCAAATAAAACCAACCCCTTTTATTTAAATATCATGATAGCAAGTTTTATCGTTTTATAACGCATTTTAAGCCAATTAAGCATTCGATGACTTATATTTTTTGTTAAAACACTATAACCAACTTAATTTTCTCAAACATAATTTTATCTTTCAATCTGCTTATCGTTCAATTGACGAATCTAATTGATTAACTAATAATAATAACTTCTAGCGAACACAAGATGAACGGAACCAGTGTCTCACCCATAGCAGACTACATATTCGGTTTGACAGAGCTAGGATCGATTATTATGGGACTTGTGTTGAACCTCCTAACTATCCCCTACTTCAACCGGAACAGCAAAGAACAGTTCTCCAGCATGATCTACCTCTTTATTGTCATCACGGATATTCTCATCCTGGTGTCCTGCTTCCCCTCCGCTCTTACCATGCTGAACCACAGACAAGCCCTCATCCTGGACAACCGCTTCCTCTGTACTCTCACCGGCTTCGTCTTTAACATCGGAGCCAGGATGTCTGTTTTCCTGATAGCAGTTTTGGGCTGTGCTCGGTGTTTATCTCTAGTCTTCCCCTTCAAGAAAACTAGATCTCGCCTGTACTTCATCTCTATAACCGTGTACTTTATTTTTAATGTTGTACTGGCTAGTCTGCCGCTAGTGTTCAGTTCAAAGGGCTACCACTATTCCCCTTATGTTGGACAGTGTGCCTGGGGGATTAACGAACTTAGCTTTGTCAACTGTTTTGGCACATCGTGTACTCTGTGGCTGTTTATAACATACGGAACTATAATCTTCCCATGGCTTGTGCCGGGTGTTGTGGTGATTCTCTCCTCTGCCATATCTATTGTAACACTCATCAGATCCGAACGAGCTAGAAGAAAGATGGCACCCCGGCGGGAAGGTGCACCTTTCACCCCACAACGGAACGCCAGTATCAAGACCAAACATGCCACCGTGACAATCCTGATCATGACTCTGGTGTACAGTGTATTCAACATGCCTGGCTGGCTGCTTTACTCTTATCTCCTTATCAGTAAGTTCAACCCGATCACCTGGCTCAGAGGAAACACTGCCCTGTATCTCCAGATATTCGTGTGCAGACTCTCTGTAGCGATGAACAGTGCTGCTAACCCTGTTGTTTACTTCTCACGAATTGAAGCCCTCTCAAAACTAACTTTCCGTAAACATTCTATGTCTATGAGTATAGTTTCCCGAGCTTCCAACGCCCTAAAGCTAGTCCCTAGACCTGTCAGGTCTGAACAGAGTTATTTCAGATCTAGATCGATATCGTATCCAAAGTTCAGAGTTTCGTTGCCTGCCCGACAGGTTCCAGACATTCTAACGAGTGAGGTGCGGGCTCAAACTGCTAGAGAGTTGACTTATATTGTCGATTAAAGACTGTTGTGTAGAGATTTCAAGAAAAAAACTCGGTTTTGTAGCGAGCAATTTTGATTGTATTCGTATAATTTTTCAATGCATCTTTGGAATGTCTAAAATGTTTTCCTTGTCACACGATTTATATTTACGTGCCAGACAACGTGATGATTCGACCAAGTTGTGCGTTTGCCGGGGGATTTGTTTATCATTATTCTTGTTGCTGTAAAATGTCTTTGTATCTTGAAACAAAATCAAATTTGTCTGTTTTCTTTATAAGCTGTAGTCTGTATTCATAAATATTGTTTATTGAAAGTTGAAAGAAAGAATAATGTTTCAAGGCAATAATTATGTTTGGCCAAGGGGTCAAAATTGGTCTTAATTTTTGAGGGTAATCAATATTTGACCATCAATCAGACGTAAATTTCACAAGGAATTTTATAGAAATGTTGGTGTACTAGGATTTTAAACGAATTTCCGAATCCCTGTAACATATGTATTGATAATACAAACAAGTATTTAGGTCATTTCCTTTGATCATCTTTTGTAAATCGCAACCAACAAAGTTCTGCTGTAGAAGAGGGTTGAGACGTATTTAAGCGAATTTAGTAAAATCCCCTTAAATGGTAACTCTGCCTGAATTGCACAACATCTGAAATCTGAATTGCGCAACATTTGAATCGCACTACATCTATATATGATATATATAATATATTATTATATATATATATAATATATGTATATGAAATGAAATGAGGTCTGTCTTCTCTGTTTTAACACCTCAGAACTGTGTATTACTACAGCTCAACCTGCTCAGTCTGACTAATTGGGAATTTAAACTCATGAAATGAGGTATTTATATCCCGCTAATATGATTAACCAAAAACACAAGGAACGTCAAAGGTGGTTAACCATGTCAGAGCGGCTGACTGTGAGTGATGTGAGCAAATGTGTAAATGTGATCAAAAGTATAACTCATTATAAGGCTAAGAAAAAATTAAAGCATTTTTTATTGTAACCCACACTAAACTAAGTAGAAGCAGAAACCATACAATACATGTAGGTATAATGAAGATTAGTACAGTGACATAATCAACAAAAATGAAACAGATCCTGGAGAGGTAAAGATCAAGACATAAAATGGAGTTCTTATTATTCTTTGGTATCTTAAGCATGAGATGGTCACCTGGTCTCTTCGATCTGGTCACCCGGTCTCTTCGATCTGGTCACGGTGTTTGAAAGTTCTGTATGCACTACATCCACATCCAGTAATGCTTTGAGCTAACCAGGTGCAGTACCGTGAACTGATTTGTGGGTTAATGGACAAACTTTAATGAAGATTCGGTGGTCTATAGGGAGTATGTGGGACTTCTTATAGAAGGGAACCAAGTCCGTGGTTCTGTCTTCTATGTTATAGATGAAACGAACTGCCCCATTAAGGATTGATCTAAGTTTGTTTCATCTGGTCTTGGGTAGATTTATGTACAGAGAATTACAGTAATCTTACTTAGATATAACCAGTTGTTTAGGTTCATCATTGTCCAGCTACATTTCTTTTTCACACTATTGATCTGTCTTTCCATATTAAAAATTTCATAAAATTTTACATCTAGACTCTTCCAGCTGTCTTCTTTGCACTCGTACTCCGTAGGTAAAATTTCTGTGCTTCCAAATTGCAGGCTGACACTGAGTTCACACTTTTTTAGAACATGGCTCTTTCCTAACACCAGTAGTTCTGTCTTTGTTTCGTTCAGCTTCATGACATTTCTCACCATCCATACTTTTAACTCTGCGAGACATTTGTTTGTTCTGTTTCGGACATCAGTGAACTGTACCGTATATATAATATAGATTACCGAATTGCCCTAAATATGTCATTGTGATTGACATCACAGACGGATAATAATTTGCACCACAGTGAACGAAGCTATATAGCAAAATAATAATACAGCACACCACTAACTGGTATGGTAGTTATTGTGAACTGCGAAGAGTTACACTAGCGCTCTACCTAAATCCCCTTCTCTCCAGACTGACGTTATATGTGAACGATCTCCTACTTGACAACTTGGAGTAGATATACAACCTACCTTTATCAGACCTTGTCAATGCGCATAAGAAACCGGGTTTTGAATAGTTTTTTTCTGCACCAAATTTTAGGGGACCTCTGGTCTTTTTTCTGCCATGAGCCTTTGTATCTTTTTTTGTGATCGACTAATAATCTGCGTTTAAATTTAAGCACTAGGCCATTTTAATGTAACGTAGGATTAAATGTACAGAGCTGAACTTTTGTAAAGCCTAGGATAATAGAATGTTCTAGAATTGTCCCGGTGCAGGGAGAAATGATACAAAATTTATATACTATGTGCTCAAGAATCTCATGTATAACCCGTCAACAGTTTAGCAATCTTAATAACTTTGTAGATGATATCTCCAGCCAAGAAATGTTGTAGTTGACATGTTAACTCAATAACTGTGATTCTGTGAAGGGGATCCATGGATAAGTTTAAATATCTGCAAAGCTTGATGGGAACAGCCTATAATCTGGAAAAAATAAGTTTAAAATAAGAAAAAAACTAAAATCTTACGATGCCAAAACATCCCAAACAGTCTTAATTTCCCACTTTAAGGAAAGCTCGTACACACACTATCCTAATACAGTTACAGTTGTTCCACTTTAAATATCGTGAAACAATGATTTTTACAGGTTCCTGGGTGAGACGCTAGTGAAGTACAGATAAGGAGGAGGAGGAGTAAATCTGAACAGACCATCAGCGTGACAAAATCTGTCGCTCTTTTGGCAGCTTCCGTGAACGCTGACAACTTAGACAAAATGCAAACGCTGCATCCAATTACGTTAAGCTCGCTTTTATCCCCTGCTTTATTTAAATTTGATCAAAAGATGTTGCGAACCCATGAGTGAGTGAACCCATCGCTTTGACAAAATCTGTCGCTATTTTGGCAGCTTTTAACCTCTTCTCATCTTCCGTGAACGCTGGACAGCCGATCCTATCAATCCTTCTTTGCACAGCTGTGAAGTAGCGTGCTTTACAAATAGAACTCAGACAAAATGCAAACGCTGCATCCAATTACATTAAGCTCGCTTTTATCCCCTGCTTTATTTAAATTTGATCAAATGATGTTGCGAACCCATCGCTTTCATTAAACCTTACTATCAAAATATCATCTAATTGCGCATCTGTACCAACTTCCACATTATAATGACAACTGTCCTAACATAGATAGTATGGTTAAGGTCTAGCCAAGTTACAGTACCCATTAGTGGAGAATGCCTCCAAGAGCTGCCCTTGGTAAGGATGACACTCGACTCCTGCAGCTTCTTGCCCAGAATCCCGAGGGATGCACTGATAATATGCTTCAGCAAAAGGCAAGTAATTGAAACTGCGTTTCAGCAACTTATCTGAATACATTACACAGTAACTTACCGATTGAGTACGGAACTCAGCCCTCAGGTGTTTGCATTTTAGTATGCCTGATTAGTCGCATGGTGATGGGATGTCAGTCCAATCTTATGACACTTATCCCATTTCAGATGAAAATGGAGAAAAAGGACCTGGTCACCTCTATCAACAAGCTTATAAAAATGGGAAAACTTGAGCTTAAAACACAGGTTAGTGTGTACATTGTGCGTAGTACTGACAATTGTCATGGACACAGGACATGGTCAAAATTTGGACGGTATTTCGACTTCATGAAAAATTAAAAAATGCTAATCAGAAATGTATTTTGAAATAACCAATTATCCATTTTCCTGCTAGGGTTCTATTCTGATATATTTGCTGCGAGATGTTAGCTCAACTCCATCTACAAAAGGCATGGGCCAGGAGGAGAAGATTGTTTACAAGATAATAGAAGAATCAGGCAACAAAGGTATCGTTATTCAGTTGTTAAACTTGATAAGGTGGGAAATGTACAAATACCATGATCACATTAATATCCGCTGCGGGTTGATAGGGATTTGAAAGTTTCCTGTTTGAGTTTCCACCGACATTTTTCTAAATGAGACGAGGGGATCTTTTGGTCAGAATCGTACGTGACGTTGGGTGGGTAGGTCATATTTTCTTCCGAAACGCAGTTAGTACTCTTGTACTAAGAGGTGGGTCTGCTGCTCATTTCCCAGAAAAACAGTTAGTACATGGTACTAAGGGGTTCATTTTTTGGGTGTCCAACCCCAAAAAAACCCATTTTACCTCAAATTTCAATTTTGGGAATCGGTTTTGAATCTTATTTTATATACCCAGACTCAGTTAGTACCGTGATTTCTCAACAGTTAGTACCGCAAAAGCCGGCAAAAGGGGGTGGGTGTCCTAAATATTATCCGAAAAAGCAGTTAGTACCGTGAAGGGGGTGGGTGGGTCCTTTTTGTAAAGTCCAAAACTGCACTTAGTCGACGTCACGTACGGCACTTAGTACCTGAATCCCCCCGAATGAGAGTTATTTGTTTATTTATTTATTTATTTAGAGTACGTTTTTCCACTCACAAGCGGAACTGAACAGTGGTTACACTTACAATCTCTCCAACTTCCAGTGGAGATTGTAAGTGTAACCACTGTTCAGTTCCACTGACTTTACCTCCCTCCAAGGTATCTGGGTGAAAGAGATCCGGACCCGTTCCAACCTCCAGCTGACCCAACTGAACAAAGTGTTGAAAAGTCTCGAGAGCAAGAAAAGTATAAAATCAGTGAAACCAGTGACGGACAGCAAGAAGAAGGTGTACATGTTGTTTGATATTAAACCTGATAGTTCGCTCACTGGTGGTGCTTGGTACAGTGAGAATGACTTTGAGACTGAGTTTGTGGATATCCTGGGACGGCAAACACTTACCTTCCTCCAGGTACACTGATGAGGAGTTATAAGTTATTTCCCTTATATTAAGTTCTTGACGGATATGAATCTTACCACTATATCAGCTTCAATTGCACTTGCTGTTTAGGAACACTTGACCGTATTTGTTAATTCTTGGTCTTGATGTTATCTTCCACTTCCATCGATCTACATAGCTATTTGCTTACGGAGTTATAACTAAACGGTGCCACCAGTTCAATAACCAAATAGTGCTCAGTAACGTTAAGATTAAGTCTACCAAGTTTTACTTAATATGCGACGTATTAATCATAATAATATATGAACCGACATAAAATATACTATGATATGATGATGGTAATTATAATATTTGTTCAGAGACAGAGGTCGCATGCAGAAGTGCAGCACACCGACCCCCTTGCTGCCCAACGAGCCATGATGTGCGACATAAAGCAAGTCAAGAACTTCATCAGCCAGCTTGGCATCAGCAAGGTTCGGGATTTTCAAATATCATCTACTTCAAGAGTTGATCTACATTTTATTTGGGTATCGCTTTCATTACTTTTATATTGTGTTTCATACCATTAGTAGATCGTCTCCTTTATCTGTATAATCTTTATTAACACAGAGCAAGATTAGATGTTGGAAATTCAACTATTAAGTATTTATATATACGTGTCGGCCCGGGTCTGCTTATTAAACTAAAATTTTGAAGCGGGATCATGTGCTTATAATAATACTTTTAACCTTAGTTTTACATCTTGCAACAAATCTTTAAGTTTAACGTCAACGCAGTTTGCTCGACAACATAACCACCAATTAATCAAAGTGCGTTCAACCCCAATGCTTGACTGAATCCAACAGAAAATTCTTACTAATAAACTTGTATGGTTTCTCTCCATAATCACCGCTCACTTTATGGTTGATATGAATGTATCGTGTAAACTTATTGGTTGATTTGTCTCAGAAGTGCCCTAAGATGGCTTCTTAAGAAGAGCTTGCGTAAGATAATAAATGACAGATTACAATGAAAGTTCTCTGTGATGGTGGCAATCAAAAACAGTAGATTTGTAACCGGTGAGCGGTCAATGACCGGCAGTGGAAGTTTATGCAAATGTCTCGACAAGAAGATCAAACATAATACGTTATTTGAACGCTTCTCTGAGACATATTAACCAACAAGATGTCAACAAAGGATAAGTTTCTAGAACTACAATTTACTACATGCACCCTTAATAAGGGCCCCTTGTATTATAGCAAAAAGAATGTTGATATAATATTACCTGTGTTCAGGTAGAATTGGAAGACGAAGAAGTGAAGCAGATCCTAGAGTCCCTTGTGTTTGACGGCTTTGCAGTAAGGCTCCACACTCTAGGGGAGGGAGGCAAGAAAGTAACTTTCTATCGTGCTATCAAAAATCAACCCCTTACTTCAGGTGAGAAATGGGGATCAACAAGTTTTCTTATAAGCAAGTTATTTCTATTCATGAACGATAATGTTTATACGATTTGAAATTCAACCTTGTTGCAAATAATTTATAATAATATCTGATAACCTGACTTCCCCTATCAGGAATATCTCGAGTGCCATGTGGAGTATGCAGTATCATATCTCAGTGTATCTCCGGTGGGCTGGTGTCTCCTCAGACCTGCACGTACATGAAGGAGTGGCTGGAGTTCTGATGTGACCCCGGCCCGTGACAATATGTCTGTATCAGATATAGTTATACCTTCTATCAGATCACCAGATTCAGATGCAGTTTCTCTCTCCAGCTTTATTAAGAATCCGGAGTAAAGTTGCACCATAACATGTTCATTTGAGATCAGGAATGATTAACCTGAGGCTGAGATTGCGAGGATCTTTAAACAGTCTGTCAAGAAATTTTAAACAGTTTGCAGAAAGTTTTAACATCTTGACCTGTCATGGTTATTGAACGATGATTATTGTTTTAATGAGAAACGGCCCGTGCTCTCCGAGCGAAGGAGGACGAAGAATTTTTAAATACTATTTGAGCTACACAGTTAATATTATGAGAATTTACGGACTATTTTTTCGAGCTATTCAGTTTAATTATTTCTGTCTGGAAGCAGCCACAGAAGCTGAGTTATCAAATTTGAATAGTTGGAAATATGCAACATAATTATTGATTCCGGCGGCTGGGAAGCGTTTTAATACCTGAGCGATCTGTTTCTTGCTGAAATGACTTTCTTCCCGGCTCCAGCTAGATTTAAGTGATATTTGCTTCGACAAATTCTTCAATACGTGAAATTTAGGAAATTCGTAAAACTACACGAATAAGACTTTTATGACCGAAAATTCATGCATATATTTCGGGCATTCTTTTTTGTCCGAAAAACAATATCATGACAATAATAATAATACTTTTACCGTAGTGTATGGCACACAGAGATGATTACGAGGTAACCGACTACATATTTAAGGTCCTTCTGATAGGAGACAAAGGGGTCGGAAAGAGTTCCATAGTTCGCAGATATGTTGAAGATAGGTTTGATACCTGGCCAACAACCATATGTGTTGAATATGGCACAGTTACCCGTGAAATTAATGGTATGTTTTCAGTTTCCTCAAACACTTTCTTCCTAGTATCATTCATAACTTCATCAGGCTGAATTTTCTAATAAGGTGGCTTGTAAGACTTTGCAGAATTTGATTTCAAAGTACGTGCTCAAATAGGTCACGTGGTCATATATTTAGGTCACGTGGTCACATATTCAAGTCAAGTCCGCCAACTGTAGCCTGTGCGAGGACATGGTTGAACATGCACGTTATCTTCCTCTGTCCCGTACTGTTACCTGATTACTTTACTTTGATTAGTCTCTGTCTACAAATGAGTCCTGGAAAATTGTATTATATCATGTACTTCAAAGTGCTTCAAAGAATGTGCAGCAATTGACAAAATATGGATGGGCATAAAAGTTCGATCGTCTGGAACTAGAATAGAACGCATTTTAATCATTTTTAACTGCCCACTGCACAGTACACGTTCTAATCACTTTATCCACCATGTTATATCTAAAATTAAACGACTGAAAATATGAATAAAACATATATGAATGATCAGCCGCTGATAGTTTTTGATTCGCGTAATGTTAATCATAACGAAAAGTAACCATCAGAACTTGTTACAGGGAAGACGGTAAAGTTGCAGATCTGGGACACTGCGGGGGAGGAGAAATACCATTGTTTGACTGATATGTACTACCGGAATACCCATGGGGTCATTTTTGTGTTTGATCTGGGTGACCCCGACAGTTTAGAACATGTCCAGAATACCTGGATTAATCAGGTATTTTGAATTTTCCACATTGTTTTGAAAGATCACACCAGTTCATTTTACGCAGACCAAAATATTGCTGTTTAGTTACTGTCAGTTTAATCTCGCTAGCCATTTTGGAAACTGACAAGGATTAAACTTAAAGCAACCTGTAACTGTGTAATTTTGACATTTCCGATCGTTTTTAATATGCGAAGGAAGAACCATCCGGCCCGGTTATGTATGATGTAATGGTGAACTCTGGTATTTAATTTGTAAAGGGAGAACCATATGGAACCTGCCACTTCACCTCCATCATCTCCACCTAGTTAACCTCGGCATCCTTCTTCGGGGTTGCCATATATGGAACCTCAAACTAAAACCCTGACTTGATATCAGGTCTACGCCAAAGCACCGGACGATGTCTGCAGTACCCTGGTGGGAAGTAAAGATGACGTCACCATACCGTCTGATGACGTCACTAAGTCTGGAACACGTGTCTCTCTAGACGATATCAGGAGAGTTAGTGAGCGGTACTGCATGTCCTACTTTTCAACCAGTGCTAAGCTTAACAAGAATATTGAGAAGGTAATCAAATTGAAATAAATATTAACTTAAACTTAAAGAGCTTTATTTAATATTCAATATTAGTTTGACCTTCTGAGTATGTTTCTAAAATAATTTTGAATTTAAGCTCCAAATTTCGCACTAGTCATATAATACATTTGACACCTGCAGCTGTTTGACCACCTAGCAGAGCAGATGATGGCCCAGCTCTCCGACTACGAGGAGATCCCTTGCCCGGACTCATTACCCAGCTTCGCTCTCCACTCCTTCCAGGCTCACTCACCTATAATAGATATTGAAGAGCAGAGTGGCTACTACTGTACTTCCTGCTCTACCACTGCGTGATAATAAGGGCTCAGAAAACTGTTCTAATTCAATGTCCTGTTCTTAAGAGTCGTCAAGAGGTTGATGTGGAAGATCGGTGAAAGTGGAGTGTCTTGAAAATTAACCGGGAAGTTATGTTGTTAAATGGTTTGATTATTTTTCGTTTTTATTGATTAAATTTATGAGTTTGAGCTTTGAATTCCTTTATGTATTATACTGATAAGCATTTTGTTATTGATTTAAGTACCAAACATGGTTACTGTTTATATGTCAGAATTGTAAAGTAGATTTTTAATAAGAAAATTCATTTAATTATTTGATTTTGTAGAATATGATGTATCGCCATGCCAGTCATACTATAATTTATATTCGTGTATTGGTATTTTACTTTGTCTTATTCACAACGAATTGCTTCGCTAAAAATTTCTGGGTCGAGCAGACTCACAAAAAGTTATGCCACTAATCGTAATTTGATATGTTTTTCTGGAGATCTAGATTCTATATCTGCCGCGATTTCTATGAAATTTATATTGTGACAGATTTATCTTCTCATAGCAGAGCTATGGCCCAGAAGACTGAAGTATGAACAACAGAAACCTGCATACAAAACAGCTGGGGTACTTGAAGTATTACTCTGATAAACGCAATGGCCAGGTATGTACCATACAAAGGAATATACATTACACATTGCTTCAACTTTAATATTAATTTTCCGACATAATTGCTGAGTCCGACGGTGAAATTTCATTTTGCCACCCCTTACGCTGTTGTCACAGAATAATTTATTACCTACTATGGCAGGGTGATAAGAAGATGGAACAGGGGCAGATGTTGGGGACTGCCATGACGGCAGCCGCACTTCAACAACACCTTTCTCTGTCTTTGGGTGGGTATTTCATACTTCTTGAGAACTTTCTATGCTCTCGCAAAATTATGTAATGATCGTGATGCGGTTTTTTGGAATTATAATTATTGACACGAAGCGAATTTGTAACTTTGTACAATCCACATCTTCATTTCTAGTTTATATTCAGATGAGCGATTTCTGAGTTTCATCGTCCTCCATGATACTTATACCAGTGAAATCGGGGGTTTGATTGTTCATGTATTGCATTTGTAAGTAAGGCACTTATTTTGGGGAAGAATATGGCTGAGACTCTTAACTAAACTCTTAACTAAACTGTCTGATTGGTGCTCCACTCTTAGTGGGAGGTCTTAAAGTAACTAACTGGTCCAATACCTGGCAGCAGACTGGCAGACAGCAGTACTCAGTAGTATTCCTCTCTTAATTGTTCTACTTTCAGCTCCTTCTTAATGGCTGTGTCGCAGGGTTAACCTCCAATTTGAAGAGGGGTACTGGTAAAAAGAAGAGGAGAGCTGTAAGAGCTAGAGGAGCAGAGGAGGAGTATGTATTGGAGGATAAACCACCACCACCTACATTGGGTTAGTTAAAATAAATTACAAACCACCACCATCTATAGTGGGTTAATAACAATAAATTACAACTACGACCATCTATAGTGCGTTTGGTTAAATGCACATGACCCAGAAGTTATTCGTATACAGATTTGGATTTCCTAATACTATCATTACTGACTTTATCCCTCGTGTCCGAGATAGAATGCCTTACATAAAGTTTCTGCGTTGATACGTTAGCTTCTGCACGGGATTGCATTTAAAAGGTTCAATTTAGTTAAAAGCAATTATAAAGTTGCTCCCAAGTTACCGAACGCATCATAACGTCTAGCTATTACCTAGAGGCTAAACAGTTCTAGTGGCATGCACTTCTGATCAAAAGTGAAACTCCCCAGCTCAGAGATACGGATTAGCGGCGCCACCGCCTGCAGTTCTAACTGAAGGGGAGTGGGAGCACGTAAAGAACCAGTCCTTGGTACGAGGTGACAACACCGCTCCTTGTGTCATTTGTAAGGAGGAGTTTGGGCTGGACGGCCAGGTCCTGCTGTCTTGCTCGCACATGTTTCACAAGGTTAGCTACAGGAACACGTGACCACAATTTAGTTTTATCAGATTCGTTACCGAGTATGAAAAAATAACGATTTCTTGAATCGGTAGCATCTTTCAATTAAGGTCAGCCAAATCGCTGCACTGGTTTATTTTACATCAGCTTTATCAATGTGTCTTATTTCAGGCGTGTTTGAAAGCGTTTGAGAGATACAGCGGACGTAAAACATGTCCGATGTGCCGTAGAGACCAGTACGAAACTAGAGTGGTACATGAGGGAGCTAAAAGACACAAGGATAATTCGGCTACCAGGTTGGGATATAATATGGACTAGGAGTATTTTTACTCACCTGAGTTTCCGGGAAGACATCCAGCATTTGATCGAGAAATCTTCCACTTCCAAGTTATCAAAAAGCCTTAATTTGATGCCGTTTTAATGATTATCCGAGAATTTCAAAATTTTCGACTGACTGACTCTTCGTCCTCGCCACTTGATAGTTAATATTAATAAAATATGAGCCTAGTTAGGTGTAATCAAATTAGTCTGGGAAAGCATTATTTTGATTTCTTGACCAGAGTACTCTATTGGGCCTAAATGAAACCGAATATAAGACTGGCAAGTAATTAACATGCAAGCTTGAAGCACCCTCGGAAATTAAGTCTGAGAAGTAATCACATACAATTATTTCTGGACAAGTCGTATCTGAAAGAGTGTGTTATTAGTACACTTAACTTTTAATTCTGCAGGATCCAAGCAGCCTGGAGAGGGTATAAAGTTAGGAAGTGGTACAGGGAATACTCACTAAGGAACCCTCCTAAAGATCCCCGGTTGAGGACTAAATACTTTGAGAAGAAGGTAGGAGATTCTCCTGTATCTTCACCGATTTAATTTTTTTTAATTGTGCCTTTAAAGTGCCATTTTAAAATCTGATTTGCTGATCCCTGACTTTAATAGGCACTTACTCAGCTTCAAATCATCGCGCAAACCGTCGCGCCAGACAAGATTCTCCCTCCGAATGACAGATCGATTATGGGGTCACTAGTCTACCCTACAGAGTTATCCTAAGATTCGTGATCATGAGTTTATGTCGGGTATCGAGGTTTATGCCATTACAAAAACCAACCGTATAAGTTATAACCAACCAACCACCCCTAGTTGGAGGGATTGACGGGTCGCATGGTGGACATGGTGGAGAACAGCAGAACTGCAACAGACCGGCTATGTAGTGATATAGATGTGGAGCTGGCTAGGAGCAGGAGGGTTATGCAGACTGCTAACTTGCTAACTACTGGCAGACTCACTGCTGAGAAGTGGAAGTCTATTGAGGAGAAGGTAATACATTGATATCATGTCAGTGTTGTATCACTGAGCAATTATTTGTTGAAGTATGAATTTACATGTCAACCCTGAAAAATTTCGGCGATTATAGATATGGGTCAAACTTAGATTTCCTGAAAGTAAAATTTTATCGATTACAGAAGGTGTGGCACGCCGATCCCTCTTTTTCACTATTGTAGCCATAAAGTAAGAACGCTTTAAGCTAGGAACTCCAAGGTTTCTAGACACAGTTGGTTTAATAATTGAAGTGCTTTTCCAAAATTTCAATTTTATTGTTTACAACTAAGACGAGTTATGACCATTTTACGATCTGACGGATACGTAATCCCGGAACGAATCAATCAGTGATCTCATCGGGAGCTATCAGTGATAATGCAAATATATTTGTTAACCGTTTTTGGGAAAGGTTTTTTTAAATCGCTAAAATAATGCAAATGACCACTGAATATAATTACTTGGAAGTGTATTTTGAAAAATGCTCAAGATTCCGAACAAACATAGTACAGATAAGGTGTCAAATTTAAAATAATGATATATAAAATCACACATAAGATTTCATATTGAAGAAGACGCATAATAGTAAATGAGAACTGTTCAATTAAAGACAGTTTCATAATAATTTTTGAGCAAGCAAACAACTTCTGGGATACATTTTATTTATAAGTATGTTTAGTTTGGTAAACAGAGGTATTGACTATTGTGTATTTCACTATCTGCAAATCATTCTCTTGTATCTGCTGATCTAAGTTACCCCAAGTTAAACACAACAGGTCTAATCTTTGCACCGCTACCGTTATATCTGACCCATTTGTAAATATTCCTCGGTGTTTTACTTCCTTCACCTGGCTTGTAAAAACGTTCTGTCCCCCAGAACCAGTATTTGTTACTTCCTTCTCGTCGTGGTTTACCGCACCATGTTACCGGACAAGCACCGAACGTGTCGTTTTTATCAAGAATTCTAGTTACATCAATAGTGAAGTGTAAGTTATCAGCTAGAATGTGGGATTCTCTGTGGAAATGTATATCATCAGGGTAGAGGTTAGGATCTGTGACTAGTTGTATGTTGAACGAATCATCGTCTTTCCCCGTTGCGGCTGTTACTCGCAATATAAAGCCACAATCCCCTCCCTTGCTGCAGTTGGTTATAGATATTTGTCTGCATTTGAACTTGATGTCGTGATCTCGTGCAAATAGTTCTTCCGGTGTGTACTCAGAAGTTGATGGAATGCGATTCAAAATATCACTAGTTACCAAATTAAGATTTTTTCGTATCTTATCAGTAAGATCACCAAGGCAATAATAACGTTTATCTTCGGTGTATATCAGATCTAGAGGCTTCCAACCTCTGCTTGTCATGAGCTCAGATAATATCTCAATAAAGTTGTCGTTGATGCATACAAGCGGGGTATTCATATCAAATCTTTTGACATAAAGCCAGCTATAAACTGCATCATAAAAAACATAGCTGTTTACCACGAGTGGAGACTCAATCAGGAAGTTTGTAAGTGTTTCAAGATTACTCAGCTCCTTTATCCGCTTGAAGTCATGAAACAAGTTGGGTAAAGCTGCATATGGTATGACAGCGTTCGATTCTTTCAAGGCACTATTGTTGGGTAAAGCTGCGTATGGGACGGAACCGTTCATCTTTTTCAGGGCTTTATTGTATTGTTTGAGTGCCCTCATAATTAACCTAAAGTCCTCAGTTGAAGGATTTTGTATTTGCTCGAGCTTTTCGAACAGTCGTTGATACGCAGACTCGGAGGAAGAAAGGGAGGATTTAAAGTTCAACCTCTCGATTATAAATCTACTGTTCTCATCAATAGTGCATTCATTTTTGTCAAAGTTGTTGAGCAGGGCTTCCACAAGAATGTGCTCCTGATCAGCTGCCATTTCCATTATCACTTCAAGATTCTTTGTAGGACAAGATGAGACGTCTGTCAGGTATTGGGTTGCAAAATACTGAACGCAAGTTGGCAAGGATGCGAATTGCTTGATAACAATATCCATAAGTCTCCTTTTTTTCCGTTTATCCATAACGAACATGGCTTCATCAAATAAGAACAGCTGGTCGTCAAATGTATCCTCTCTCACGGCCTCCGTCCATAAATGAAAGTACTCTAAGCACTTTTCAATTAACCATTTAACCTCAAATACGTGGGCCATTTTATTTAAATCTCGGAAATTTGACGTTGACAATTTTTTCAAAGAACCAGAATATGACGCTTCTAGAAAGCACTGTACAGCATCTTTTGAGAAGTCCTGAACATCAATTTCTGTTTGGAAAAGTTCTATTGTCATTTTCTTTATAACAGGGCTGTTGTAGGACATAATTGCTGAGTTAGCGAGAAGTTCCTCGTCCTTTAGAAGGAACTTAAGGTTGCAGTGGGAGGGGGAGCCAAGATATTCCAAACCAAAGTCCATTGGCACTTGAATGCACGGTATTAGGGAGGCCATCATGTTCTTCTGTGGGTGCTGGGAAGTGATTTAATTTCAGATAACGATATTTATCCGATCCACAGCAAATTGCAAATAAAGGTTGTATTATATCGAATTATGCCCATTTTCAAAACGAATTATGCCCATTTTCAAAACGATAAAATAGCTGGCTTGTGATAGGATGAACATTATCTGCGTCACATCTTATGTTCAGGCGATTATAACTGTTCAGATGGATCACAAAATTCTATACGGGTGACAAAACAATACGTTTGCAACATAAAACAACGAAAGAGCCAACAGATTTCGAATATAGGGACTGCAAAAGTTGAAATATACAAAATTGTAAAGAACCACAATGTTTATAACAAAACAGCTACATACCACTGATAAAACAAATTACATCATATGCTAGTCACAAGGTTTTTTATCACAAGTCCAGTCATTTTCATTGGTATGCTCAAATTACAGAAGACAGGACTACCTATCAGTCGTCAAAAGTATCCTTGTGGTTTTTTAGTTTATACTGTGTACACTTACAGTACATGAGAATCGCCAGATTTATATCACTAATAAGTACATCCATGGTCCTGATAAGTGACTCGCTCTAATGATGTTTATCTCACAACCGACCATGTCAATAGTCCCACATATTTCGACAGGCAGATCATTTACTCCGGTAAACTTTTATGCTTATCTCGTAATAAATGCACAGCACAGCTATACGGTAATACCCCTGAACTTGCTGGGCTTAATTATCCCCCATTCGCCTTGTTATCTCAAAATCTCAATCAAGTTAAATATTTCATATTTCTCAACAAAATTCGAATATTCTAAACTTTAGCCACTCAATAACCTATTGTCTTTTTCGAGAAAGGTTTAGGTTAGTTCCAGAAAAGACCAAATGCATGTCTTACAAAGCGCCTTTTTAGTTTTTACCTCATTCGCTCCTTCACTTTAAACATAGAATTAAACAATAAATGTCTCCGCAGGTACTAGACAGAGGAGACACAGAATGTCCTATCTGTATCGGATCGCTGAGGAACAGAAAACGGCCAACAACCCTCCTCTCCTGCTCTCACATCTACCACAGAACTTGTATTGACATGTTCGAGAATCTGACCACTGAGACTGCGCCTACCTGTCCCGTGTGCAGATGTGACTATGTCAAGAAACCATTCACTGCTGCAGTTTGACGTGGTAAGAGTGGGAGATTAGACTTTTCTTAGGACAGAGAATTTGGGTTGTTTTGTAGCCCTAGTTCGTGAAAAGGGACAGATTTTATTTGTGCATGAACTTGAAATTTATTATCATAAAATATTAATCACCATTATAATATTAACAACGTGTATATAAATTAAACGAGTGTAGAGTAATGTAAATATTTTGTAAATAGTTCTTTATGTTATTTTACCGCCAGAGCACAGAGTATGATCGAAAAATGTCTTGAAATCTTCGTGTACCGTTTTTCACTAATAGTTTTTTTTTTCACTAATAGTTTTTCACTAATAGTTTTGTAACAAAATGAGTGCTCACTTTCTTGTTCGATGTTTTCTACGACATAAATTAACTGGGATACAGGATACGTTATAATAAGAAAATTCGTACAAAGTTCATGGTTCACTGATAAATTTGTTGGTTTATAACATACCAAGACACAAGACTCGCGCCGAGTTGGACTCGTCGACGGTCTAATAGTAATATTTGGAACAAATATTTTACGAGTACCACCCGCTAATGAGAAATAATCCCAATGGTCGGAAAGATGGTCACACGTCGGGCAGATGATAAGTATAACAAGCGGAGCTTCCATCAGGTTGGAAGGGTTGTGTGGTGACCCGGCGACCCCGGACTCGTATGAAAACCTTACCGGCTGGTCGGCTTGCTTTGTCATACGTATTGTAGATCCACCGCGGCTGTATCGTGTCCACTGGCCACGATACTAGTGAAACACTTATATATTATTAGTGACACGACAATGGGGGTCACGACGTGATACAAGGCTTGCTAGAGGCTCTTACTAATTCGCTCGACCAAAAATTTCACGTGACTTTGGTTTTTATGGTTAAGTTTTGCAGCCGTACAAAACGGTTTTACATAAACCCTAATCCTAACCATAACCCCGAAGCTATCCATAACCCATTAACCCTGGCCTTACCACAACCCTAACCCGAGCCCTAAACTATCGAATTCATGTTTTACTAGCCTGTCACGTGACCAAAACGGTTTTTTGCCCATAACTCTCCAGTGAAGCATTTTTACCCTACGTCACGGGGCAGGTGGTGATTCGGAATCAGCGTCCAAAAATACATGTACACCGATCAAGATCAATTTCATACCCAATTAAGGGCCTTTTCACAAGAATTTTTTAATTTGGGCGAGCGATTTAGTAGGTGGTAGGAGCGCTTGCTAGAGTTGTAGCGCGATGCACTGCCACTACTGCACTTCCGTACTTCCGTTAGATCGGCGAGATGCACCACTGGGCCTCGCCGAGCTGAGCTGCGAAGGATTGACATGTGATGCATCGTGAATCAATTCACAATTGCTAGAGGTGCTCTTTTTTGATGAGTTAAAATGAGGAAACGAAATTCAAATACAGTGATTATACAATATTGAATATACTACCCCGATGCTATGTGACGAGGATATTGTATAATTTATAACTGATAACTATTTCCGGGAATTACATGCACTAAAATTCGTGGACACTGCAACTGAGAGCTAATATATCAACCTGGTTTCAGGCCCCCCTGTGGATAATTTGCATATTTTTCCCGCAAAAGAAGCCTTACCTGGTGACCCCAGGCTATTATGTTCAACTTCATAAAGATTCGGCGGAATGACAGGCTGAGCGCCGCCCAGTAAGAGAAGCCAAGGTATTATCACTATCAGCACACTGCGAGTCACCTTGTAGGTTTATAACCAGGACGCGCGCCGAGTTGGACTCGTCGACTGTCCTAATATTTGGAACAAATATTTTACGAGTATCACCCGTTAACCTCAGACTCAAGACTAGACTGGCTGGAGGAAAGTTTCAAAACAATTAAAGGTGCAGCGCACTACATATTAGACACTATATTGTATCATGCGCATTGCCAATTGCGCACGTATCACATTACACATATGTTCCAAGCGGATTTCGTCAACAGTTATCCCGACAGTTACTATAATACCTTGGCTTCTGAGTGCTGAGCGGGATAATTCCCGACATGGACAGCTTGCTGGAGCGAACGCGCGGGCACGAAAAAGACAAGGTATTACTCTATAGAGGTATACCTGGGGACCCCAGGCTATTATGTTCATAAACATATAAAACGAATAAAGATTCGGCGGAATGACAGGCTGAGCGCCGCCCAGTATGAGTAAGGTATTACTATTATTATAGTATTATAATATTTGTGCAAGATTTATAACAAGTTTTAGGTTGAAATATCTAAAAACTTGAAACTCTCTAAATGATAAAATTTGATTTATAATATTAACTCTTTGCAAAGCAACAATTTCGTCATTTTGCCATCTTCGCTATTTTTGCCATCTTCACCATTTTCGTCATCTTCGTCACGTCATCTTCGATGCGAAGCAAGAATGATTATTTACGCGGCGCGTCGAAGCAGCGAAGTCCTCCAACCGCCAACTCTTTTGATTCACGATGTCAGCCCTTCGCATTTCGCCGATCTGAGGCCCAGTAGTGCATCTTGCTACAACCAACTCTATAATCTGTTTTAATTTATTAAAAAACCATTTTATTTTAACGCGCCGCGCGTAAGAGACAAATTATTTGATGTTAGAATCGAGCGCTATCAAGAGTTTTCTTCATATGAACCTTTTTAGTCGTTCGATAGACTAACTACACTGTTTACAGTGTTCAAATCCTTTCTCGGATTTCGATCATGTCTCCTATCAAGTTTCCATCAAATCAAACCATTAACCAAGCTTTAATTTTAAACAATTTTAATGAATAATATCAAAAACATCATTTTTATTATAAGAACCTATTCACACTTACCTACAATCTACATAGTGTGGAATAAAAATTTATAAACCGCTTCTTTGCCACATAAGGATATAACCAAATATATTCACTATGCTTTTCTTTATTACTGACATAACTGGCTTCCTCGATTTTTCCTAAAACTTCAGATACTTTCATCAGCTTGAGATTTTAGAATGGCCTTTTGGTAAGCCTATCCTGGTGAATGGTTTATGACAAGGCACAAGCAGACTTAAACAAACTTTTAAGTTTACAGTAGATCCGGGCAGTGGCGTAACGAAAGGCCCTGCTGACCCCGCTGTGCAGGGGGGCGCCGTCTTAGGGGGGCGCCAAATCGTCGTTTGAATGTGGGACAATTTCGAAAACTTAACTAAAGTACTAGCAAAACTGCGCGTTTTGCTCTAGATACACACTTTTTTAGAGATTTTACCGGCGTATTCTTTAAAATCACCTAATTTGTTCAATTTTAGGGAGGGGCACCAAAATGGGAGGGGGCGCCAACAGGGGGGCGCTTTTTTCGGCAGGGGGGCGCCAACAGGCAACGTTACGCCACTGGATCCGGGGTTTATGAGATGATAAATTAGGGCACTAAAGGATTACTAAATATATAACATAGCCTGTAAAATATTGATCAACTCTTTGTGAATGAATCCTTTTTTGTTATTTATGTTTTCAGTATTTTGATTTTAAGCTAATGAAAGTGAAAAAGGCTTTCCAAGAAGGTCGAAAACCATACCGTGGTAATTTAATTGGGTTTCATTGTTAATAACCATAATAATTACTTGCTGTATGTTTTAAAAACAGTTTAATTAATGACAAGTGTTCTTCTAGTTCTAGGATGTAATGTGAACAAAAAGATTATGAGCCAGCATGATGAACGCAGAAAGTGAAAGTGAAGAAGAAGTTCTTTACAATCTCAGCAATGGAAAGCAATATATTGCCCTTCAGAATGTAAGATTTTTATGATCTAAATAGACTTGAGAATTCATGTTTTTTCGACATCCATACTTACATACAATTCTATATCTTTTCCACTCCCTGTAAAAGCAGAAGCCACAAGAGCATGTTGAATTTTAAATTTTATTTTATTTTAAAATCACCTTAACAACATGTTCATTCTCAGTTGGAGGGTTCCCATGTGTCACCCCAGCTGAAACCTGGGCTGTTAGAAACACCTCGAACATCAGGGTATGGAATTGTTTATAAACATTTTTTGATGACTTAACATTTTTGATATTCCAAGAAGCTTTGTAAAATTCAACCACAAACAATTTTGACAGGTAAATGCCATAATTTGATTTAACCTAATCATAACAGATATTCGTTTTCGTGAAATCTTATGAATTAAAAAACATTCTACTCCCTTTATATTTATCATTCCAGGGTTGGAGCAATTTTTGCAAATCTCTTCAAATGCTACACTGGAGCAGGGTTGTTGAGCTTGCCTTTTGCCTTCAGATACAGTGGAGTTGTTGTAAGTAAATAGGCAATAATTGTAATTTTGTGCAATTTGCTCACCATTAGTTTTATTCTCCTGCTAAAGGAAACTAAGATGCACTAAACAACAGAAACAGCTTTGATCTATCGAAATATTGTTCATGATAATGTGTAACAATGTACAGTAATTTTGTTTGGCAGGCTGGGGTTGTGTGTTTGATACTGGTTTCTGTGATGTGTACAGTTTCAATGGTCTGCCTTGTAAAATGCAAGATCCACCTCTCAAAGAAATCATCTGCTAATCTGACATACAGTGATGTTGTGCTTCTTCTCTTGGGCAGGTTTGTGTATTTAAGTGTGTCTGTAAAATTGGTACAAAATTAAAATTTCTTGTTTTAAAAGAAACGGAAAATCATCAGAATATAAAGAGAGATTTTGGAAGATTTTTGAAGAGGGCTTTTCTGCCGTCCCCTTGATATGACCGAAATTTGGCTGTTTTGACTGAAATTTTACCAGTGACCAATCAGTGAGGTCGGTGGGGGTGACAGAAGTCACCATCAAGGTACTGGAAGCAGTATATCCGGAGAAAAAGTTGATGCAATGAAAATTTTTAATATGAAATATTCGAATTTCAGCCTTCCGGGACCCAAATTTCGCTGTTTATAGTGAATTTTTCTTGAATGACCATCTTACAAGGTCACTGAGGTTGGCACAAGACACGATTGAGGTATTTAAAGTTCTATTCCTTAAGAAAGCTTTGATTAACGGAAAATCATCAGAATATAAAAAGAGATTTTGGAAGATTTTTGAAGCTTTCCGTGGCTGAGGAACATTTGGATTGGGTACTGGGTATTACATGTGATACAGAATTGTTACATCTAATTAAACTAATCAACTTCAGGAAATGGAGCATTGTTCTAGACATTACGATTATTGCATTTCAGTTCGGAGCAGTAGTCATTTACTTTGGTGAGTCCTCTCAACATAGCTTTTACCAATTTGCAACATTAGTTATTTTATCATTTATTTCTCTGTTTGTATCATGTAATGCTGATTGTTTAATTCAACAAGAGTGTAACGAGTTCATATTTGTGGGACTTTGAAAACGTCGAACTATTTTCCATGTAGAATTAGTGACATGTTTTACATACATATTATTACACAATGGGAGTTATGAAATGATATAATGTTATGATTCTATGGGGGATATTACATAACATGAACAGTTGGCAACAATTTGATAGGCGATAAAATGGAGACATTCAATGGTTTTAGTTCTATAAACTTCTTATTTTGAACATGAAGTATTTACCTATAGTATTTATTTTGAAGCAGAACCCATATAGGTCAAACACTAAAACACGGGCAATCTCATCAACTATTTCACTCTCCCTTCTTAAAGTTTGATTAATCGCTCTCGGACTATTCTGAGAATAGAGCTTATTGCGAACGACGATGATGATATGTGAATATTGAACCAGGTCCCAGTCTAATTTCTTGATTGGGGATATTAGATACCTACAATACTTCTTTTTCTTCTTGGGTCACGAATATTTCTACACGTACAGCAACGTAAAGAGTTTCGTTACTAGCTGAGTTTTATAACAAAATGGAGGCCAAAAGTAGGAATAATAATGGTAAAAAAATAATCCCTTGAAGGTGACTAATTGTCCGATCTCAACTTATTTTTATTTTTTTGCGGAACTAATATTTTTACCTTATCCTCAGTGTTCGTCTCGGAGAACTTGACACCGTTCTTCAGTAAGATGTCCTCAATCTCTGCCAGGTGGTGTTGGCTGCTCTTCATTGCTCCCCTTTACATCGGCCTCAGCTGGATCAGATCGTATGTACCGTAAAGCTAGTCCACAAATATTGCAATTTCATAAGAGTTGTCTCAAAAAGTTATTTTCTGTCGACTTGAATATAGTACTAATACTGATACGAACGTTTCATAGAATCTATCGTGTTCTGAGTTCTCGTTATGGCATAATCAGCAGACTTGATCTTACGAACTTTTCTAACAAAAAGTCAACAAGTGTACAAAAATACTAATTATCTCTCTAGATACTAGCACCTCTATAAAAACTATCCCTCCATTTAGACTTTACACCGCTACTAATATTTCGTACTGTAGTTATTGAGAATCGTATAAAATATAAACTTCATAAAGCCTAAAATGTCCTTTTTCAGGATGAAATATATTGGTATTATATCTTTCTTCGCTGAGATCAGCATTCTAACTGGTTAGTCTGTAATGAGTAATGTAAGTGTTTTTATCCCATGAGATATTACCGCAACACTCCATTTTTGTACATATTATACATACCTGTATGATATAGTTCTTTTATAAAATAGTTATTATAGCTGTTTTAGGGAAAGATTAGACTTGGGCTTTGTTTTAAACTACCCCTTGTTTAGATCTTTTATTTAATAATTATTTAATAGCTGTTTATTGGCATGTTTGTCTATTATCTAGCATACAACAGTCTTGAGGCCCATTTAAAGCTATTATAATTAACTACAATAGTGTCATTGTCACTACCTACACAACTATACATGTGCTCATAGTGGTGTTGTAATAATGTACTGTAAGGTATGATGGGCCACTTAAACGCTGAGTGCTTCGATACAAACTAAAAGGTAGGTATTCTACGAAACTTACACTTTGGTATATTCCAGGAATTGCTGTGACAGGAGTTATTGGTTGCCTCCAGCTGTCAAGAAAGGTTGTTCCTGGCTTGGCTTTCAACGTTAATATGACTCCTCCGTGGAGGTGAGCTACGAATTAATGTCGTAAAATGAGAGATTTTAATACATTTTAAGGGTTATTACCATTACAGCGCATCTTTACGACTGACGATCATTTCAATTAGTTTTTCGATCATAATAACAAAATGGTCAACAAAATGTTCTGTTATCAGGACGTTACCGTTGATGTTTGGAATGGCAGCATTTGCTTTCGAAGGAGCTGGGGTGGTCATTCCCTCAGAATGTAGCATGAAAAAACCAGAGAAATTCAACAAGGTTAGTGCACATTACTCTGATAGATAAGAACTTCGAAAATGGAATTTTATAATTTCGATAATTTTTTAAAATCTATTTTTTTCAATTCTGCATGTTCATTCCTCCCATTGTTAACTTGAATTCATCAGGTCCTGGTATCGGTACTGTCAGCTGCCACTTTCATGTACATAACATTTGGTGTTTTACTCTACACAGCGTTCGGACCAGAAACAGGCTTCACTACTGGACAAATAACTGAAAACTTGGAACAGTTTGCTACTCACATGGTGGATAGATCCTTCTGGCATGTTATGCAAATTGTTGTTCGATTGTGGTGAGTATTTGAGGACGTTAAGTGCTTTTCTAGGAAAAGTTACATTTCATAGAAAATCCGCCTCTGTGCACCTTTTCTCGCTGTTACGATGCAGCCAACTATAATCCAGAATTGCAAATAAAAGCCCTTCATTCGACTTCGAAACGATTTTTCTCGCCATATGTTCAACTCGGTGTTATGCAACCTCATCAGAGCATAGGTGGTAGAAAATCAGTGCTGCAAGTGTGTCGTCATATCTATCAGAATGTAAATTTGTAAGTGTTAACCGATTTTACATTTCAGCCTGGTGTTCGGCATTGGGATGAGCGTGTCAGTTCAACTAATTGTAGTTCTCGATATAGTTGAGAAGGTAAGTGGGTATTTAGGTGCAGTTACACCTGCTCCATCGGGAATTATAGTGTCATGCAGCATGCCACGATTGCATATTTAAATTTGTGTCAATGGGGCAGCCAGTCAAATGCACAAATTACGAAATTGAGCATAAACGGACTGCGCTTAGACAATATGTTTGACTTAAGTGCGCAATTTTGCCTCGTAAGATACACGTACGGACATTTTATACCTTCGTGGAATTTAGTTTATCCGACATAGGCCAGGCTGCTGCGCTACGATTTATGATTTATGATTTATGTATAATGACGGGTAAAAATATGGCTTAATTTCTGATAAACCGCAAAATTTAACCCGCCATAATTAAACGAAAAGACAAATTTTGTTACTCTAGAGAGATTTCAGATTAATTTTCAATGAAATTAAATCACATTTTCAACAACAATATCGCACAAAATTAATTTAACTTGATCTATATTCACCATCCTAGGATAAAAGCAAACACATTTACATTTATCGATAGAAAACAATTCAATCAACAATTTCATCCAACATTAATGAACGATGTTAAATAAAATAATAAAATTTTCTGTAATTATTGGTGATATCGGTAATATTGGTAATATTGAAACACTTTAAATTTTTTAAAGTTAAACAAAAACATTTATTTTTAATTGTAGTTGACGAAATGAGAGTCTCCACTCAGTGTGTTAAAACATAATTCTTTGTCGACGTTTCGGCTACATGCCTTTGTCATAAACAGGACGTACTGAAAACTTACATAGCTGCAAAGATACAATGTTAAAATGATCTATTAATACTACGAAATATAACAACAAAAAATAACATCTTGAAACACAACAACAATCACAAATTTATCCAAAAGAAACATAAAATATAACGGCTAAAAGAATCTGCACCAGGACAACGTCTCATGGAAGCTTTAACAAGATCTAGCCTACAGCAAACAAAATGCAATAAACAAAGTGACAGCAAATGCTACCAGTGCGATAAATCCTGCATGATCAAAAACATTTGCTACCAATTAATATGCCAAATATGTAATAAGTCCTACATTGGGGAAACTGGTAGGTTTAAAAGAAGTAGAGCCTGGGAACACTACAAATCAGTAAGGGATGGCAACAAATCTACGGCCATGGGGAAACACTACCTAGAGGAGCATGCCTACATTTCAATGCCAAACATACCGTTTCGGTTTATAGTTCGAAAAAGATGTAAAGACTATGTGGACCGTCAATTGTGGCAGTCGGTTCTAATAAAACGTGAAAACCCAGAAATAAATACTCAATTGTCTGAGTCCGTAAATGAAGGTGATTGGATAAAATATACTTGGAAGTTAATGTAATATTTGAACTTATAAACCTAGATAATTTTTGATTAATCAGTTTTTTGAAGGAGCTATCTTGGTAAAATGTTTGTAGTACTATGAGGAATTGTTCACGGTTTGTTGCGGTGCAGATTCTTTTAGCCGTTATATTTTATGTTTCTTTTGGATAAATTTGTGATTGTTGTTGTGTTTCAAGATGTTATTTTTTGTTGTTATATTTCGTAGTATTAATAGATCATTTTAACATTGTATCTTTGCAGCTATGTAAGTTTTCAGTACGTCCTGTTTATGACAAAGGCATGTAGCCGAAACGTCGACAAAGAATTATGTTTTAACACACTGAGTGGAGACTCTCATTTCGTCAACTACAATTAAAAATAAATGATTGACCCACTCATAAGAGCAAAACAAGATTACCATTAATCAAAAACAATAGTAAATTATAAAATAGAGACAGTAAAAATTCTAAAATTATTTTCATTTCATTGCAAGTAAATATTACGAAGCTGTCTTATTAAATAGGCGTTTCCAAAATATCTGAGAAGTTTTGTTGTATCCCATCCTCTTGTAACTGCAATCCTTGTAGCTCTGCAGCTGAAGTTAGGATATCATCAGTGGTAAAATGTACAACTTTGGTGGTAGGCATAAATCCCAATTTTTCTTTTTTCACCTTGTTCGGTCTGTAACTTGGTCATTTATTGTTCAATTGTATAATATATATATCAGCCAAAAAACTTTTAAAATGGCCCAACTATCGGCATTACAGTGACAGACTTCTCCAAATTTAAAAAATTTTCGAAAAAATAAAATATTTTTTTTCTCGATGAGGGACTTTTTTTAGAAAATTTTGAAGGTGTTCAAATCAGCATGAAAAAATAAAAATTGGCCCAGAAGAATTTTAGTGCCCAAAAGCACACTTTTTCTGTGCCCAATATGTACATTACAGATCTTAACCACGCGGTCTATTAGCGCACCCTGCCTCGGCTTATGAGTTGTTCCCTCATTAATTATGTTACTACTATACCGGTGTCTTAGGTTATAAATAGATAAAAGTATCCGTGGGCCAGTGCGAGTCACAGCTGGCGGAATTTCTGAAAAACCGCAAAATTTATCCCGCCATATTTAAACGAACTAAGGTAATCAATATTAGAAGAGAGCCATAAATATGTATCTAGGTTCAGATTCGTGGCACAGAAGTCACCTTTTTTATTACTTATTATAATACATTTCAGGAACTATTCAAGCCCGGTAGATTCTCTCAGAATAACCTATTTTGGAAACAGAACTTGATCCGAGCTGTAATGACTGTAATTGGACTCAGCCTGGCTGTAAGTTGTTTTACACAACTTCCTTGATTTAATTTAGATTAAATACTCACACCAAATTTAACTGTAAAATATTTACTACTACCATAAGGGGTCAAAGGAATGTCATCTCAGAAATCGAACAGATATCAATAATTAATAAACCTAGATCAACATCATTAAATTTCTGACATGAAAATATACCATCAACACCAAACATACGTCTCACCCGATTTAACTCCCAGGCGTCAGGCCTCTCATTCGGACATCTGGTATCTCTGACAGGAGCATTTAGTGGCACTCTAATGCAGTTCATCTTTCCAGCTGCCTGTTACTTAAAATGTTTTAGAGACAGTTTGTCACTTTGTCAGAAACTTGGTATGTGGTTGTTGGCTATTTGTGGGGTTATATTTGGGGGACTTGCCACTTACGTGACGTTGATTGAAATGTTTTCCTGAGGGAGCGTTATATCTAGATACTAATTATTAAATATTAATGTTATAATAAATTGTTTTTTCAATTTTTATGTAGTCATGGGGAGATTTTGTTGGATTCATTTCAATGTTTTTGGGTAGAACAGCTTCAATTTCGTTAAATAGATGTATAATATTTACTAAAATTTGAAATGATCTGTATTTAACAGTTATCCTTAATTTTCTAATATTATTATCCTATATAAATTTCTAATATTATTCTCCTTTATACAATTTAATTTCCAAAGATGCTCAATTGGTTGATATAATTTCTACTACCGACATTTTAACTTTTAGAACTACCCTTAAAGCAGCAAGTAAGTTGTATAAACCTTATATCTAGCTAGCAATGTACCAAGAGATAGACTGGGAAGATGGTCCCAAAGACAAAGACGAAGTAACAGTACGAACCCCAGTCAACATAGCTGTAATTAAGTACTGGGGGAAGAGAGACGAGAAGCTGAACCTACCTCTTCACTCCTCCCTCAGCGTAACCCTGTCCATGTCTGACATGTACACAGAGACAAAGGCAAGACGCAGCAGGGATACAGTCTTCTGTATTAACGGTAAGAAGGTGGTCTATCATAAGCAGTAGTGAAGGAGCTTTTACATTGCAGTTCTTACTAGTGTCGATAACATTTTATCTCTGTAAAAGTTTGAGATATTGCTTTTAAGCATGTTTTAAAATTAAAAATTATTAATCAAGCGTAAAGAATGTTCATAAAATACATCTCAGGAAAAATCGAACCCCCGACAAAAAGATTTGACCGTCTGATAAAGAAGATCCGATCAGAAAACCCGGCAGCAAACGTGGACATAACAACACACAACACATTCCCCACAGCAGCTGGGCTCGCTTCCTCTGCCTCTGGGTACGCAGCACTCGCGTGTGCTCTGAAACTCCTGTACCCGACACGGGGTGTGGTGAGCGAACTGGCGCGGTTAGGTTCAGGAAGCGCTTGTAGAAGCACTGCAGGAGGTTTTGTGTTGTGGGAGAAAGGAGAGGAGGAGGGAGGTGGAGATAGTGTTGCTAGGCAACTCTTCAGTGCTGAACACTGGCCAGAGATCAGGGTTTTAGTGTGTGTTGTGTGTAGGGAAGAGAAAGCAGTTCCCAGTACTGCTGGCATGCAGTCTACTGTTGTTACCAGCAACTTGATGCAGCACAGAGTTGCACACGTGCAGGTCCGGATACAACAGATCACTGAAGCTATCCAGCAGAGAGACTTTCCGACATTCGGGGAGATAACAATGAGAGATAGCAATGAGATGCATGCTGTGTGTCTGGACACGTACCCTCCTATAGCTTATCTAAACGATACAAGTCATCAGATTATCAGGTCTGTTCACAGTTTTAATTCAGATAAGGGTACGGTTAGGGCGGCGTACACGTTTGATGCCGGACCTAATGCTGTTTTATTATGTGAGGAGAGAGATTTTGTGGAGTTGAGAGAGAGGATAAGAGGGGAGTTCTGTGGTAAGAAAGGGAAGGTGACTGAGCTTGTCGAGTGTAAGATTGGGTGTGGACCTTTGGTACTTACTGACTGAGAATTCTATTTTGTAATTTTACTTAAATACCAGTTTTAACTGTTTATCGGCTACCGTAGTGAGTGATCATATCAACAGACTTTCATATTTTTTATTTATCTATTTCTTTAATGCAGTTTAATTATAATATTAGAATTTTTGAGAATTTTTGGTTTGTTTTATAATTTCATATCATCTATTTTATTGACATTCTTCCCTTTTGACTGTTTAATTGAAGTATTCTAAGTGTAAGTGCACTTCGAACAACCTTAAACCAAACACAATTTTCACAATGAATTTAATAATCACATCACAAAGTATTTACTTTGATAACCTGCACCACGCCTAGGATGTCTCCTAAGAACGATGATTCTACCTCAAACCCTCTCTCCAGGAAACTCCAGAAAGTTCTCTCCCTAAAACTAGATCAAGATCCAGATCTTATCGTTGCACTTAAAGTGAGTGTTTTAAAAGATAGAAACTTGAGGTTTTGAGTGTTAAAGTTAACAAACGTAATTGATTGGTAAGAGTTTCAGTGATAGTGCTATACTCCAGCAATACTGGTGAGTACTGGTAAGTATTAGTAAGTACTGGTGAGCACTAGTTCTGACCCTCTCCACTTTCTGCCAGGGTTTGTCCAGTGTAGTCACTACAAACAACCTCCGAACACGACGAAACCTACGAGGAGACTTCGAGAGGAGGAGTGTTAACTTGTCTGTGGAGTTGTGCGAGTCTTTCAGTCATGTTAACCAGCTGGTCGAGAAACTTAACACAGAGGTAGGCGTTAATTATTCGGGACATTACTCGGGAAATTATTGTTAATAATTTCTCGTATCGTTAATTTATTGTTTTTTATTAATTTGCCTGTTTAATGGCACATTTGAACACAAACTCGTGAAGATATCACTCTTTATCGTATGTTATTGCAGATTACTACAATGAGTGAAAGTTGCCAGGAAATGACGACAGAATTGTCTACTGCTCGGAAACAAATGCAAGGATTACTCGAGAAAACGTCTAAGATTAAACGCGAAAGGTCAGTTTTCATAATAAAGGAAATGGAATTTTAATGTCTCATTGGGTATATTATTATTATGTGATTTATTATATTATACAGGGTGTCCCAAAAAACACTATCCAATAAGAAACTCTCCTAATTTTTTCAGTTTTAACTCTTTGGTTCTGATCTCTTGGTATTACTATTATGTTCTAAAGGATTAGGAGATTCGTTTAGGACCATTGGGAGTCTCATATAAACTTGATGGGCAACATATTTTCGATCTTAAAGATATGCGAAAAAATTTTGGTGTGATCCCAGAATAGGTGATAGTTTTCGTCCATGATGGAATTCTAGTTTTGAAACGTTTAGACAGCCCCAAGTTGTAAACCAAGTATACACAGACACAATAGAAAGTATTCTTCGCATTGAGAACTGAGGTTTTTGATATGGTGCAGGGTCTTTTTTGGAGCATTTTCGGGCCACACCCTTTTTTTCATTTAATGGCGTAATTTGGCCCTATTTTCATATTATTTTAAATTTTTGGCTACCTTACTCTGTCAGTACACTTACCAAGGAAACATGTAGGGCCATTAAAGCTAGAAAATCAACGACTTTCGCATAAAAAATTGCATAGTTTATATGCATATTTGGCATATCGTCCATTTTTGGCCTTTGGGTTCCAGGCCTGCTGGGTAAATGACAATTTGTGAGCACCTATTGGGATTTTAAGCATCAAAAGAGGTGTTCATGAGTTGAATGAGACAACAAGGAACAGTTTGCAATCAAATGCATGAAAAAAGGTTTTTTCCTCTTGAGTCTTGGCTCAGCGCTCCGAATGGTGGACAAGCGCATAATTTGAGGACTATTTCGAACAATTTTTGACATTTTAAAAATAATGTAGGCTAGATGGTCACTGAACTGCCTATGAGGTCATTTGGGTTGGATGGCACTAACCACTGTTTTGGTGTATGCCCCCTTAAAGGAGGGGGGGGGGGGGGTCAAACCTGAATTTTTTATGAAAGCAGTTGACCAAACTTGGACCCGTGATCGAACTTTTGAGGGGGCCCTACAGGTCAACCGGTACAGCCACGCCCATATTTGGTCCCTTCTTGGCCCAATTATGCCAAATCACGAGAACATGCCCAAACCCTAATTATTGATGCTTTACTAGTAGTCACTTGAACTCGTATATGAAGTTTCGTCAAGATTAGATACTCAGGACGGTTTAGGAGATGGTGCTTTACCACTTACCACTAGGTAGTTCATTAGTGGAACATAGTTTTAAAGAGTGGTAGAATATTAGCTGTTTTATGGCCAAGTTCTGATTCGAGTTCCGATGCTCTTCAGATGAAACGCGAGATAAACGAAACGAAAACCATAAAACGACTATTTCAACACTATTGGGATGATGAGATCATCTCAAATAGATACTACTGTATATTTATTTTGTTGTCCAAAAACAATCAGCCACAATTTAGTTTAACTGCAAATTTTTAACCGTGACCATTTCTGTTGTATATAGTTTGAGATGGTACAAAGAAAACAATCAAAGATTAGCTAAACAACTAAAAGAATAATTCATTTTAAAACATTCAATTAATAATATCACACAATAAATAGCTGTGTATACCATACATAGATAGCTACTCTGCCTAGGAATGCGCATAGCCTAAACCTCCACGCTCGCGCTTAGGGCTAGCCACGTGCATAATCATAAAATCCTTAACGTTCATAACGTTTATACTCTATAAAATCCATAACCTCCACGCCTGCGCTTCTTGATTTCAACACTTTCGACTTCTTCTATCTTTGGTACCTCCTCGTCGTTCAGGTCCTCCATACGTTTCTCCAGTCCTGTATAGCCATGATGTGCAAAGCCATAACCTCCAGAAGTAGACACAAAAAGAAGTGTTAGGCTTAGAATAAAAATCAGCATATTGAGAGAGGGTACAAGAGTAAGAAAAGATACTAAGGTTTATAGACAAATTCAAAGTGGTCGTAAAAGAACTGAACTGACCTTTTATACAGATATCGTGGATTTGAAAAATTGCGTTTCAGAGGCACTTAACAACGTGTCGCATTGGGTGCTTTCCAGGGGAGGTCAACTGGTTTCAATTATCAGGAAGGCAATTACCAGATAGCTGTTCGTTAGCTAGGGTAATTATAGAACGCTACCATCGACCAGTTCTAAAACTAATAAAAGGGAAAACAGTTAACAAAGGAATTAAGAGAGGAGGATTTAACAGTAACCGTGAGTAACGTCCTCATGAAAGTATCATATTTTGAAAATCGCTCAATTAAATAAGAACCATCGTTGATTTAAATGCTAATTGCAGTTAAGTGCACAACTACTTACTATATTTTAAACTAATTGCAACACTACAAATCAATATCATTTATTGAGGATGATACAGAAAGAATATGTAGTTCGGTGAAGATAAAAACTTGCGACTAGCACGCATCTTCTAAAACCCTAAGCTTCAAAAGAACCCTTACAAGGCGAGGTTCATTGCAGGTGCCCGTTTTTGCGTAACGAAACAACTGAACGTCCAAGTTAACTGTTGTCTGAAACTTCTGATGAAACACTTCAAGAAATACTGCGAGGCAATCTACAACAACAGCGGTATAAACATGTTTTGGAGCATAGATTCCTCAAGTGAATTCCTTGAAGCTATCAGAAATAGCGATGTTTATAATATACAAGTTTATGATTTTACTACTCTTTATACCAGATTAGACTTGATTGAAGTAGAGAACATGATTAATGAAGTTGTTGATTTAATATTTTCAGACCGTAATAGATATATTTGTATTTCTAAAAGAGACAGTAATACATGTTTCTTTTCCAATAAAACCTATGATTCTCATGCCTGCTTTAGTCAAGATGACCTAAAAGAGGCTGTTAAATTTATTATTTATAACACTTATGTTGTCTTCGGCGGGATTGTATTCATACAAACCAAGGGTATTCCTATGGGTGGAAATTCAAGTTCCCCTATAGCTGATCTCACTGTTGGCAAAAAGGAATTTAATTATATGAAACGTTTACTTCAGGAAAAGAAAATGGGATTAGCAAAGATATTATCCAATAATAAACGATATGTTGACGATTTATCTATTATTAACTACCTTTACTTTCATAAATTGATTAAAGATATTTATCCTAATTCATTGGAGATGGAGCGAGCTGGTTCCAATAATAAAATCATTAACTACCTTGATTTAAATATTAATATTTCCACAGAAGGACTAGAAATATCAGTGTATAACAAAACTGATGCAGATGATTTTAATTTTCATGTTGTAAACTGTTCTGAAACTTAGGTGAATAAGTGTACAACGTGCTAAACCGAAGTTCAGACTGACCAGTGAAAATGGGCGAGCGTACCAAGTGTCATTTTAATTAGAAGTTTTAGTCAGTGATTTATTATTGAAGCTTGTCATTACAATAACTAATGCTCCTATAAATACTTTAATTAATTGTTTGTTCCGTTATTCTTTTTCCTTTCTCTTTTCCTTGTCATCCCCTTTAGTTTTAAGATTCTTGCTATAAATGGCTACAGCTAACACTATTAATGCTAAGTACCAAACAACAAGTGGGAGGTGGATCGTTGGTATACCATTAAATCGATTTAACACCGCAATTCCAGTCGCAAGCCTGGGACCACTACTAGCATAGTCACAACATCTACAAAGCTGCCATATAGCCTGACTGACAATTTTCTCGACTGACTGACAATGTTTCTTCTTTTCCCCATTTAGAATACAAAGATTAGTACTTTTAGCTTATGATTAATATTATATTTTTACCTATAGTTTACCTAGATTTTTTTTGTATCTAATTTACTGAAAACTGGAAATTACTGGCAACTGGAGCCTTGTGGTGGGGTCTTAGTCTTATAATCTGTAAAATCAAGCTGCGTGACTCTTCGCACTAATGAATCATACCTGCGTTTGGTGAAAAAGTGAGAGCAGATTCCATTCTTTAATTCACAATATACTGTAATTCAGTGTTATGTGTGTGTGTAGTGGCCCGTTGAAAATTTATCTGAATAATAATTTTAGTTATATTAATTACAATTTTGTGATTTGTAGTGTGCGTGCTAAATCACTCTAAACTTGAATTTCAAGATAGTTGAAACCAACTTAAATTGATGTATTTTTTAAACGCTGATTCAGAATCACCTCACATGTGATAAGGTTTAAAAGTTTTCATGGCGAGATCACGTGATATGACCATATAAGGAGGTTGGACTAATTGTTCGTTAGGGTTTTAGCTTATGCTTCAGTTAGGGTTTGGGTTTGGGTCAGAGTAGAGGGTTAGGGTTTCGAATAGTCATTCAGGGCCACCTAGAGAACTTGTTAAAAAAGTCACTTGACAGTCGAGTGTTGAGTGATTACTCATCATCCGATTTGTAGTGTTACAATAAGTTTTATAACTAGTACAATATACGGTAGGTAAGCATTGTGGATAACTATTTGAAAATATATATTATTATTATAACACTACAAATCTATTACATTTTGAAACTCCGTCCTGGATGGCTGTTAAAAAGCCGAAAATAGTCGAGTCTGAGATCAAATTATTATTCAGATTATAACTTCTGTCGGGCCTCTACGCACACGTTGAATTACAGTATATTTTGAATGGAATCTGCTCTCACTTTCCACCAAAAGCAGGTATGGTTCAACAATCAACAGGGGCGAAGGGTCACGCAGCTTGATTTTACAAATTATGAGACTAAGACCCCGCCCCAAAGCTCCAGTTCTCAGTAATTTGAGTTCTTACATGATCCTTGTGTTGTTGAGAGGCTCTGAGCATAGCAATATCTTTATTAGTGAACGACGGCTTCATTTACTATTTGTATCGTAGAATTGTTTCATTTCAGTAAATTAGATACAAGAAAAACACCGAACTACATATTCCTTCTTATCATCCTCAATAAATGATATTGGTTTGTAGTGTTGCAATTAGTTTAAAATATAGTAGGTATTTGTGCACTTAACTGCAATTAGTATTAAAATAAACGATGGTTCTTATCTAATTGGGCGATTTTCAAAATATGATATTTCCATGAGGACGTTACTCACGGTTACTGTTAAATCCTCCTCTCTTAATTTCTTTGTTTATCGTTTTCCCTTTTGTTAGTTTTAGAATTGGTCGATGGTAGCGTTTTATAATTACCATAGCTAACGAACAGCTATCTGGTAATTGCCTTCCTGATAATTGAAACCAGTTGACCTCCCCTGGAAAGCACCCAATGCGACACGTTGTTTAGTGCCTCTGAAACGCAATTTTTCAAATCCACGATATCTGTATAAAAGGTCAGTTCAGTTCTTTTACGACCACTTCGAATTTGTCTATAAACCTAAGTATCTTTTCTTACTCTTGTACCCTCTCTCAATATGCTGATTGTTATTCTAAGCCTAACACTTCTTTTTGTGTCTACTTCTGGAAGGGAAATCCCTCAAGATGCGAAGGAGCAAAAGATTGAAGAACTGGAGGGCAAGGAGGGGCCAAAGATAGAAGAAGTCGAGAAGCGTGAAGGATGGGGCTATGCACATCATGGCTATACAGGACTGGAGAAACGTATGGAGGATCTGAACGACGAGGAGGGGCCAAAGATAGAAGAAGTCAAAAGTGTTGAAATCAAGAAGCGCAGGCGTGGAGGTTATGGAGGTTATGGAGCTTATAGAGTATAAACGTTATGAACGTTAAGGATTTTATGATTATATGCACGTGGGTAGTCCTATGAGCGAGCGTGGAGGTTTAAGCTATGCGTATTCCTAGGCAGAGTAGCTATCTATGTATGGTATACACAGCTATTTATTGTGTGATATTTTTAATTGAAATGTTAAATGAATTATTCTTTTAGATGTTTAGCTAATCTTTGATTGTTTTCTTTGTACCGTCTCAAACTATATAGTATATACAACAAAAATGGTCACGGTTAAAAAATTGCAGTTCAACTAAATAGTATTGAAATAGTCGTTTTATGGTTTTCATTTCGTTTATCTAGCGTTTCATCTGAAGAGCATCGGAACTCGAATCAGAACTTGGCCATAAAACAGCTAATATTCTACCACTCTTTAAAACTATGTTCCACTAATGAACTAGTGGTAAGTGGTAAAGCACCATCTCATAAACCGTCCTGAGTATCCAATCTTGACGAAACTTCTTATACGAGTTCAAGTGACTACTAACTACAAGTAAAGCATCAATAATTTGGGTTTGGGCATGTTTATGTGATTTGGCATAATTGGTCCAAGAAGGGACCAAATATGGGCGTGCCTGTACCGGTTGGGGTGTGGGACCCCCTTAAAAGGTCGGTCACGGGTCCAAGTTTGGTCAACTGCTTTCACAAAAAATTCACGTTGAACCCCCCTCCCTTAATTCAAAATACGCTGCAATTCAATGTGTGCGTAGAGACCCGCTGGAAATTTAGCAGAATAATAATTTTATCTCAGTGTTATTAATTTCTAAAATTTTGTGATTGATGGTGATCAGAAGACATGAAAACGACGTATATCGAGACGACCCTGTTGCGACTCGACTATTCCGGCTTTTTTAATGGACATCCAAAATGGAGTATCACCTCAATAAATTTTATAGATTTGTAGTGTTATAATTGGTTTCATAATTAGTACAAGAAGCGGTAAGAATTGTGGACAACTAATTGAAAATATATGTCAAAGTATATGCTTATAAATTTTAAAGATATAACCGTTACAGTGCGTCAGTAGAGATGAAGAAGGAAGTGATAACTGCGTTCATCTCTCGATACCACGTGACTCCACAACAAGCTGCCGTCCTGAAAAGATCTGATCAAATGGACCCGGAATTCTTCACTGTGCTCGATCGTGTCAAGAGCATTCACCAAGACTGTAAGATACTGTTACAGACCCACCAAACCACTGGTCTGCAGATTATGGAGAACATGGCTCACCTTCAGGAGCAAGCATTCCAAACCCTATTCAAGTGGACTCAGGTTTAAATAATTCACTTCCGATCCGGCAAATCATAATTTGTGCTGGGCGATGATAGAACTAGAGGATTTTAGTGCAATTTGTAAGTTAGAGGCTCACTTCCAGACAAATAACTACAATCGCTCAATTTTAACGTAAAGCGTAATTTCAAATCGTTTTCCAAAGTCAAACTTCTCAGAATGAATGCCGACACCTAACAAGCGACATTCCCGAGCCATCAACATCTCTCAAACAAGGCTTCCTCATGCTACAAGACCGGGAGAGTCTACTGAAAGCTACCCTAAGTGAGCTTGCTAAAGTGAGACGCGCAGTCCTGCTCCGCATGTTTATAAACTCACTGACGAGGGGAGGACCCGGGGGTACTCCTAAACCTATTGAACTCAGCTCACATGACCCTATCAGGTGAACCAATGAATCTCAGCAAGTTATAAGCGAAACTAGTGCTCTATTGTTGAACAACGTTCAAAATTTTCGAAATTTTAAACATTTTTATCTGTGTTCTTAGTGAGTAAAAAGAGGTATCTTTGCCAAAAATTCCATGTTTGCGAGACAGCTGAACACATTGTCTTAATTCTTCACACTCCCAGGTACGGTGGTGACATGTTAGCCTGGCTCCACCAGACAATAGCCTCCGAACGGGACCTGCTCTCCTCCTTCCTCCCCACAAAAGAGACAGTGGTGACTGTGTTATGTGAGGTTACGGAGGGTGTCTCCCGGACTCTGAAGATAAGGGTCGAGCAGATCATTAACAATACTGATGATTGTATTACCTTGTTGCAGATCTGTAATATCATCCAGTTCTATCTGTCCACCATCAAACCTTTCCTCTCGTGAGTAGTAATTGTATAACTAATGATTTAATGTGTTGGTGTATGAAATGTGTTGGTGTATGGAATAGGAGCACGTACCGTGAGGTGACGTATGAGGGTGATGTTGTTAGACCGGTAGTTGAACTACCGATCTACCTGTACTTATTTTATTTACCAGGACCTTTGGTGTTAAATCATTATCCTTGAAATTTAATGACGTTAATTCCCCAAAGCAAATAATTTTGATACCACGTGCGGCTATCGGTTTAACTAGTGAAAAACGATATGTCTTGTTGACTAAATCCCATTTGTAAAGACATGACCGCCTGAAAAGTTACCGCCCACCACTAAACTAAGATTACACATCTTGATTCAACTGGCATCCTCCCACAGGACTGCCATACCCCAGAGGTAGGCAAATCATTCATATGCTATCCTCTCGTGGGCAAACCAGGCCCAGCCTCTTTAAAAAAAAAAAAAAAAACACTAAACTAAAGTGATATAGACAAACTATAATAATAACATACGTTACTAAAGCAATGTAGACATAACTTATGATCAATTTTGAGGAGTTATACGGGATGCAGATGACCATAACCAACATACCCTGGATAATAGCAAGGCTCTCCCCATGTTGTCATCTGATTAAACTTTCAAATATTAGACACAATGATTACAATCTGATAGTGGAATATTTAAAAAGCATCCCAACATTTCCAAATCTTTGGAATAAAACATTCAATTTCAGAGAAGCAGCGCCCCTGATAACCCTGATATCAGAACTAAACACCCAGTGTAGGAAACAGTTTAACAGACACTATGCTCTCAGTGTTTCTAGATTGTCGGACAGAAACGAGCTACCTGGACTGGGTAAGTGTAGTTGCTATATCAGTTGCTATATATATAGTAGTTTCTATATCATCACAATTCATTCAGGGTTGAAGAAAAAATCAAGAAAATAATGTATAGCGCAAGCTACGACTTTGTTTTTTCTTTAAACTTTTGTAAAAGTCTAAAGAAAGAATACATTACGATATAAAACCCGTTCAGTGCAAAAAAAGAATTGCCCGAAATGAAATCAATATTACCTGATAGATATAATATCGAGTATAGACTTCCAACGTTTCAAAACCTTACTCTAATTGAGTTATACATCTTCTACTGATTCGTGAATCAGATTTCAAGCTATATTACGGTATACAAAAATATATTAAGCATCACAATAAAACTAGCTAACAATTTCGATTAAAAACTTTGTTCATCACATTTAGTACGTCTTTCATAATGATTAGGAAGCAAGCTCTTGCTCATATCAACATCATAACCAGAGTACCCAAACGCTCTTGCGTCATTACCCAAGTGCAAGTAGACAAATTGTTTTAATAACTCCGGGAGGTTCAGCCACATTTCCTGCACCCCGCCCTTACTCATCACACCTTGTTGGGTACTTGCTATTTGAGGCAGATCGTACTCTATTCCTAGTTTATTTTTAAGAAACTCAAAGTCAGTGTTCATTGTTTCGACAGTACCTATGAAGTCATAGTCAATCCTGCAATGATCACACATACTCAGCATATCACTGAAATGCGTGTTTACCGTCAGATCTTTCAGTGCATCACCCTTGAAATCTTGTGGCATGAATATTATAATCAAGAAGAATATCCCAAGGGACACGATTTGCTCACCACCACCATTACAATGCTGCTTCACTTCCTCCAACATGTACGAGTATATCTCATCTGGGACCAGATCTCCATCAGGTCTAACCAAGAGCAGCTCCTCAAGACACGTGCACATTTCTAATGCGCGTCTTGTTCTGTAAACTTTGAAGGAGTGCTCTTGTGAACTTCCCGTGAACTTGTCTCTGTAAGCTGAGAGCAGCCGTGACAGGGGATCCCTTACGAACGTGACCTTATAATACTCATTCCTTATCGTCCTTATCATCTTACGTCTCTCCCTCCCCTTGTAAAAATACACAGTCCCTTTATCCACCCAGTACTCCTTACCATGGGGGTACGTCATGTTCCTAGCCCCCTCCTCTGTGATAACTCCTTTCATCTGTAATATCAGAGTTCTCCAGTTGGAGGAACCTGTTTTGCCCATGACACAAAGTGCGAACTTCTTGTGGACAACAGGTAACATGCGTTTAACAACCCCTCTACTGGGGTAGAGGCATGTTGTCAGCTCTGAGTACTGTTCACATCTCTCTTTTACTAGTCTAGCTCGCTCCTCGCCGTTGATGAAAGTGGATGTTTCGATAGTACTGTCAACTGGTATTTTCGGTTTCTCATATTGATCAACGGTTTCATTAACCTCGATGAAAACTGAAAAAAACGGTATGTGAGACTCTTATCAATTTTTGTTGTCATGAAAAAATCTAACTGGAATCGGGCACGAAACAATGAAATTATTGAACAAAGTTCTAAAAACTCACTGTATAGGGTAGATAGGGCACCTAGAAACATCAAACATTTTAAACATAGTCCTTTAGTATTCATTAACCAACTAAAGCACGCACTACACAGCACTACAAGATAATTGCAATAATGTACATGAGCGTGTGTAGAATAATGAAGTTCTGGTGGTACAAATGCTTAGTCGACGTGGCTGTCACACCAGGTCTCCGAAACAGACCAGTTTAACCTCGTAATGACACAACTTTCTGTGCGGCGTTAGTTACCAGATATTGTACATTACTTACGAGCGTGCTAAATCACTCTACAGTCGATCTTCGAGATTGTTCTAAAAGGGCCTCCGACAGTTGAAACTAACTTCAATCGATGTATTTTCGGACGCTGATTCCGAATCACCCCCCATGACATAGGGTTAAAATGCTCCCCTGACGAGATATTGGCGAAAAACTGTCTCGATCACGTGATATGACCGTATAAGGAAGTTAGTCTAATTTCTCGTTAGGGTTGGGGTTTCAGCATATGCTTTTGTTAAGGATTGAATTAGGGTTAGGGTTGGGATCAGATTAGAGGGTTAGGGTTTCGAATAGTCGTTCAGGACCAGCTAGAGAACGGGTTGAAAAAGTCACGTGACAGTCGAGTGTAGAGTGATTAATCATCATCCCATTACTTATACTGTTCACCACTGGTCAATAAACACCACAAATTACGGTATAATAATCTGTATCCGTGTGTGTACAGGTGAGGGTAACCAGACTATGATTAAGGCGTGGTGTAGTGGTAAACACGTGGGGTTTACCACCTGGAAAGTTAGTGTGACCTTGCCCGCATTAAATTAAGACACCGTCATTACTAATGACCAATGACTCATTAGTCATTATTTAAGTTATGGGTCTCCTTTATAAGTTCTGTAGACTTTCAAAATATCCATCAACAGTTAACATATAGCGCCACTAAACTCGAGGTTAAACGGCGACGGACAAATTTACATAACCGTTCGCCTATCAAATCTATTTTAATTTTTAAATTACAAATTAATGCTCATAATTTAAAAACAATTAACAGTCAGTCAATGAGGATTCATTGATACTCCCTATACCTGTGTCTATTGAGTATGTATTACTTAATCTCATACATAATACATTAATTACATTTTGTGTATCAGCATTGTTTCAACAACTTGGTAACAATAAGCATGATTATTTAAGTCCTAAATATTTCTGATCTATTTAAAAATATCACACATTGACGTGAACCTCCACACAGATCTGGTGCCTACGATGGCATTCCAGGAAGCTGTCCATCTACTGAAGATAATACTAAATACACATGATGTTAGTGTGGTACCGGATGTAAGCCCTCTCTCCTCCATGACTGAGGTTAGTTTTCCTGTTAACACTTCTGTAACTGAAATGAGAAAGTATATTTACACAGTTCAAAAGTCACACAATGATAGAAAGAATTCTGACTTAATTTGAAAACATCGTTTACAATCTGTTCCTGAATAATGTAGGATAATATAATATGTATCTTACTATTATATATAAAGCGAGATGATATATATCTGACACCACGACATCAACTTTAACACGACTTTCCGGGAAAATCGTGAAAGATATACTATTGAAACGATTTTGGGTGGGCCCAATGTTTTTATTGCCTTTTGACCAGTAGAATAAGAAATTTCAGTCCCGAAATTTGGACCCTTAAGTGGTGTCAAAATTGCAAAATAAATAAATATTGTTGGGTCTTGATACCACTTTATTTATGGTTAGACGGGTTCCTGTTAGTATAATTAAACACTGAATATCGTTCGATATCTAATTTAAATTTTATTTTTACAAAATATCTTCCTATCGTATTGAAACTTATCTCCTTCTAAGCCGTCTACTCTACAATCAAATCCAAATCAATCGTTCTTGTTTCTTAAAAAAAAAGAAACGGGCCCCCTCCATAAACAGTAGATGAGCGGATGGAAATACACAATAAAACCTCATCAAAATTAAGCACAGTGGACAGACCACGTTAAATGTAGAAAGAAAGTTGTAAAAGATAATTAAAAGATATCACCGTAAATGAAAGTTGATTTATACTCTACTCGAAGGAAATAATTGACTAATCGAGTAGTCTAAGTGCTAAAGGAAATTTCCCATTTTTTGTTTTTTCCTGTTAAACTGTGCCGGAGCTTTGTTTTCGATATATACAGGGTGGCCCATAAGTGACTACCCACACGCAACCTCTTAATAACTCACGTAATTCGTCTCCAAATTGCACCAAAATTTCAGAGATTATAGATATGGGTCAAACTTAGATTTCCTGAAAGTTTCGTAAGCCACGCCCAATTACAGTGGGCGTGGCGTGACACTCCCTCTTTTTCACTATTGTCTTCATAAAATGAGAACGCTTTAAGCTAAGAACTCAAAATTTTTTGCACACATTTGGCTTGATAATTGAAAACTTTTCCAAAAGTTTCAAGTTCATTGGTTAAAATATGGCTGAGTTATGACCATTTTAAAATCCATCGGATATGTGATCCGAGCACTCAGTCAGTGATATTTGCACTCAATTAGTGATCTCGTCACCCAATCTGATCAAGAGTAAGGCGTTAGCGTGTATTAATGAGGTTCATTAGGCTTTGATTGGATACCGATGATGACTTTGCTAGAAAGGGAATATATATATATATGAAAAGTTTCAATCCGTGAATACTGAACATTTATATGATGAAATATTGATTGTAAATAATTTCCTCGAGTCGTCTGTATTAAATGTTTGATTTGATTCGTTCTGTCGTCTAATGACTACTCAAACTCTGTTTGAGATTAAGAATGCTGGACAGAGGAACGCTTTAGGAGGCTGGAAGATATTTGTGGTCATATCATCGGGCCTTGGTGATACCAACAACCAATGCATTCGATCTCCACAAAATAATTGTGGTATTTATCCAGAATATAATAGCAGGACAGGGACATAAAGTATGAGGCAAACTCAACAGTTATGCACAGGGATAATTGATATGGATAATATCCAGGTTTACACCGACCCTGCAGCTTATCGTGGACAGAGATAACATTATCTTCCGACTTCCACTACCGGGTGTATTCTCATATGGCTAAAATTTCATCTGACTTTTGGAAGGTCAAATTTCTTAGGAATTCTTAAATCTTACTATTCAACTCACTTTGTCGTGAAATGAAATGAGGTATTTATATCCCGCTCATATGATTAACCAACAACACAAGGAAGGTGGTTAACCATGTCAGAGCGGCTGACTGTGAGTGATGTGAGCAAATGTGTAAAAATGAACAAGAGTATAACGTAATATTAATATAAGACCAAGACAAAATTAAAACATCTTTTATTTTAAACCACACTAAACTAAAAAGAAGCAGAGACCATACAATACATGTAGGTATAATAAAGGTTAGTACAGTAGTACAGTGACATAGAAAGGTAGAGAACTTAGACATAAAATGGAGTGCGGTAAGAAATAAAAGCCAAGGTGTCTTGCAAAAAGAAGACATATGGAAAGAAAAAACATCAAAACTGATTATATAAATGGTTCTTTAACATTCGCTTGAAGCAGTTGGTATCAGTAATACATCTCAACATCAGTGGAAGAGAGTTCCATGCAATCGGTGCATGGCTTGAGAAACGTCTGTCATCAACTTTGGACTTTTTATTCTTTGGTACCTTGAGCATGAGATGGTCACCAGGTGTCTAAAGTTAGCATAATAATCAATTTAATTTAGTGATTACAAGATGAAATCGTAACATCAGTTGTTTAAAATATCTTATAATATTTGTTCCTAGTATCCCCCTATAAGAACTATCAGTACCTTGGATCAATAGTATGTTTCAAAACCGCTCCCCTCCGCTTGATTACAGTTCGTGGCACACGACAGCTACTGTCTGGAGCTTCGGGTGGTACGTGAGAGATTAAGGAGGTTACACGAGATCCCTAATAAGGTCACATGAGAGGTCACATAATGAGGTCACATGAGAGGATTGATGGGATCATTAAGTCACGTAGCAGGTCTGATTACGTCACGTGACGCCCAGTCACCCAGGACAACTTGATAGTAATAATAATACTAATTGGGTCACGTGAGATAATTGGTCGTCACGTGGTGGGTCTGAATAGTTCACATGAGAGTGCTTGATTGTCACATGACACTATTGAGACAGTCTCATGTTTGGGCACGTGGGAGTCTAATTACCTTCTATTATAAATAGTTTGCGGCAGTTGGAGTCCTTACAAATCATTCATTGTTACCAATTTCTCTTGAGTTTGTTTACCTCTGAATTAGTGTTCTATTGGAACTTCCTGCTCTTTTCGTTTATTTTACGACCCACAATATTTTCAGGGCAAGTTGCCTTGTAGTTTACAATTTTCACAATTCAGGCCACAGCACTTGATATTTTACCTTATTGGGTTTAATTATTATTACGTCAACTGTCTCCCGCCCTCATCCATCTAATATCGCGCTTTTGTTTGCTCGGAAAATAATATGCCGTATGTGATTTTAGCACTGCTCTACTGTTGTTATTTCGCTTTCGAGTCCAATGGCCGAAGATACATGTAGATGTCGTCTCTTCAGTATTTTGCCGTTGTTTTTTCTTATTATCAATCGAACAATACAAATCTGATTTTTAACTGTTAAGTTCTAAGAACGATATTTTTCATACATAATCTTACCAAACTGCTTCCCAATAGCTTGAACAGAAAGGCCACATATCCCACTACTACCCCAGTTACTACCATGTATACCAGCACAGAACCCTCCACTACCCCTATCATCTGCGCTAAGATCCACTGTATGGCTTGGCTCCCCGACCCTGACGGTGGCGGTCTCCTAGCTACTGGAAACACAAGCTCAGCGGTCTCCGTAGCCATTGTCAACGAACAGAAACAACAAAACAACTCCTACAAAGTGTGCGTCCTAAAACCGGTGCTTAGCTCCATCCTCCACCCTCTCCGACCCCAACTGAAGGACGTGACCCACGTATCCTGGAGCAAGAAGTACCAGTTCCTGGCCAGTTGCCATGGTTACAACCACGTGCTCATCTGGGACAGACATGGCAACAGGGTAACCAACAAACCTGTAGTTATCATCAGAGACGAATCCCAGGACACCAACAGAACAATTCCAGCTTGCACAGTCAGATGGGCCCACACTAAACCAACACTGCTGATCACCTACGAGGACGGCATCATGAAACTTGTCAAAGTGGCTAACGAAACCAACACCAGTTCTCAGATCAGCGTAGATAACATCTCTTTCTCTGACGCCTACTACAACAACGCACTCTACAACGGAGCTGAACTCGACCCAGAAGAGAGGACAGTTAAACTGAAGAGCTCCTGCTGGTCACATGATGACGAGGTAGTTTACAGTGCAGCGGAGAACAGTACGGAGATCCTGGTAACCAGTGTAGCCGGAAGAAGAATCGTCGCCAAGATATCCATCGACATCCGCGTTGAGGTAGGTTCAATTCCATTTAGTCAGTTAAATGCGTTTTTATCATCAATCTTTGATCATCACCAAACTAGTGTCCAATGTCCATCCTCCCAATTGTAAAACCCCTAATTAACTTTTTAAAATCTAATGTTAAATTCCCCCGCAGGAGCTACACTCTTGGTGCTGCCCAGATCGAGGACAACTCCTGATAATCCACCACCCCTGCGCAGCTGCTACCATAGTCAACGTGGACCCTAAGCATCAGATTCTCGAAGAGAAACTAGTCCTGACTCCCTTCGCTATTGGTTCCACGAAAATGGCGGTACGACAAACAGACGGTCTCATAGCTATCGGAGGACGTGTTAACAGTACGGGAGCTAACATGGTGTGTATCTACCATACTACGGGGAGTCTGATGAAAAAGGTTGTTACTCCTTGTGACAAGTTTATCTCAGCACTCTGCTGGATTGGGAGGTCATCTCTCTCCGTAGCTACAAAGAATCACGTTCACAACATCACCGTCAGCAAGTCCATACCTTCCCTGGAGTTTCTAGCAAGTCAGGCTGTAACGAATCTGCAGAAGAGAGCAGCTGGACCCAAACTACCAACCAACATCAGGATAAACTTTGAGATCGCTAAACGGACTTTACCTAAGAATACGCCGCGGGTTTTCTCTGATACAGACAGTGCCAGCCAGTGTACTCTACGGGTGGTGAAAGGAGTGACGGGAGTGCAGGAGGCGCAGTTCATGGTCGCTGAAGTGGGAGGTGAAGCAGTGGCACTGAGAGCGATCAAGCAGACTGGTGTTATGTCCCTCGGGGTTCACTACGACATCATGCTTAGGAACGACTGCATGAGAACGGACGAGAAGCAGCTTGGACTGATAAACCGGCACAACAACAACACGGCCCCCAAGATGCTGAACTGTTCCTACACTGATAACTTTACACACGCCCTGAGGATGTCACACAGACCGCTCAGCAGAGGAAGCACACTGGTCAGCTCCCTGGAAAGCAACAAGTCCACCCTGTTTTACGGTCTCCACTACTCAGAGAAGAGGAACCTGCTAACTGTACACCTCTACAACAGCTCCATTGGAGCCATCTCAGGGACTGATAATACCCCCTACGTTGAAGCTACTGGACTGATACAACGACCTGCTCCTCATGAGAGTGATGATACCAGTCCTACTCGCACTGTCGTCCTACAGTTCCAGAACACTGAGGTGTTCCAGCTGCTCAAGTGGCAGAAGGGAAGTTACAGTGTCCGTTACAAGTCTCCTTTTACCATGTGTGCTGCTTTCTGCACCGCAGTCAACTGCATCTCCAGAAAACTTATCTGATCATTATTATTTCTTGTTTGTAATTTTTTTCGAAATTACTTTTTTAAATTCTGACTTTAAAATCACTACCAAACTGTGTCATCGGGCAATTTATTGTCAGTCATATTAATGAAAATTAACGAGTATTTTCCCAAGTTTACGAGGTGTAATGGCGTTGTTTAGCAACCTAGCCGCACATGACATTTTCTTGACAATCATTGGTCAGAAAATGTCACAATTTACCAATTTCTAAATATGAAGCTGCCTTCTTGTTCGTTATCACATATCGATCAGTACTTTTTCATCGACATACCCTTCTCAGCCGTTACGACTTTAAAGAAGGCAGTCACGTACAGTTTCAGAAAATATTTATATTCAGCGTCTGCTTTTGATATTCAAAGGTCACTTTTGATAACTGTTTTGTTATGTAATATTGATTATATGCAGTTATTTTTATTCGTGTGTTTATCAGAAGTTTATCGAACAAATTATTTACTAATCGTTATTGTTTTCTTGCCTTTTAATAACCTGTTCCAGAAGGACATGCCAGACTTTCAGCTGATTCTAAACATGACCCTTCTATTCATATAAATTAGATTAGGAATTATTTCCGAACTCATAAACATTCATTTATAAGATTGAGTCCTTTACAGCAGGCTTGATTGTAGCCGATTTCTCAAGTTTTTTCATTTAAGTTAAAAACAATTTGTTTAGTAAGCACAAATAAACAACATTCTCTGCGATAAAGGCAATTCAAAACTAAAATTAACAGGGTCAGTTCAATAAAATCGATATGATAAAATGATAATCATGCATATATTGTAAATACAGTTTGATTCCTCTGAGTTGATATTCGTCGACCAAGGATTAGTTTCAGAAAGCTACAGGAACATTAAATGAAGATCTAGGTAGCTTTCGTTTTACATTTTAGGACGTAACTAGTAAACCTCGTGTCTGTCTTTCCTTTAGGTATCTTATTTAACCAACAATTGTTGTTATTCTTGCAGGTAACAGCATTGCATTCTTTCAATCCCTCACAAGCTTTTTGGGCATCAGCTTTCTTCAAGATATCTCCCTGGATCCTTTGCTTCATCTTCTGGTCTTCTTTTGTTACCCATTTACATGTCTTTTTGTCATCCTCACCATCGTCACCATCGTCACCACCATCTCCACCATCTCCATCAGAACCGGTGACAAGGGGATAGTGGCCGTATTTGGAGATTGAGCAGGTGTTACCTCCTCTCTTTATCATGATGTATCCCCCAAGTCCCCATCCAGGCCCCCAACTGTTCCTGACTTTCCAGTAGTCCTTACCGGAGTCTGTACCGTAACCTACAACGTCCATAGCATGGTTGATTGATGTGCATCCACTCCCTCCCGAGTAAACACCGCTCTTGTAAGAGAAAAAGCTATCAATAACTCCAAAAGCGACGGAAATGACCCCAATACTCGCATCAGAAACAGCTGCTTTCATGGCATCATCTCCTTGAGCGAGATATTTAGTCCCAGTGACTGTATACCCCTGGATTCCTGTCTTAATACCCTGGGCAGAACCACGGCAAGTTCCATCTGAGGCTACATAAGGATAGTCTCCGTTTAAAGCGATCATGTTGCCGTTCTTTTTGGTCCAATCGTAACATTTAGACGGCCACCCGCCCTTACATCCATCACGAGTACCCTCGTACACACAGTCCAGATACTGCTGCTCTGACAGAGACTTGACGGTTTTACTCTCCTTGTTGACTTGGTACTCCAGCGCTGCAACAGCTCCAAAAGCCCAACAGCTCCCACAACCCCCTTGCTGCTTAATTCCAGGCAACTTGCTGGTGTAATCAACAGCTGCTTGAAGTTGACGCTTCTCAAAGTCATAGTCGATCTGCACGGGCTCACGAACAACACTCAGAGATTTTCTCTGCTGTTCTATGATATCTGACGCGTTCAGACCTGTCCACTTATCGTATCTCTCTGTTCTAGACATGAGTGCAAACATGTTTACCTCAGCTACAAAACCATCCGGATCCTCGTTGTTGTGTTTCTCTACTCCTCGAACAAACTCACAAAACTCAGCGAAATGTTGCTTTGAGTCTTCCTGAGAGGATGAGACGACCGGCAAACCGTATTGGGCCTGGGTCTTTCTGTACAAGTCCCGCATGTCATCGGAGAGTACTGCCGCTATCACAGCAATGAATGCCAGTAGTGGTAGTAGCTTTATCATCTTAAAGGGGATTGCAGGGTTTGTTATATTTATTTCTTAATGATGGATTTAGTAATATGCACGATTAAGATGAATTTTGAAGCAAAAAATGAAAGATAAATAAAATGGCAGAATGGTGTTCCACAAATAAAAGAGACACGGCAAAATGGAAAAGATGAAGCGTACTAAGTTTTCTCAGCAAGCTCACCCTTTTTAAATGGTTCAATCTTCTGCCTCGACCTTGTTAGACCATTGTTTCAGACGTCTCTCTTTGTATCTTTTTGTGATCGGTGAAATTCTACCCCCGTCCATTGTGTCCCCGGCAAAATAATGAAGCCTATTTATAGTACTAGATAATAAACTAGGCAAGAAAAACAACAGCACAGTCCATGTACGTAAACAAGTTCCTTGTTATCCTGAATTGGAGGATCTATCCTCGCCGGTAAATCCGCCTTCCAGAAGAAGTGGATCTCCAAGCAAGAGTATGAAGAATCTGGCCCCATGTGGTCTCCATGGAAGAATTTTTTTAACCGTGAATTTTTGGTTTCCTAGCTTTGATGATTTGTTTTGATTGGATTTATAACTTTTTACTTGTAATTTCAATTTTTAAAATGCTTCGTTAATTTTGAGTCAAAAAGAATAAATGAGCCATAAAAATGATCGAAACTGTGTTTCAACGAACCATAGATTACTTCTATCAACAATAGTTCAAAATCGTCAACTTGTACGAAGCAGCTGACCAGAGAATTTAAAAACGAAAACTCTAAGAAAAGAGTTTCACAATTCTAAATTAAACAATGACCATCATATTTGCAGGGAATCCCCCATCTTTCTTGTGTTATCCTCTTTTTCGTCGTGGTAAAAGTTGTTCTGACCAGATATGTTGGTTTTTGAGAATTAACGTATATTCTTGATAATAGCATTCAGCGGTGAAACAGAGTTAGTCACGTGATGAGAAGTAGCTCTGATTTTCAAGATCTCACCACAACTTAAGGGTTTTGATTGGCATGAATCCTGACTCTTGTACAGAAATAGGTCACGCATTTCTGTCGTCTTTATAGAATTATAGCCTCTATCATGTCAGACAACGTAAATTTCAGTGTGTCAATAACAATAATCACCGAACATCATTCTTGTTTCATATTTAAAACGTAGGGCCCCAAACGTATTACAACAGATTCCAAGTCCAATTTTAGTCCACAGTTTGCGAAGTCCTGTTCAGCTTTCACGGACTCTGTTCAGATGACTAAATTTCTTGATATATCTTCAGTATCTCCAGTTGATCTTTCTGTTACAATGAAGCTAGCATAACTTGTTAGATAAGTCGTCACTGTCTCCATCCTCGTTTTAAGAAACTGTCGAAAACTGGGCACAGTTATGCTATAAACAAAGACGTTACCGACAACGTTGAAAAACATGATCGTTTCCGTGACTCGTGGAACGATCACTCGGTACGACTCACTGGTCACATGTGACCAGATCACCAAGTTTACAGCCTCAGGGAGGAATGACAGACAGTACACTGCAGCTGTCAGAATAACTGTCGCAATACCTTGCCAGCGAGCATCACTCCCGGCGCGCTTTGCTACTTTTCTTGCATGGAAGAGATGTTTCACCAAGAGGACAGATGACATTACAGTGATGATGGTTGGGATCACCGCAAATGTTGCCAATAGGGTAGGCTTCAGAATCTTCCATGATAGTAAGGGGAAAAGTGGTCGATTAAAGGGTTCCGTTGGATTTGAATGTTCACAAGGATTTCTCAACGGAATATGGTAGTTAGGACCCCTACGAACATAATTAGACTTGTTGCCAATTTTGTATCTCAACAGAAACACCACTTTTACCACTTTTTACCACCTTTGTACCACTTTTCTGGTTTGCCAAATATCTTTAGTTGTGAACGTCGTAGAAGGCTGAAAATTAACCTAGAATGTTTATCTTATCAAGGAGTAAAACTTTTGTATCAAAAATTTTTACATTGGACAATCAGCTAATTGGATAATTACCAATTAGTTAATCACCAAAAAAAGTGAAAATTTTTTATTGGCTCAAAATGATTGAAATCGTTTGAAACACGGAGAAATGTAGTTTTTAGAAAAACTTCAAAAATTTTTCACTTAAAATTTTTTTTCGAGACTTCAAAAAAAAAGTTTGAAAATTTGAAAATATTTTTTTTCCGCCAAAAGTGATCGAATTGCATGAAACGTGGATAAAAATGCCTTGCAGAAAAATTTCGAAGATTTTTAGATTGAGGAATACTAAAATCATCAATATTTGAAGTTGGAGTTCAGTAAATCTCGACATATTTTAGTAATTAGGAATAGCTTAGCGGAAAGGGCTGGACCTGAAAAAGGTTAACCACACAATATTAGAGTTTCGTAACTAATTACAATACAGCTTTATCAAATTCCACATAAAGAAACAGCACAAAAGGACCATTTAAGATCGAACCGATTTTACCTGCTGTACTATCATTTTATTGATTTCAATGATCAAAACCTCTGTCAATCTTGCCAATCTATACCGGGTATCTGAATGTACCGGACCTCTTATTTACCTCTATAATTAGACCCAGTTGTGCAAGAAATGCGATTTCTCACAGGGGTTTCTTTAAACTGTGCACTTTTTATCACTCTCGCAACTCGCAAGAGGCCTGGTATTATAGGGGGGGGGGGGGGGGGGGGGGGGGGGGGGGGGGGGGGGGGGGGGGGGGGTATAGGAAGCGAGTGTAATTATACCTTCCATCATCCATTGTGGCTTTTTTGTATTGTGAATGCGCATGCCGCTTCGTTTGCTATGCCATATACCTCGAATAACCCCCATATGTCATTGCCAGGGTCGGGATAGAGCTGGAGATAGCATTGAAAAGTTGCTAGAAATAGCTAGATTTAGAGTAAACTGGTGGTAGCTGGGTGGTGCTAGCATGGATGTAGCAGAACGTAGCTACACGGGGTTTCATTGGAGTTGGTTATTTTAATGGCCAAAGAGTGCCGGAACTAAAGTTACTTAAGATTGCAGTTTAGGGGCAGTGTAAACCACGGTGTAGTCAGGGACACAGAGCTACAGTGCAGGAGTACTGCAATAGAACAGTGCAAGTGATACAGTCTGCAACAGTAAAACGCCGACGAAGCTAGACTTAGAGTGAACTGATGGAAGCTGGGTGGTGCTAAAATGGAGGTAGCAGAACGTACTACATGATGAAAACAGGAAAACTAAGGCTGGTTGAGACCTAAAAAGATGTGAATCTGTCCTGATAGATCCAGTGAAGAGCGAGTAGCGAAGAGTTTGATCACTAACCTAAAGCTCTAAAGAAGAAGAGGGCTAAAGAGACTCACTTTGATCAATAAATCCGGTACGGCAAGGTCTGTAGCCTTGATAAGAAGATACCATGAAGTAATTCATGCAGAAAAGTCGATTTATATAAAGGGTTTCGTTGGATCTAAAAAGGGTGGGTCAGTCTCTCTGTTTTCATAAGATTCTGATGAAATGCTGTTAAGCTCAGGACGGTGATCTTAATAGGTCGGATAGCTGTATCTGGTTGCTTCCAGCCCACCCTTGTCGCTTGAAAATAAGTTCTCACCCCACCTCTTCCAAAAATACAGTTACCAGAGCAGGAAACTCTTCTTCCTCCTCTTCTTTCAACACAAACACAATCAGGTTCCAGCTACTCTCCTCCTCTGTAGCCACAATCTTACCTCCTTCTTCGGAGTTTTACTGTTGCAGACTGTATCACTTGCACTGTTCTTTTGCAGTACTCCTGCACTGTAGCTCTGTGTCCCTGACTACACCGTGGTTTACACTGCCCCTAAACTGCAATCTTAAGTAACTTTAGTTCCGGCACTCTTTGGCCATTAAAATAACCAACTCCAATGAAACCCCGTGTAGCTACGTTCTGCTACATCCATGCTAGCACCACCCAGCTACCACCAGTTTACTCTAAATCTAGCTATTTCTAGCAACTTTTCAATGCTATCTCCAGCTCTATCCCGACCCTGGCAATGACATATGGGGGTTATTCGAGGTATATGGCATAGCAAACGAAGCAGCATGCGCATTCACAATACAAAAAAGCCACAATGGATGATGGAAGGTATATTTACACTCGCTTCCTATACCCCCCCCCCCCCCCCCCCCCCCCATAATACCAGGCCTCTTGCGAGTTGCGAGAGTGACAAAAAGTGCACAGTTTAAAGAAACCCCTGTGAGAAATCGCATTTCTTGCACAACTGGGTCTAATTATAGAGGTAAATAAGAGGTCCGGTACATTCAGATACCCGGTATAGATTGGCAAGATTGACAGAGGTTTTGATCATTGAAATCAATAAAATGATAGTACAGCAGGTAAAATCGGTTCGATCTTAAATGGTCCTTTTGTGCTGTTTCTTTATGTGGAATTTGATAAAGCTGTATTGTAATTAGATTTTAGTATTCCTCAATCTAAAAATCTTCGAAATTTTTCTGCAAGGCATTTTTATCCACGTTTCATGCAATTCGATCACTTTTGGCGGAAAAAAATATTTTCAAATTTTCAAACTTTTTTTTGTCTCGAAAAAAAAAGTCTCGAAAAAAAATTTTAAGTGAAAAATTTTTGAAGTTTTTCTAAAAACTACATTTCTCCGTGTTTCAAACGATTTCGATCATTTTGAGCCAATAAAAAATTTTCACTTTTTTTGGTGATTAACTAATTGGTAATTATCCAATTAGCTGATTGTCCGATGTAAAAATTGTTGATACAAAAGTTTTACTCCTTGATAAGATAAACATTCTAGGTTAATTTGCAGCCTTCTATGATGTTCACAACTAAAGATATTTGGCAAACCAGAAAGGTGGTACAAAGGTGGTAAAAAGTGGTAAAAGTGGTGTTTCCGTTGAGATACAAAATTGGCAACAAGTCTAATTATGTTCGTAGGGGTCCTAACTACCATATTCCGTTGAGAAATCCTTGTGAACATTCGAATCCAACGGAATGCCACTTTTCCCCTTACTATGACTTAGAGGAATTCCCCAGAAAACTGCACGTGTATTTGCTTTCATCGACTTTTACATCATCTTTATCTACCATGAGAAACACACCCGGGACACAACATGACAAAGTCCACAGGCCTGCACAGACCATGTGGGCGTGTTTTATTGACCTAGATCTTGCTTTAAGGGGGAACTTCAACATCAGCAGCTTCACCACCGTCATCCCACAAACCAGGAGTATGCTCGCAATGACACCACAAGATCCTAGGTAAACCTCCACGTAGCAAACAAATGTTCCGAAGACCCATCGGTTCATCATTAAAGAAACACTTTGTGTGAAGATGGTAACAAATGATATGAGGAGGTCACACGCAGCGATGTGCTGGATGAACGTTACTATGAGTTTATTCAGTCTAAAGGCTTTGTACTTAATGGAAGCTACAAGAATGGTGGTGTCTCCTAAGAGAGACACTAGAAACAACAGCATTAGCCAAACTGCCCAGATGAGGCGTTCAACATCGTTTTCTATCCGTTTGTAGGCTGCTGGGTTCCAATGTGAAGACTGGTTTAAGGTCATAGCTAGATTGAAATAGTGAACTGTTATTTATACCTATTTTCAAAACAAATATTATATAAATGTAATAATAATATCAGAAATATAATTGAAAATTCATCGTGCATTTCAAAGATGGGATATTGAATATCCATCTGAACACGGCGAAGTTTTCTTTAGAACTATTGAAAATTGAAATAGAACAAACCTTTCTGATGCTGCTGGAAAGGTATTGTTCAATTTCAACAGCAATACAGTCTCGGCATATAAAATGCATTGTTGTTATAAAATTTAACAGCTGTTACTGTGTTAGCTACCTTTAATTTACTTTTGTTAGCTCCGGTACCCTTAAGCGTGTACACCGGTCGTAATGCAAGGACCGAATGATCGGTAAAACAGTCGCGTCGGACTAATTTCAGCTTACCAAATAAAAGATAAATGGTTAAACTTTGAGAATTATTTCTTATGTCTCAATAATTCGTCAGCTCGCTGCACGACTAATCCAATTTTCCGTTACTGGACACAAGATGTATTGACATTCACGTCGGAATATATCAAAAAATGTAGTCCTAGAATTCGTTGGTTTGCTTATTAAATTAGGATAATTTAGTCGATGAAAATGATAAAAGGGGAAATTTAAACTAAAGCAGTGTCGACTTTAAATAAAATATTCTTGCACATGTATCACTTAAGTTTATTTTGGTACATAGAATAAATTGAGGCCATAATGGATTTACTAAAGACAAAAAGTAAACTTAAAGACAATGTTGAAGACTTTTTACATTGTCTATTAATTAAGTAGCTATCAATGAAAAGCGTTTTAAGGCGTTAATAACACAAATTGTCCACCTCGAGGTTGGGGTAATCAAACTAATGATCTAAGTTCTTAGAGATAAGGAAATATCGATAGTGAATATTAACATTAAGGATAATATGTATAAAATCCCGCAAGATAATGCCTTTTTAAATTTAATGTTGTAAAGGTTTCCAATAAAGAATCAATGTAACTGCCAACTCTCTCAACTCCTCACATTTTCCACTATTATACAAAGCGGAGCTAAGTTCGAAGAATCGAAAAATCAATATTATGTTCTTAATATCTTCTTCAAAAACCAGCGATGTGGAAAGTGTTGAGTTTATTCTACGATAATAAAAAAGTTCGAAGTATCAGCTAGTATATGCTTTTTATCACATTAAAAAAAATCTGTCACAACCAAATTTATGCACTTGATATTTAAAGAGTTCTCAGACATTATGGACACTTTAATCGAATTGCTCAGAGTCTTACTAGTACTGTTCCGTCTTTTACATTAGTGGTGCAGTGAAACATTCCCACATCACCCTGGCTGTTCTGCGATAAGGGGGACTTGAGGCCCTCAAATACTACTAGAATGATAATACATCTTTATCAAAATGTTACGGTTCATACAGCTTATCTAACAGTTGTCCGCCTATCTTATAAATATCCTCCTGAAATTGAATCTGTCCACCATTGTTGGATCCAAACCCTTACAAAGTGTGACTAGTGACTAGTGAAACTAGATAAGTATCTACTACAGTATCTACTACGATTGTATCAGGCTCTGTGATTGACACCCCACATCCAATCAGTTGCTGCACGTGGTGATTGGACCCATCCTTACTCTATGTAACATGTCTGCCTCTCAATTGGACCCGGTAGATAACGCTGTTTACATCATCAACTTGGTGGCCTGTCTTTACAATGTTCTGGCTATGTACGAGAATACTGATAACAAGTTGGAACTACTCCAAAACAAGGTACGAGCTGAAAATAGTTAAATTGCTTAATGAGATTACTTTTGGTATTGATTGAAAGATAGACCGTCAATCTTATGAAAAAGAGCGTTGATTAAATAGTAGAATTACCCATCTTCTCATCTCCAAACCACTTCAATCATAGTTGAAGCTGCAAATTCACAGGATCTTATTAAATTTAATTACACCACAACAGATAAATGAAGAGTTGGAGACCCTGACAAACCTTCAGTACGATCACATGATAAAGACAACCAAAATTCCTCCAGCCGAGATGATTAACAAGGACAGACTCTCTGTTGTTGCTTCTAAACTTGATCAGGTAATTTCTACTTTGCAGCTAAACTAGGTACAAGTTATCGGGTGCATAAACAAAAAACTTTGTTAAGAGTCTTATTTAAGACCTAAGTAGAACTTCTTTGACTTGATCAGAACTGTTAGCCATTACTGAGTACGAGTAACTAATTTAATCCATCTCCCCGGCCCAGGCATTGCTGAACACAGAGTTGCTATGGTTACAACAGTGTACGAGATTGTCCGCATTACGTCACCGGAACACAGTGTGGCGCGGCGCGTGCGAACAGTTCGTTAAGGTGTACACAACTCTGATTCAGTCCACGTGCAATGAGGGGATCCTGCTTAAATCCCCTGATCAGATTGCTCAGCTTTTGAAATAAATTAATAAACAGTAGAGATCCTCCAATTTTCACCACTTTTGGTTTAAATCCTCCTCTATTTTCATTGATCTATGTCTATAAGTATAACTTATATATAACTATTAACTGGATCTATGGGTATTTGATCTTTTAAAATGTGCACTGCATGTAACCTTAATGTGCAGACGAATATTATTGCTAGTATTTAAAGCATGATCTTGAATGAAGGGGCTGTAGTTTGTGAATGAAGTACTTTAGGGCACTCTTCAAGTTTTGTGATGTTAAATTAGTTATTGAGCAAACACTAAACAATTGAAATATTGATTTTGTTATGAATACTTTTGTGTAATACTGAAAACTTTGAGATTGTAATACATTTATGGATTGATTCTTGCGTATTTGCATTGGCTGGGCCCAACTTCAATTCGATTCTTAAAAAGTTAGAACTGTTATTATATCGTCTAATTTACCCTAGAACTAATATAATACTTATCACTTATAATAAACAACTAACTCCTCCGCCTGATTTAGAAAATGAGTATGTTCGGCCAGCAAGGAATGATCGGGGGACAAGATCCTCAAGCTATGATTAATAACGTTAGTTGCTTTTTACTTTCATTCAATTAATTGTTTATTCTTCAATTATTTCCTGTGTGATTATTGGGAAAGAACTCAAAGATTATTTGCATATTGACAGATCCCTGAAATGACAAGATTTGCCTGTTAACAATCTGTCCACTTCAGATGCGGCAGTTTGGTGCGATGTTCAACATGGTGACGGAAGAATGTTTTTCACGCTGTGTGTACAGTCTAGGAGACGGTGCTCTTAATGCTGACGAGGTTAGTTTGTGATTTAGGACGCATTCGTCTAGAACTCAATTTACGATTCCAAATAGTTCTGTGGATACTCATGGACTTTTCCATTTTAAATTATATTTAAATCAAAGTTAAACGATAGCATTGCTGCACCCTCACGCATTTACTAATGATGTGTTTGTATAATTGAGCACTTATACTCTAATTAGGTGTTAATAAGTTACTTCCAGGGTAAATGCGCAGATGACTGCATCTCAAAGAACTTCAACGCCTCCAATCGGACAATGATTAATTTCATGAAGGAGAAGCTGGGACAAGATCCTCCAAAGCCGGAAGGATGATCCACATCCGACTCAGAATCACTTCATCTCAATGCTGAGTTCAAAGAATACTGCTAGATGAATAGTAACTATGACATGACTGGATACATCTAGTCGTTGCTCGCCACGCGCCATTTTACCAAGTTTTTGTACATCTTTAAGTTTAAAGCCTCCCTTTTAACGGTTATTCACCCTGGCTTTTTAACTTGTAATATATTAGTTTACATCTGCGATTAAATTCATGATCAGACTTCAGTTTGCATCATATGTAAATTTAGGATCACTCGTTAGCAACAAAATAATACACTCTATAACTAGGCACTAGTGCTCGAGATTTTTTACTATTTGCTAAATTATTGATACTTTAAATTGTTAGTCCTTTTGATATAATCGATTCGTCTGCAGTTATATCAATAATATACAATCTAATGATCTAGCTACTGCGTAGTGCGTATGACTATGGGTGCATTTTAAGTGGAGTATTTGTATCGTATGTGACATTTTGATGAACCCAGAACTAATTTATTATTTGCAAAATAGAGCTGGTTTTAATTCTTGAGAGTTATTGAACAAAAGAATAATACTGAATTGGGAATTAGACAAATTTATAAAAAATGTCGTTTTATGTACAGAACAAGTCTAACCAGACAAATAATAGACGGTTTTAAATATTTTGACGGTACCTATTAATCAATAAGACATTACATAATTGATTGACCCATAAACAAGCTTCAAAATTATTGGGGAATTGTTATAAAAAATCTTGGTTATAATCACGAAAAGAATTCGGTGTGGTAAATTTAAACTTCAGAATTCAGAGGGTAAACTAAGAGTAAATGTTATTTTTCCAGCGATTGTCAGTGTCCATCTTCTGACTGCTTAGTTTTGTGCCATTATGACTCAAAAAACATAAAGCTTTTAAAATTTAAGGTACTTGATGCAATTTTTTTATCTTCGACGTTTTAACCCTAGCAATTCAAGATTTTGAGTTATTTATTATATGGTAAAATATGAGTAATTTTCAGGGTAAAGTTTTAAAACGTCGAAATATAAAATTTGGGATGTAAAAGTCTCATCCTTTGGTATCATCAATGTTTTGAATTAAAAATAATTTACATAAAAACAATCGCAGAATGTGGCAAATCAAAACCATTTCTCTTGATCACGTATCAACATTCAAATATCAAAATTAAATCGGTTAGATTTTAGTGTTCAACTATAACAGCCTGAGTTTCGTAAGGATAAAAGAATCTAAATTTTATATAGAATACCTTAGGTATCTTTAACATCTGTATTTATTACGATTTTATGAAAGTTATCCACTTAAAATATAAAAATTGTTCTCGTAAAATCATGGATAACTGTTGCAGTTCAACATACCAATTTCTGGAGTAGCTTTTACCGTTAAGCTTCTTTTGAATAAAAAGAATTCAAAAACGAGACTCATCAGCCGTTTCACTCAAATAAAACGTAGCCCTTTCAATCAATTTTACGAAAAATAATCAAACAGTTAAAAAAATTAAAATGAAGTTCATATAGCACTGGAGACCTGCAATTTTGTACTGTAATCGCTGATTAGTCCAGGCAGCAGTCTATTTAAATTCTGTCCGTCTTGTGAGGATGAAGTGATGGGAGCCGTGCTGTGCACTGGCACACCACTCGATACTGGCAAATCTGCCACTGGTAGATCATGTGGAACTGGTGTGGCACGTGACGCTGGCATATTTGCGGGAGGATAACAAATGCCTGGCATGTTGCCAGGGTAAAAGTCTCTAGAAATGGGGAGAGTGGTGCTATTGCTCATGAGAGGAGACATGTGTCCATTAATGGCGTTGTGGGCGTTGAAGGCACCGGGTGGCAGGACTGGCGGCGAAATAGGCGGAGGTCGCAGCGGTACTGTCATAATCTCAGCGTAGTCCCGACTGGGTAGAGACGCTGCTGATCTAGGGTACCAATCAGACATAGTCTGACCATTCCCTGGAGAATAGGCTGGAGGAGCCTCCTCGTCCGTCATTAAGTTTGTCATGGCGGTGTCGGGAGTGAAGGCACCGTGACTGGATAGTCCCGTTTGATGACGATGATATGACTGCCACGTGCTGTTCCAGTTTTGGTTGGGAAGAGGACAGAGGTAGCCCGCGTCATCCTGGTGAGGACAACCACTGAACTGAGAGTAGGTGCCTTGGTGAGGGCTGTCTTCTATGTAATCCTGAGAGTGATTGTTGTTAGTTCAGAGGCAAACGAAGATATTTTCTCAATTGTCACCAAATTGTGGTTGATGGCAATATGATTTGAAGGGAAAAAAAAAGTTGTTCTACCTCTCAAAGACGAGATCATACGGAACAAGTAAACATGATGCACTTACCCTCTTCTGCTTCCTTCTTCTGTAGACCATGTGAACGGTGAGACCGATGACAAAGCACACGACAGCAGAGATAACGATACCGATAGTCAGGACTGTTATTGAGATGGGGGAGTCGTAGGATGATTCGTCCGCAGCAGGACTGTAAGGATCCAACTTGTCTGAAGAATGAGTTGTGGTTAATAAATCTCTAGGTATCCATTTAATTGAGAAGGAATTGAAGAAGGAATTGAATTCAGTCTCACTTAAAAACAAGCTGACTTTATAAAAATAATGGCTAAAATTCAGAGAGAGAAAAACACTCACCATTGACAGTAACGTAGGCAGTTTTGCTCTTAGACTGGCTGATTTTGCCGATATCGTTCTTGATAAAGCAGATATAACCGCCTTCATCAGCCTTCATAACCCTGAATATCTCTAGATCCCCATTTGGAAGCTGTTCACTGCCATCTGGTAATTCTCCGTTAGTTCGCTCCCACCAAATCTCAGGTTTAGGTAGACCCTCAACTCTGCAAGTAAGGATGAGATCCTGGTTTCCTTTTGTAACCGTCACATTGGACGGTTCTACTCTGAACTTTGCTGCAACTGTGAAAAAAGACATGTTACAATGACGTAGTATTATATTATAATAGAAATTAGAATTTGATGTGGATTGAAGCATATACTAGTCTATTGAGAAGGAAGAAATGATAGTTCTCGAAATGTAATTGTAAACCAGAGAGGCTAAACTTTGTCAAGCCAGTACAATAGAACATACCTTGAACGTAAAGGTAACCCCGGGACACAACAACACCAGAAGTGTTGTTCACCGAACACTCGTAGTAACCAGTGTCTTCCAGCCTCACTTCAGGAATATAGATATTTCCAGAGTCCAGGAAGACAGCTTTGCGAGGTAGTCCAACTCCGTCCTTACCCCAGGTCACCAGGGCGTCATGTGACGCACATTTGAATTGAGCTGTTGCTCCTTCACCAAGAGTGATGTTCTGTGGTGACTTGAAGAACCTGCAGAGAAATGAGATCATGATATAATGGGGAAACCACGGCATGTGAAAATTGTAATCGAGTTTTGAGGTTATGTTGTCACTCTGCGACCATCATATTGTTGTCCCCTTAACTCAAAGCTACTGTACACACAAAAGTTAATTGTAAAACTTACGTTGGTAGAGGTTTACAGGTGTCAGTAGGTGCCACCCAGTCAGTAGAAGGGCATTTCGTCTTAGTGGTACAGGACCACTTTCCAAGAGTCACATCGGAACACCAGCCACAGTAAGGGAAATGAGCTCCAACACACTCACTGAAAATAGAAACTGGTCAGTAAGTACTCTGTGAAATCAAACGTCAGTGACTTATGAACCGTGTTACATGATTTGAATCGGAATATTCATATTATTAATTAAAATACCCGGATATGTTCTACGATTCACATTTCACGTTCATAAATGATACAAGTTTTATAGTACATTATTAACTAACAGTGTCTTGTTAGGCTCACTTTTAGAAAAAAGCACGATGACATCATGTTATCATTTTAAAAGTTATTGGCCAGAACGACTACTAATATTAAAGAAGTAGTTCAGAAGTTTCGACCTGCTACGCTACCACATCAATAAATAAATGAATTTGAATGTTTGATTGAGCCCGCGGGGAACGCGCGCACGGTTTCTGTCACAGTAAATGCTGGAACTATCTAAAAGGCTTGTGCGCGTTCCAGTACACGTAATTCATTTACAAATTATGTCCCAAAACGGCGTGTGTCCAAAGATGTAAAAGTAAACTGAAAGAGCCGACTACCATCAAAGGCTCGCGCCTTATCACTTATGTATGCAAACATTTCCAAGCGGCTGAACGGAATTCCTTGCGGTACAACTCATTCTGTAGCACGGAACACGGTCGTCCCTTTTATTTGATTGTGACAAAACGTACCACTAACTCGAGATGAACTATTTGTAACAGGAGCGCCGTTGCTTTGAACCCACCTAAATAACCGACTATATAACTAGACTGGAAGTGATGTAACACATATTTCTATAGTTTTACACAAAGGATATGTAACTGCAGACCCCATATTCGGGTAACAGATGTTGGGGCTGAATTTACCTAACACAATAGGATTGATTAGGTCCACCTATTGACTAGTGGACCATGAAATATTGGACTCTATACATTGGGCTATTTTACTGCATCAGTGATTCTAGTTATAATGTATTGGTATTGTTTATTAGCATTATGGAGACTTTTTGGAGCTTACAGACGTATCCATTAACCAAGAGTCTAGTGCTTCAAAAGGTCGTGGTGCCGCAAAAAATGTTTGAAAATTTGGAAATATAATCTAGCTTTCAACTACATTTTACAGAATAGACTCAAATTAAATGGATTATAGTTTCAGTGGAATCTTAGCAGCGAACAGATGTATCAGTTCATGAACATTGCGCTGAAAAGCTGAGTTGATAAATTCATCTTCACATTGAAACTGGAACTTTGTCACTAATTACTCATATCAGAATATCGATTGAACGGACAATAGATTCAGTTGAACCTCCTAACGATGGTGGATCTATTTTATTTCATCGGAGTAAGTTTCTCTGAATTAAGCCATAAAAAGTTGTCATGATGAATTAAACTTTGAATATTGTATCTAGAAGAAGTCTCGCCTTTCGCTTCAACATATTGTCCTAAAAACAAGATAATATAGCGATGGTAAAATAAAGCTAACTATTATAAAGATCTCAATGTTCCACCGATTGACTCAATACAGACTTGGACGGATAATTCTATTATAATATCACGGTAATTTAGTACTATTATTATTCCGATGTAATTAGCAACGCTATTAGTGTGAGTATTGCGGCACTTTTTTAAACACACACGTGACCGTATATAACACATCACCAATGTAACAGTAATGACACTAATATTTCAGTAAAAACAAATAGTAGAAACGTCAGTTAACTGCCACAATGGCAGTTTATTTACCATAATCAACACAACACCATTTACACTGCGTATCACCATTCACCAGTGAGCAACAGTTTAACTAACTTTATATTTACTTTACGTGTCTTGTAAACTTCAACATCGTAGTTAGTTGGCAAACTAAACCCAAAATTAGGAGACGGAACTGGAGTGTTGTACAAACTTAACAACGTGGAATATCAGAAGACAAAAGTAATAATCGTAACAAACGAACAAACAAACAAACGAACAGACTTACCCACAACTCGAGGCTGCACATTCCTGTTTGATAGGAACACTGGTAACCCAGTTAGTTCCCATAGCGTACACGTGACCAGCACCGTATGTTACTGAGATTACTTTTCCATCTCCCTGCAAAGGAGTGGGTTAGTTTTATTAGATCTGCACTCAACCTTCAAGGAACTCGTTAACTTTAGTACTCTCTCGACTGACAGTCCACGTCTTATTATACGACAGTGTCATATTATATTCATTCCGAATCTCTGAGAGCCTGATTCTAACCATGATTTTACTCTAATTGATCGACTAAGGACCCTCGCAACGACTTACAAGTCAGGGTATTGCACCATAACTGAATTTATGACAAAACTTGACACATATGCACATCTTCTGGGATCTTCTTGAACAAGTTATAATAGAACACAGAATCTGGGTAAAATCCTGACTCTCGATAACTCACCACGATATTAATTGTACGATACGAGAGAGAGAGAGAGGTTCTGATATATATATATATAACTGTGAGTGATTGTAACGTTGAGCTGATATATTATTATGTGGTAAAAGCATGATCTCCTGTCGAGATATTACTTAGAACTTAGGACTACCTGTAACATAAAGTGAGAGGGAGGGAGGGAGACCTGGTGTGTTGGACAGGGAGTTATACAACTGAAGGGGAGATGATGGTGGAGAGAGAGAGAGTTGACATAGCATGTAGATGTGATTACAGGTATTAGTGATAAGAGATAGGAGCTCTGAGTTATTAGATTTATAATGGAGGATGAATAGAGGAGGAGAGGGTGAAAGTGGGGGGTTATATCTCTAGTGATAAGGATAACGTATATCATGACAATAGAAATATCGGATATATGACAATAGGTATCAGTAATAAGTATTCCTTATAAAGTTATGCACTCACCACTTTTATTGAGGTATGGTAGACTTTACTATCTAACTCTCTGATAAACGCTATTCTGTGTACTCGACCAAGATCTGAAATATAACAAACTGTTAGTATTATAATTTTTTGAAAGAATTTACAATTCTATAGAAAGAAATAATGATAATACGTCGTCATACAACGATCATCATCACCCGATTTCTCCAATTTAAAACAGCACGCAAGATAGGGTGATCCTAAGGAAAAGTTACTGATTAACATAATATTTCCCATCAAGCCACGTTTTAAACCGGGTATCCCCGTGCTTTTTTAACTCCATCAGTCATATCACGGCATATACCACGTCGGGATTGTCATTCCAGGTCTACTTTAGTACAGACCGAGACGTCTGACTGACGTCTCCCTCTCCCCCACTATTTACTGTAATCGAATCAAAATATCAATCCGTAAACTATTAAACTACAACGGCACATGTCACCAAAAACATCCTTATTCAATTAACGAGAGTGTGAGATTCGTGTAGTTTTAACAGTTATAACCTATCTGAGAACAGCTTGGGTGTAACTCACTTCATAATCACTTATAATCAAATCTTGTTATTTTTTGATCGGTTTGAGGGAAGTTAACGGATAAGTTTAGGGAAAAAGATAATTGTAATAACATTTGGAGGGGTTAGGAAAACTTGGGCGCAGTGTCACTTTCTCCTGATTTATTTTAAAATAAGCCTGTAATTGACATTTACCAGTCCACTTATGACTTACCAAAACAAATTTATGCAGTTTTTAAAATATTTCTTTGTAAAGAAAATATCACCAGTCCATTGACGGTCTCCCACACGAGATGATCAATGATATTGAATAAAGTACGATAGCTAGAAAACAACTAGACAGTATTCTGAGAGTTTGCTCTGAAATAACATGAACAGAGACAGAAGTATTGACTTTTTAAAAGGAGCTGGGGAGTATGATGTTAGTGGAGAGTGGCGGTGAATGCGGTTGAAGGACTGCCTGCTCAAAGGCAGGCCCGCTACATGTCACACATCGCTTAAACGCAGTGGGATCGGGGGCCTTTATCCCATCAAAATATTCGTGTAACTCTACTTTTATTATAATTAATATGATATTACCTAAAATTATAAATTACGCTCTGGTAGACAGGTTGAGGTCAGCACAAAGACCTCCCCTCTATTACTCTAATGAGAGTTGGTGGAGTTCAGGGAGAGAGAGAGAGGGACAATGTCCCGGGCACAGAGTTCACTTCATTGTCATTGAGATGGGCAGTTTACTGAGTTGCAGAAGACAAGGGGGGAGTAGCTGAGTAGCTGAGCAGTGAAGTGGGTGGTCACGTGACACGTGACAATACCACGTGACACAATGAACTGCGAGTGGAAGTGTGCCCACACGTGCAGGTTCGTGTTTATCTTTGTTTAGACTCGTGCAGATCATTGCAGGTTTGTTCTGTTTAGACATCCAGGGTTGATTACTGGCTAGTTTAAAGAGACAAGCATTGTTATAGTATGATAATTAGGGAACTCTGGTGGTACTTCCAGATGACCTCTAGGGTGGTAATGCTCAAGTTCGTACACGAGATTACAGAACAATTCCCGCGCTCACTGATCTAACATCTGTTTCTAAAGGTTTCCAGTTTCAACAAATTAACAAGGCCACCCTGTTCACCGCCACACAATTATAGATTTACCATATGTCAACCTCCCTCAAATTCCTCCCTCTTTTGTAATGGAATGCTTTAAACAAGAGACATCCTATTTAATGAACCCCGAAGTTGTGGGGTATGCCGGATTGTCGCGGTGAAATTGATTACAGTTACCACCCTCTCCCCTTACCTTGAAGGAACATATGTCAACTGGGAACAATATCATGGTATTAACGATATCAGGGGGATTAGTGTGGGACTGGGTGGAGGTAACCAATACTGTCCCACTATGAAACCACTATTGACTGAACAGCAGGCTCCTTGATTACAATAAACGATCATCTTGCAGCTTACAGTTAGGCAAAGTATTGAATTTGGGTAGTATAGTAAACTGGTCCGGTTTTATATAGCGATACTTTGTTAGCCTGTGTATTGTGCAGTAGAAGTTATCTAGGCGATATTATAGTGCTGCACGGTTATATTGGAAGTGTAAAACTGTAACGTACACTGGAAAAAAGAACACATGTGACATGATGTACTTGAGAATTGCGGGCCCGGGGACTACATACAACTACACTTGAGGTTGGTGCAGGCCCTCAATAGAGCACCGAAGTACGTGGTTGAGAAATAGCTGGTAAATTGTTTGAAATATCACAACTGAATTTCATGATATTGTATTATATATAATAAATATTAACCAACGTCGATAATAGTTGATATTGATTGTTTTCGAGAGTTAAACTTATCCTATAAGTTATAACATGAAATAAGTGCGCGACTTTACTAATGTGGCTTTGTAAAATGCAAATCTTGCACTATTCAATTAATTATACCTTAATCTCAACATTCTAAGAATTTGTTCTAAGTTCTTCCTCGCACTGCTCAATTTCACAATGTCGCACTTTTAAGTGACCTACTTATATTCTACGATTTATGATAAAGTGGAGAGTTCAAAGTAATAACTCATGCACATGTCTCCCAAGTGTGTAGCTTGTATAGCTGAAAATGTAAACAAATCAGTCTCTACAAAACGGCTGCAAAACTGATCAAACGTTGAGGGGGTCCATCATGTCCCTCGACCCCCACTACTTACACAGTAACTTTACCCTCTCTTTCTTGATATCATCTAGATAAACTAACCGATTAATATTCACACTTTATTCTCCTCAATAACTACGCCACTCCTTCTCCAACTATTGGATCCAAATGTTAATCTCTATTTCTCTACCATCAAAGTCCCCAGCAGCAGTTACCTCAGTACCTTGCAACTTTGCAACCCACTCTACCAGCTCCCTCAAAACCACCCCACTCTGCACATGCTATTACTGCACCCACACCCACACACACCCACACATGGGTCACTTCACTCTCTATCCTAACAATACCCCTAACAATACACACAGACCCCAGTTACAAAGCACATGCACAATCTAGCACTGATAAGTCAGTAACAATCCGTCCAATAGGCTGACAATAGGCCGGGGTTGAGTCTGATAAAGGACCCAGTTGAATACATAAAGAGGTTTAAGAAGGTCAGTAACCTCTCCAGGTCCTATTTAGTCTGGTCAGGCTGCGCATAATGTCTGCTGTATAAGTTGCAATCAGTACTGATAGTAATGAATTGTTCCTATTGTTCAGTGTCAGGCCCGCTCATGCGGCATGTTAACTATGTATGAGTGCAAATCTCTCCGTTACAAATCACATTTAGCTCTCAAATATGTACCCCCGCATATCATCCTGGAATGTATGAAATATGGAAACATTCGATTCAAGACAAATTCTCCTCGCTGTAAATCAGAACCGATTTAGGAGACACTTTGAAGAAAGTTTGAGTTGACTCCAAGTGTGTGTATGTGTAGCAGAGTACTGGTAATTCTACGATATATGAATCATTAGTGCTATGATTATGCGGATTGGGGAAACCTTGCTACTCTCTACCTGAGCTTGAGGTAACTAATAACAGGTCTCGTGGCGGTGTGAGCTGGAAATCAAGTGGTCTGAGTCGTAATTGGTGAGGAGGAGGAGAGATCAACCCGGTTTGGGGGTAATGTTTATGTATCAATCGAGAGTTTGAGTAGCCAGACAAATTGGAGACAATTGCTGGCGGGGTCAATATAATGAGTTAATTAATTGAGTCTTGTTTGAGCAGTTTAATGGGTCAAAATAATAAGTCTTATCTTTAAAGTTGCCAATTCTTATTTATTACATAACTTAAACATTTTCCGCGTTAGATTTCTGGTAGAAGTAACATGGAGCATAATATATTATTTCATCTGTAAATTGAAACAATCATGCAATTAGTCTAGCACTCAGTTCTTGAAACCTCTCTTAATTGCAGAGAACATGTCGTTACTCCCTTGAACTTTAAGTTGTAAATCTACAGGAAGAAGGCCATGCCGACTAAACTAAAGACTGAATTTCCGGTTGGATAAAATTTAAGTCTAGGAAATTGGTTCATTGTCGTCGACCTCTGGGTGCCCATGATAAGGTGAAAACAGACTAAATGATTTGTGTTGGTCACGGTATGTAACCATTATGGCCACTCAAATTGCAGTTTCTTTAAAAGTCTAGAAGTCTAAAGTTCTCTCATTTTAAGGGTTTGCAAAATGTGACCAGCGGTTTTACCAGGCCTCATTACACAAGACTCCTTGGTGACCATAGCTACTCAGGGCAAAAGTAACAAATTAAATTCCTGTTTCACATTCCTGGTGTAACAGAGCACGTGATCAAGACTAACCATCGTCGTACTACTCAAAGTCAGAATCAGGTGTAGTAGGTCATCATGCGGCAGTGACCAAACTTATGATATCATATCAGGATCTTTTGATTGGTCCTTGATAACATAGTGAATAGTGTTGACTCAGAGAAAGAAAAGAGAGAAGCAATAAAATCACCTAGTAGCTTGCGTTTATCATCCTTAAATTTTAAGAACATTTTCCTTATTGCAGAGGCTCAGAATACAAAAAGTCAGGGTTTAGCTCTATTCACGGAACATGGAGCCAATATCGTAGAAGTAAGATACACCGTTATTGTTAATTAGCTACAGATTCGTGTAGTTCAGACAATGTAGCAGTGAAGTGGGGTGTACTTAAGTTTTTTTTTTCTAATTAGGCAGCAGGTACAATTAACACATGTATAGTATCGGGGGAGGGGGAGGGGGTACTAGTTAGCGAGAATAATATCCAACGTAAACATCAAATACTTGTACAGTATCCGTTACTTGAAGAGTGAGTGTGTAAACACTAACTCGACATGTCTGGTATGTGTACCGTCAAGCTTCACTCTTTATTACCAATGTAGACATGAAGAATCAGAACAAAATTAGTCACATTACTATTTCGCTTCTTTTCAGACTTCTGAACTCTCAGAAATGGAAGAATAGAAATAGTATTGTTCAAGCTGACTCCAGCTCTGTCCACAGATCTCATACAAATATACGTGAGCACTGTGTTCAGGTCTAGGTAGCAGTAATTACTTCAGAGTAGCAGTGTTAATAGCATGAAACTATCTTCGACGTTTTGAACAGACATGATACGTTAGAAAAACTGTTGTTAGATGTAGACTGGTTTATTCTAATCTTGGAAAGTTAGAATTAAGAATGGAATATTGTCAGATATGTTTTGCTATACAGTATACTCATTAGTAAGGCCCTTCACCATTCTTACTTTCATATCTTCTAAATAATGTGCCTTTGTTTAATTTTGATCAATGATCATCATTATATAAGCTGTAGATTAGAGTATGAAATTAAAAACCTTCAACTGTCCTTTATTATATTATAGCTTCTGTTATTACTTACTATTACTTACTATTAGTTAAGCTTTTGTCTGAGCTACAAGAGACAAGGAGCGTTAATGTTATACAGCCCGTTTGTTTTCTAAACAATATTCATTTAAATTGCGTCAATAATTGGCAGGCTGCCAATTAATGGCAGGTCCTCTTCAGTTTTAAAGCTTTTGTCAAAAATTCGGCGGCAAATCACAGGGCGGCACATCCTATAACTCCGGTTTGTACTCTTGCCAACATGACACTTGTATTATGCAGCAGAGGAAAAGGGTATTTCCAATTGTTAATCAATTAAAATTAAACCCAATTCAATTTAATGCAGTCAAGTGTGTCGTTCTGCTCAATTAATAGCAATATATTTAACTTTCCTTCCGCTAAACGAACGAGAGGGAGGGCTCCTTATAATGTGTTCTGACATGGCTTCCTAAACTGTAGGTTAAACTTTAGAGCTACGTTAAAGTTTTCAATTCTGTGCTCCAACAGCTCTAGTTCTGACATTGACTGTTTAACTTGGATCCTCAAACTAAACTGATGGTGATCATAGCTCTTAGGAATACCTCTAAAAATAGGAGAGCATAAAATGTCAACTATCTAGAAGTATCTACAGTAGACCGCCATTTAGCTTAATGTGGAGCAGGGAACCCTGCTCTTTAAGTTGAAGTCTAATACCAAGAAAACGTAGACCAGGAGACTAGAGTTACTGTTTAAATGTCTTGGAAGAAATTGACAGGAATTAAAGAACAGTGAACTAGATTGACGCGACGGTACTGGAATGTCATTGTTAGGGAATGTAATTGTTAGAGAATGTAATTGTTAGAGAATGTAATTGTTAGAGAATGTAATAGCTAGGGGAATGTTTGGGGGTTGTAACGTACCTGAAGCGGCGTAGAGCACCATAATATCCTCGTTGTTATATGTGAAGCTATCTGCTGTTATGGCGTTAACTCTGCAAATAGAACCCGGGTTAGAGGCTGAACTAACAGTACCGGTTATAAAGTTGCATAACATAATAATAGAAAATTAGTTACAAAATCATGCCGACCACGTATGATAATAATAGTCACTTAAAGTCACGCTTTTCAATATTTGTCTCGAATATTTTTCCCGAATATTCCAATCTTCCACCTCTTATCTTCCTGAGTTCAACAAGACCTTGACACAATCCCCAGTACCATGGACCTAAACCCTGATTACTCCCACATGTTGGTGGGGTTTGGTGCTTGTTCGGGTGTAGTGCTTGTTACAAGAACCACAACAATAACCCCCGGTACTATGGGCAGTGCTTGATGACATGCTAATTAACCAGTTTACTAGTGAGATTTTACCCCCTCCTCCCCTCTCTCTATAAGATACATGACAAAACATTGACAAGTACCCAGTTTAGCAGTTATCTTACTATCCATACACTTAGTGTCAACTGCATGTCAATTCGGGCAATAAACAAATTAATCGACTGGTAGTAGAGAGTACAGACAAGAGAGCCCTGCTGCTGCTCCTCCCTGGGACCCAGTAGTGAACAGTTAACTGACCCAACCCTGGCATCAAACCCGGCGTGTTCTCATACATTTCACATGTAAATTTACGGTACTATGGGATACACTCTAAAACACATGAGTTTGTGTGAGATGTGAACTGAAAACCATTTAGATCACCTGGGAGCAAGGTTCTATCTCTTATTTTCTTTGTCTTAATAGACGATAATGGGTTTCACTCATGGACAATAACTCGTACATCGCAACCCGCAATCACATGCATTATCTCCACTTGAGATTTTCAGACTGGGACTCAAATTGGGATCAAAGTTATTAGTTGGATTTGAGGGAGGCAAGTGGTACGATTTGGTATGTAACTGGTACGATCCGACTCAAAGTAACATTGTTTTTGTTAGAGGAATCTGTTTTTGTTACAGGAATCTGTTTCTTGGAGCGGGGAGCTGACACACACTGTCACTAACAGCTGGGTACCCATTTAACGTGAGATTTGTGAAGGAGTTAGAAGGTTTAAAGAGAGTTAGTCGCTGTAAACAGATTATTACTCCTCATTTGCATTTAAACGACAAAACTTCTCGTATTCATGGATTATAGAGGCATAGCCCCAACCATGTGTACATAATAACATATGTAACCCAAACAATTCGACCTCCTTCACCAATGACCAATGACCATCGTGTCCAAATTTTAAACAAAACGATGAAAATGGTCTCAATATAGATCATGATGATTTTAGGGGCAGACAAATCCATAATCAGTGTCTACTACCACTATTTGGATCAAAGAGATCACGAGGATGATAATTAGGAGATAACAACAATACAAACAATTCAACTGAAGATTTACCTTTCTGATGACTCGGTGTTGAAGAGAGGTGTGGGATTGTGAATCCCTTTTTCCATTAGGAATTTCAGTATAGCATCTCTTCCTTCTTTCTTTTTATTACACTGGAGAGGTGAGAGGTATTACAATATAGCTCATATGTGACTGGTATTGACATTCATTCATCTGATATATAATATCGTGTAGTTGTAAGGGTTGCATTTCAAATTTCAAAGAAAAACATTTACAGAGCAGATGACCTAATAACGTATATTTACAACGAAATAGTAACTCTATTTTCTTCTTTTCTAAACCTAACTAGTACAGCGTTTCAATGAAGATCCCGACACTTGGGCAGTGTTGATATAAAAGAAAAACCCGCGTGACAAAACTAGATCAAAATTAGATCATACTAAAGCTTTGGTATCTTTACTTGTATCATGTGGTATCTTGTATCATGTCACGTTTTAGGAAACAAATCTGCACGATACGTCTCATCCCACCATTTGTCATCAAGTCCTACATCATAATACCACCTTCACCACTATTCCCTGTACCACTACTACTACAATTAGTCCAATTAGAAGCTCCCAACTGTGTCATATACCGTAACTGCAGCCTTAACCACTATTACAACATAGTACCAGTTCCCCCACAATACTGAAAACTTCTAAACTCACGTTGAATTTGCGGTTTTCTTCAGATTCCCACTCCCGTGTCTCCTTGTTAAATGTGAGGTAAGGACCATCAAACACTTCGTCTATAGCTCCTATCGGGAAGGAGCACACTATGGATCCAGTCTGAAGGTTCCTGGAACAAGTTGGAGTTTTAGTTAGAGAGAAACTGAGTCATAACATATCAAGTTAGAGTGACTAAGAGTCATGACATGCAGTTCTAATTAACATTATATAAGTTGGAGTGATAATTCGCAGTTTTTAACCAGAATTACCGAGAAATAATATACTGATTGCTTTGTTATGCAGTGGCCATGCACGAGTCCCCACACTCTACTATATACGTGTGTCATAACACCGTGCCGGGGAGATATAATACCGTTAGAATGACTAATCAGTGTTGAAATATCACTTCTCTAATCTCTACCTATACTATGTTTTAATTTCTCATCTCTCTCTCCGATCTTATATTTAGTTGTGTTTAACAATGCATGCTCATTTAGTATGAGACTAGTTCTGATGACAGCGATGACAATGATTGATGACAGGCGTGACGACAGGGTGCTGGAACTTACTTGGGTCCGCTGAAAGCAGCGTAGAGTACTCGTTCCTGGTAGACAGCTCCATCTGAAAACAAAACAATGTTAGATTTCTAAATTAATCGTTCCTTAGCACAAGTTCTGCAGACGTAAGACACTGAGACGTTCTCCAGATTTTAACAGTTTTTATGTAAAATCATCATCCTCAGCATAATCCACGTGAGGGTTACTGTAAGGTGTCCAAAAATATTTTGATAAAACATAACAGGTTTACTACAATATCTTAAGCTGTGAAAAAATTAATGCACGGCTGCTTTACCGCTTTCTTATTGTAAACATGACGTCATGTTATCATCTACTGAGTGTAGCTTTTTTCTAAAACAATGACTAATTACGCATCGTAAAAGGGGTTTGGGAGACAAATGCGCAGTTTACACGGGTATTAGGCCCCTCCTACCCAGTCTAAATAACAGTTCATCACAGCCTCACTATAATACTTGAGGGGTGCCTCTTTGTGATCTTACAATAGTTCTCTAACGTAACCGGTGACCGATCTAAAACTTAGATTATTTATCAAATTAACTATGATTACTACCTAATATATTATGTAGTTATACCCTAACCCTTGCTACTTTAACGTAGTTATATTGGATCTTAACCATAAACCAGATGAGGTCTCTCAACCAGGTCCCTACTGTAACTCCTTGGCACATTGTTGCAGTGATTCAACGTGTGTTAGAGTGTTAGCACAAGTAGCAGCCATCCTACCACAGGTCTAGTGCGCGGTTCATTGTTTCACCCGTGTATTAGCTGCTTTCAATCTCCCGCCGATCAGTCTACCCCCAATCGTTCTCTTTGTTTTAAACTTATGAATTCAGTGTCCAAATGCTAATCGTCTGGTATCAAAGGAACCATCTCTCCTGGTGGGTCAGCAGCTCTTTTACATCGTGTAGATTATGAGGGATGAACGGAGTGGAACGTATTGTAAAGCAGTTATTACACGGTTAGCAGTGCGTAACATTGGGTGCTGCTTTCAAGTGAGTTAATTATTAATGTTGCTTTATGCTGGGTCTAAGAATAGAGGGTTAAGTGAGATCATATGCTAATTTGGGAGTGATCACACCATTCATTGGGGGCAGTGCAGAAGTCAGAAAATTTTTGCAACATGTGAGAGTTGGCGACTTTGAAAGTTCTTGAGACAAAGCTATAAGAAGCTGAGAGCTGAACTGTATGCATAATAAACCATATTCATGAACCATATTCATGAAGTTAAGGTTACAAAACGAATCTTGTAGCTCGGAATAAGTTACAGTACAATCTTGAATCACGAAATTTTGACGTACGCTAGAATGGGGGCTAGATGAACAATTTCTGAACCAATCATTCTAGACTAGACTAGGTCGCAATTTTTGTAGTCTCTCACATGATAAGTACTCATCTGCCCAATGTTTACACATCTTTTAATGTTGAAAAATATGCTTTACTTTAGCATCTACCCGCCCTTTCCTTCACCCAGTGTACCAGAAGATTAAATGAACTTTGTGCATATTTTATACAGGATCAGTTCATCCCTATTGCGTAAGTGTTGTACGAAAATTTGAAAAAATAATATGTAACTCGACTGTATATTTAGCTACAGCATAATGAGCCAAAGATCAAACACTTTGCACCAAATAAATAGTACACAAAGTGTCCCCACTTATTGTTTGTGTAACTAACTGCAGATTGTCCCTCACATAAAATAGTACACTGCACTGGGCGGTACAACAAATACTAAAGGAGTAAAGGGTACGTACCGACTTCGTCGTGGTCGAAAGGCTGCTGCCCGGCTTGAGAGCTAGTGCAGTAGAACCTAGCCTTGAAGAAGGAGGTGAAGACATCCTGCATGAACGGGCTGCTGCTACCAACATCGTTCTTACACACTCTGCCTATCCTTGAGTAAATTTTCTGAGGAAAAGTTGCATGTTAGTAATTACTAATTAATTAATTATCGTTAAATATTACATAATTATGTCGTACAGTTACACTAATTTAAAATAAAATGTCATTTTAAGTTGCAGTATGTCGAAGTGTTTCAGTTTTAACAAGATAATTGGAGTGTAAATACATGTAAAATACTGGAACCAGATGGCAAAAACAATATAAACTCGATAAAGTATCTGATTTTAGGAGATGGTCATGGTAGTAGCTCTGGAAATTTAGGTCAAATTGCTAAATATTTGTCCACATGGAACAATTCCAATTCCGCCGCTTCGCAACGCCTGGCTGCGAAGGCAATTGGTATAATATACTGTATTTTTTATCAGCAATGTAATGGGTCCAACTGGCACAGCACATCACCTCTTATCGCACCAATTCGAATGTAGATTTAACGTATCAAACCGGTCAAAATAATATTAGGGCATTAATTATCATTTAAATGTACAATTCATTTAGACAAAAAACGCTGCCTGTCTCTGATTCCTAACACTGGGTTCAAATTACAAACTTTTGGGTGCAGTATGCTACAATATATAATCCCAATATATCTTAAAATCATGGGGTTTCTAAATCATAACTCGACGGTTAGTTCGAAACACTAAAGAGTCTTCGTGCCTCTGTGACTGTTGAGAATACTAAATAAGGGAATGCACATTCTGTAACTGAACTATTCGAAGAGAAGAAGCCTGTGGGGTCACTAAATTGTGAGTAGTAACCTTAAAGTTTTAATCCAGAATCACATGTTAAACTGAAGGTCGGGGGTCTTAGGTCATTTATTTCAAGGAATTCTTCATTGGCCAAATTCCATTTTACGGAGATTTGTATGGGACCGTAGCAAACAGTTATAGTGACAAGTAACAACACTATCATTACGTTGTGACCCAAAATAGGGTTGTATTATTACAAAACTACTTGTCAATTTGATTTTAAGTTTGTTTACATAATATTAGTTGTTAAAATAAGCCTTAGCTCATTCTCATGTGAAACTTAATCGTTTAAATAGACTCAAAGAGAAGATGACAATGTTTTAGATGAGCGAAATTCTGATCTAGAATCCAGATAGCCCATAATTTTGGCCGAATGATATCACAATCAAATGGCACTTTCTTCCTTTGGATATAATTTGACGCGTGGTAAACATATAACTAAAACATAACAACAAACCTCAGTTGGGAGCTCTGAAGCAGTCTCCTTGAAGACAAAGTACACGTAATCGCCCTCTTGGAAGGAATACACGAACTTAGGGTCACTAAGCTGGTCATTCGTGTTGAAAGTATGGGATGTGGAGGAGAGGGAGCCAGGTTGGAGGTTGAATCTTGTGATTTGGTCACTTGCGCAGACATCCGTGCAGGTTCCAGCAAATCCTATATCTGGGGGAGGGAGACGGTTTAGAAATTTGTGCGAAACTTTGCTAAATAATTAGTCAGAGCCCGGGAAGGGTTTTAAGTAATTTGTACCCAGAACTCTGTGAAATAATTTGTTATTATTAGGTTTAAAAACAAGGAGTATGTTAACATACGAACATATATTATGAATTTTTAAAAGAAAGCGAACATATTGTCATAAATCTGATGAGTTTTAAAAGTAGGAACCCTAGAAACAATTTGTAAACCACTAATGAACCACAGTTATTACATAAATTAATACCCGAACCCTCATGTAATATTCAAAAGCGGGACAAGTTCCTTACTTTGCTGTAATTCTCATTTAGCTTGAGTTTCAATTTGAGGTCATACAGCCTCAGGGCATTTAGCGCATGTTATTAGGCTGGGTTCAATGAACCATGACACGGGGGAGAGGAGCCGGGAACCCTCAATAGAGGGGTGTCTGGTGGGCGGTAGTTAGATATCCCTCAATAGACAGACCAGCTCAAAACTATCAGATCTTGCGGGCACCTGCAGCTTCAGTGGTGGCCATCATCCTGAATATTATATAACACAGTACATGGTACTGCCACTATTGGATGTCACTAGGCGGTGTTTCAGTTGGAACTGTGTACAGCTGTGAACCGGTGCAGACTGCAGTTCAGTAGATACACGCGCTAGGAATGCTAACTATTTGTGAGCTGCAGTTATGCACACCTGCTGATAGCCCGGTAAAAACAAGTGTTAAGATCAACAGATCTGTGTATCAGAGTCTGTCTTTGTAGCAGATCAGTGTATTTAATGGTTTGGATACAGTGGACCACTAGTGGCAGGTTACTAGTAACTAAGGGTAGTTACTAGAATACTAAACCGTAACCTTATTGCAACAATGTGTCTCTTCACGCTCTGTGATCTTTATAGTATTGTTATACTGTCCCCGGGTCTAAAGGTCCAGACATTAAACATCCCCAGATTGCCCTCCCACTGTTAGGAGTAACAAAAAAAACGGGGGTTCCCTTTAGTCTAGTACACTGTATGAGGAGATCACTAAATACTTGTGTTACTGAAACTGGTTCTAGATACACACAATTACTTGAGTAATACTCATGTAATGAGCACAGAGTTTTAGTTGATCTGGACTTGGTATTAACAATGCCGTACAAAGTAATCTCGACTAGATCTCCATAGTCTATAGATCTGGATACGGGCGGTGGGGAAGTGAGCCATACTTGGAGTGACACTTGACAGTGATTCTGGGTTTTCATTGGTCAACGCTGAAAGCAGTTTAGTTAATCTCTGTCACGTGTCAGAAATAAGATATGGTTCACCTCCTTTTCACAGTGCCCAGATCTATATAGTCGGCGGAGACACGATCGCTAGATAGTTGTGGCACTGAAACCGGTTTAAAGATCTAGTATATCATTATCAGAGAGTTGCGGCTAAACGTGGATATAAGATTTATAATGGTGGTCATTACTCTGAATGGTAAATATGCCAGAGTTTCAGTAGATCTGGTCGAACAGAGACACTGAACAGCCGGTAAGAAGATATTATGTACTGCTTGCAACAATGGTGGTATTCATGAACTTCGTCTAAATGGGAGAAAGTTGTAGTCTGTGTATGAGCGACTTGTTATTATGAAGGAGTAACATTAGGTTGGTATAATGTGGATCGGGTATGCTGCTATCTTGCCATTGTTTATTTCGGGTCTTTTACATTATACACCTCATTTTACAGCGACCAATAGGAGGTCCGGGAATAAAATCACCAGTCCAGTTGCATACTTCTGTGTTATCACGTGACCAGAATTTCACGATAATAATACAGGTCATTGGAGGGATACAAGGCATGAAAATGATAATTGGACGCTGTAAAAGGAGTGATTATCAGACGAGTAAACAAGCATGTAGCAGTGGTAATTTGACGTGTAGTAGATTGGTTACAAGGAAGAATTACAAGTCGGGAAGCTATAAGAGTAGAAGTTGAGATGGCTTCAAGACAAAGGCTGACTGAGTTTGCAAGGTCCCCAGTACAGTTTACAAGGTCCCCAGTACAGTTTACAAGGTCCCCAGTCCAGGGCCACTGATTGTTATTTGCCACGTGATCATTTATTACAGACCAGGGAACCATACTCAGAACTTCTGAACTACACTTAGGAAGTATACACAGAACTCATGAACAGTTAAATAACAGTTATTTAATATAACAGTTATTAGCAAGTTATTAGCAAGTAATTCTGTCATTATAAGAGATTTTGACATAATTTCGGAAACTTGTACTTCGTTCCCAAGATTCTGTCGGTAGTACATGGCGAGGCCTGTACGCAACCTTGATGTTCAGTACTTCAGTAATATTAATCTACTCAAATGTTATGTATCGTAGTAAACATATTAAACTAGATAATCACAATTGAAACAATCAAAATTGGTGGTCCCACCAATTTCGATTGTTTCAATTTTTATTAAACTGTTCCTGCATGCCTGTTGAGCACTCTCTGGGAAACTAGAACAACAACTTAATATAGTAGTAAACTTTATACTAGATCATTGATACATATTTTATAAGTGGTAAAATATAGAAAGAAATACAAATTGTACGCTTAACAAACCTCCACTAAGTTTGAGATAAGATGTAGGTTCCCGAGGGTTGGCAGGACAGAACCCATTCCCATTCCGCACGTGGGCTCGCTCTCTGAACTCCAGCGCTGTCACCTGGAGAAGGAATGTGTGAGAAAGCAAATTGATCGAAATTGCATAGCTCGGGAAATTAAAGATCTAGTACTATTCACTGTGATTGTGTTCAATTATTTGGTTATTCAGGGACACAAGACATACAAGGAGAAACATTTAGAACACGTCATTTCAATTTAAAGAACCCTTCACAGCCCACGCTCGTGACGATCCTTCTAAACTTCGTTTGAAGTGTTGGTAAATTAGCTGAAATTTGTTAAAAGGATCGGTTTATTTGCTGGAATTTGTTGAAAAGTTCAATGTAATCTGTCAGGGCCGTCCAGTTTGCTCGGTATTACACCACAACTTACACTCCTTTACAACCCGTTCTCATATCAAAGTTCCTTGGATTGACTAATTCGAAACACGGAGATTAGTAACCCGTATAACTAATGTCGCTCCAAAATGTAACCCAAATATTGAGAAAGTATGAGTAGGGACCTCCGGCCTCCCAAGCGAGTATATAAAAGAGTACTGAGGAAGCCGTGTCTCCTGTATTGTAATGCAAATGGGTACTTGACATTCCCTGATACAGTAACCTGCTAGTACCCTGCTCTCAGCTCTATACTTCACTACACAGCTACTACAGTCCTGTAAAGTGCACGTGTAGTGGTCTCCTCACCACGCTCACTCGTGCATGACCAACACGAGCCTGGACACTTTATTTAAACGGACTCTAATTTGTACGGAGCTCAGGAGGAGCAGACGAGCTTGTGCAAACATAGAGATCTGGTAAACTTGCTAAATCGAGCTCGCAGGATCAGGAGATCCTTCTCAAATATGAGAGAACTTTTTTAGTGGTTTAATAAGCATAGTTAAGGGCAATCTTTGTGGGGAAAGAGGTGACGTTGAGGTCTGGGCTAGAAAATTCTTTCTTCAAATTAATGAGGTTTTGTGTGTTGCATGGCAGTACCAGTGTTCTTGTGAGTAGCAAGGCGGACTAAATCATCGCTTCAAAAACCGCAGGTTCTAATTAAAATCGTGCGAGTGTGATGGAAGGATGTGAAGTAACCTTTTATCACGTGACCTAACTGTGTTAGATCAGAGCTGGAATGTGTCGGATATAGTTCAGTCGGTGTAACGCAGAGTGGTCCAAATTAATTAGCTTGTAGGTCAACAGTAGTTTAAGTGAGATCTAGGTCTCTGATGAATCACCTGCTCAGAGTGGTTACACACACTCTCAAGTGACTATATTGGTCACGTGACAAAATACACGCTACTCAAGTACGTGAAGTTTGTTTTTAGTTTTCATTTTATTCACATAACGACGGATAATAATTGATGATTCTACACATTCTTTTGTGGTCCACTGAACGACTAATCACTCCCGGGATAGCAACTTTCAATTGAATACCTGGAATTTAATCCTACAAAATCAATTAACCCCGCAATCCTCAGATATACTCTCTTTAAAACACATTAAAATGACCTCCTGATAGATTTGGCCGGGTTCTAACAACCCCTGCTGCACCATGATCAGGTTGCCCCAGTGACATATGGCACTTTACTCGATAACCGCCTCGCACATTGAATACTAATGTCAGGTTAATGCGATTTGGCACCTATCGGGCCGTGCAGGACGACAGTCATCAGCTCTCAGTGTCGACCCTGCTCGGTACAATAACAATCACAGTATTAACATTAGATTAGATATAGTGCGGAGAGAGGGAGGGAGGGCGTGAATATGGGTGGTCACGTGATCTGATTTGATTGGGAGATGGGACTACAAGTAGTCCTTTGTAGGGGTGTGCTACCGGGGTAGGTGCTGTATCATCAGCAGGGGTGAGCTGTGCGTCTTTCCGGGATTAACGCAAGATTGTATGACAGTTATATTGTCATGTAACGACACATTTGCATTATATATAATACGGTGTTGTAATTTGATTGGGAGGTTCGGTTGTTTGGGAAACAACCAAGCGGGGATTGAACAGCATAACTATAAGCCCCAGGAACCATATTCAGGCTCATTTCACAGGAGTTGGGGAGTGTGTTAAAGTAGGTACTCAGGGAGGCAGTTAAAGGAGGTTACAGCGATTAGTTTGGGGATACAGACGGAGATTTTCAGTTTAAAATAGTTAGTAATGGTACCAAACACAGATAATTTCTAAACTTCGTAGAGATTTCCTAATTCCTAAGTAGTTGGATTTTTCGTGTTGCCGCTAAATTTATAATAACATAAACCCGCCACGCAAAGGGTTTATATTTAACAGATCATCCCGCGCTAGCGGGATGATCTGATAAACACATACGAGTGCGCGCAGCGCACGAGTTTTGTGTTAATATGTAATCCCGAAGCGCCAGCTGAGGGATTACATTTATTTAGCCCTGAGCGTGAAGTGTTTATGGATTATAATTATCTCCGGCGATTTCGACAAGGGATTTATACTTTAGAAGAGAGTGATAAAATACGATTGGAAAGCAGTTCATCAATCTGAATGTCAAACCGATCTGTCATAGTGGAGCAATAGCTTGATCAACGTTAGCAGGAACAAGAGCTGGAAGGAGAGCAAGCAAAACAATACTATTTTTAGGGCACGGACAAGGGTAGCTGGCTAGTCGCCAACTTCTCACGCCACGCGTTGGAGAAATTCCAAGAATTAGCTGCTTTGGCAACGTTCCCAGGAATTTGCGTGTAAAAGAAGTGGACGGTTACGATGTTTCATATCACGTGGTGCGCTTTCGTGTCACGTGGTATAGACTCGGCGTATGCTATTGGTGGCACGTGGTACGCACGTGACGCGCCCACGTGATCGCGCGTCTAACTGTTCTACTATTATCGAGTTCTAATCAGCAGTATCATTGATTATTGTAAGTCGGAGAATTGAATGATAAACATCAGTTACGACTAAAAAGCGGGCCGGGTTTATACAAATTTCCGGGGCGGGATGATATCACCTTGAGATGTTTATCTAACAGCGGGCCGGGCTGAGTGATAATATGATCCCGCGTCGAAATCCCGGAGATATTTATATTATCCTCACGTGGCCCATGGATTGCGCCCTCTTTGGCCCGATATTATGATTTAATAACAAAACAGTTGTTATACTTCTGTGAGGGCCAGAGATACCTCACATAGGGTTACAGATACCTCACATCAAGTTAGAGATACCCCACATAAAGTTAGAGATACCCCACATATTATGAATGATTATAGTTATTTAACTACATTCTTTGCCAACACCACGGCTGGCAGCCTTGGAACCCTGTTTACCGCTCAACTACATTTCTCATACCTTTAAGGGGGCAGGGGGGGGGGGTCTTTATAAAATTTCTCTCGAAATTGATTTTATAGTTGTTTCTGATAGAGGGGAGTGATACCTAACAGATATTTTTGGTCCCATGGAAAAATTTTGTTCCTAGCCGAAATTATTGCCGGTCAAAGGTCAGCGTTCATGTGTAATTGTATTGCGCGAGCGATTTTCAATCGCGCGCCCTGAAAATCGAGTCTAAAAATCTATCTCCTCCTACATTTTTTGAGCAATCACCTTGAAACTTTCAGGATATGTTCTAAGGACCATTTAGAAACTTTTGCTCTTTTTAGAATTTCGAGATAGGCCTTTTAAAATTTTTTATTCGATTTTGAAAATCTTGGACCTGAAAAAATCGTCAAAAAACGAGGTCCAAGATTTTCAAAATCGAATAAAAAATTTTTAAAGGCCTATTTCGAAATTCTAAAAAGAGCAAAAGTTTCTAAATGGTCCTTAGAACATATCCTGAAAGTTTCAAGGTGATTGCTCAAAAAATGTAGGAGAAGATAGATTTTTAGACTCGATTTTCAGGGCGCGCAATTGAAAATCGCTCGCGCAATACAATTACACATGAACGCTGACCTTTGACCGGCAATAATTTCGGCTAGGAACAAAATTTTTCCATGGGACCAAAAATATCTGGTAGATATCACTCCCCTCTATCAGAAACAACTATAAAATCAATTTCGAGAGAAATTTCATAAAGACCCCCCCCTGCCCCCTTAACCGCATATCATGATACCGCGTCACATTCCCCAGACTGTGTCTCAGTAAACCCCTTGAATATGCACGAGTGCTGCAGTTCATTGAAGCGCACAACACATACCAGACTCCAGAGTCTATGAATTGAACGATGTAAGAGAGTATCACACAACAAGCCAATGACTTGCTTGATGATACAATTAACATTCTTAACCTGGCAATGTAATTCTGACCAAGAGTTAAGTAGGTAACCATAATCATGAATTATAATAACAAAAAGTTCGTGCCAGGCACCAGGAGGGGAGCCATGAACTGTACATAGTTCCAAATCAAGAGATTACATCGCTTAAATTCTATTTAATTTGATCTCCCACTCTCTCTCCCCCCAACTTTTACCTGTTGAATGTTGATGGAGCAATGCACTTCCAAGTTGGAATCATGATCTTTTTAACTGACCCTTACCGGCATCATTGAGCATAACGCTGTGGCGATGGTGCGAGATCTGATGCCTCATTACTTATTACATTACAGATCATAACTCTTAAAACAGAGCACACCTCACGATCACTCTCTAGTTTTACGTTTCCAATAAAGTTCACCGCAAAAGGGAGCACCAGAGGGAGAGAGAGAGAGAGAGAGAGAGAGGGAGTCAGGTAGGAGAATGTGAGGACACCTTGACTAATGATGATAATATCTCGCGAGAAACTCAACACTTCACCTGCTTCAATTTGATAATATCAGCGATCACCGTGTTAAAATTCACACCTGAATCATCACGTGGTTCGTTAACAATCGCATCTAGATATCATCTCTTAACGAGATCTAGATATCATCTCTTAACGAGATCTGCAGATACTGGCCCTGAGGTGAGATGATGTAATCCCAATCCTCATCAGCGCAAATGAGATTTACTGTCAACCGATAATTTGAAACGCGATTCATCGGCCAATCGCAATCGTGTGTCACATGAGATCAATTTTGATTCAAATCATAATGGAACTGCTGATTTTATTATTAAGAGAAATATTTCTAACGCTCTATTTCTTTGATTCATATCTCTGACTATCTTGAAGCGTAAAAGACATCTGACATTGTAATTTAGAGCCTTTGAAGCGAACTGAACGACATATGCAGAGAGATTGATCGCGAATGACGCGGAGAGAAATTTCGTTTTAAAATTAACCGTTTATATGATATGAGATGGTCACAATATTAAGGTTCCTTCAGCTTTAGATTTTTGATCTGTCAACTTGAAAGCATGGTCAAGCTCTGCCAAGTTGCTATGCATAAGATGTCGTCTCCCCTATATACAACGCGAACGTCGAGTCTTGCTTTGAACTTTAAAGACGATTGCTCAATCCCAGAGTTTTATACAGACTTTCCAGGAATTTATGTACACATAAAGCTCGAACATTATGATATAATCCCAAAGTTTAGGGTTTATTACCCGAATGTAAGTTGCGAGAATTTGGTTTCCTAGTTCTAAAAGTGCATGATGATACTGTGAACATATTTTCTCACCGATTGCCGAGCTTGGGGAGGCAGTCTACTTCCGGTATTTAAGCAGACATCCCTCATTTTACACAACACAACACATCACAACACAGCAGTACAGACTCGCTAACAACAGGGCACTTCACGCCAACTTCTGGTCACAAACCACGAGGCCTCCACATTTTCATCATATCTTTTACACTTTATTATAATTACTATTTTTGTCAAGTCAAGAATTTCTGGTTGGTACAGAATGTTCCAGATGAAACTGCCGCCCTACCTTAGGGATATCAGGACAGGCTAAGATGTCACCTCTTTAGACGCTATGAAACATTAGTACCCACGCCATTGTCAGCCGGTGGTAGTTTTTGAGGTAAATTGGACACTTGATATGATCTGACAAGATTGACTACAGACTAGACTTTAATTGGGGGTCATTAAGGCAAACTGTGGAATTGTTCACGTTTAACACCTGCGGAAGTGGTACTTTGTGTTCCTAATGAGGTTGTAATTAACGAGAATGTAATTAATTGCCGCCTCTAGATCTTGCTAAGAATCACAAAAGATGTAGAGCCGAGGTGTAAAGTGTAAAGATGACCAGCAATCCACAGGAACTATTGAGTCCTTACTCATAGTCGTGTTGACGGGTTTGAATTGGGTACACAAATTACTGTGATTCTCACTTGTACTATAACTCAAAATCCTTTATTCATATCTTAACCATGTGGCTAGAACCTGCCTTAAAAACACCTAGTAAACTGTTGAATCTACACCATTATGATACGTCTCAAAAATAGTCATTATGTCCGCCTTTTTGTCTACACCATATCTTCTAAATCTTACTCCTACAGCGTACATCGAGGAATCAAAAATAGAACAGAGCTCTTTTTCATTCGTCGTTAGATCACTAGATCAGGTGTTAAGTGTAGCACTAGCACAATAGAAACCGTTTCATGAATCATGTAACACTAACAGGGATACAGCGTTGAGTAACAAGATCACAGCTGAGGGGAGTGGAGACGAAGGTGGAGATTGTCCTTTAATGTTAGCAACTCTAAAAATAGGCAAATTTGGCGCATTGGTCTGAACTCCTACAGTTTTAAGGGGAAGGTAGAGGGTAATGATGATGATATTTGGTGGTGGAAGAATGCCAGCTGTTTCGCACGTGCATCGCCTACCACCCCAGAGGAATTATTCGCACAGATACAATTAAACCTTCCAGGACCTATATAATAGTGGTCGTGAGGCTAGGATAAGGTAAATTGGCAGTGAAACTAAAACCTCAATATCAACAACTCGGCCTGGCCTCTTGAAGTGAGTACCACTACAACCATGAGAAGCAGGTGGGTTTATCTTCACATATTGTCTACTTCTTGAAGTTTGAACACAACAAAACGGCCTCCGCCACTCTAGTTCTTGTCTCGCTCAGGACTCCCCTCCCTCTACAGTCTACACCCTGTTCCAAACCTGCCATCATTAGCACACGGCGGTGCACTTTCCAGAACCTCAAATTAGACGCTGGACGACTACAGATCTCCGGCGCGCGTTTTAATGCCAGATATAGTACAATACCACATTGTATAATATTCTTAACTTTAGACACACCACGCTCAACTCATATTATTATATCACTCTCAAAGCCTTTATGTCCGTGATATATCCCGAAATATCCCGGTCTTTCTGGCCGGAATATCTCTACTTTGGAGCTGAACTCCTGGTGTCCTGTTAGAAACCAATTATCGGGACGATTAAGACAAGTGGAGGATGACAATACTGGTGATAGATATTAGATAATACAGAACTATCACGTTCAGCCAGCACTGCACCCGTTATGTATAATTTTAGTCGACGAGACGAGTTCAAATCTCAATAGATATTATGTAGTGCTCTCTCTCAGTTAGAAATCCAGGGTGGTAGAGGAGGTGAACTAAAATAGAGGAGGTTGGAGACTCGAGATGAGGAGAAGGAGGGTAACGATCTGGTGAGATGGGTATTTTATTGGAACATCACGTGATCATATCATTAGTAATTTAGACATAATTTTAATTGCACTAGATCAGGTACCTGGCGATGGGATGAATATGACGAACGATCATTGATCACATACATTACCGTCTAGAGTGTTTAATAGATCATTATTGATAAATGGCTTGTTGGGTATTTTTTTACTATGAATATAATAATAATAATAATAACTGAAATTGATACATCGCTTTATAGCAAAAAAGAACTCAAAACCCAAAGATTCAGTTCAAGCCATCTAAAGCAACTCATGAATATGTACATAGTCATAAGAACTTATTTTTATGAAGTATGGGTTTTATGAGAAAATTATTATATGTTACTTATATGAATGCTTTATATATATTTAATAACCCACATGAAATACTCTCGGAAATACAGAGGTACTAGAACATAGCAAGATTGTATATTATTCCTCTGATTAACACCCAGAAAATCGCTCAAAGTTTCTACGGTGATCTACATAATATTTTGTGTAAGGTGCTCTGAAATGTGTGCTGAAGTACAGTTCACACATACTTTTAATTCACCCTAATTTTCAGCTACATTCTAGTCCAGGAACATGATGTAGCTCAACTATTGTAGACGGTGGAGAGATGTGTATATTATTGTCAGTTAGAGTACAATTAACAGTCAATCAGGGAGCGAGCTGGGGGAGATGCAGCCCTACAACTACTGTAGGATGTGGGTCTACCAGGCTAAGCGGAGACATTGCTTGTATCATGTCTCCAGTAATCCTGGTCAAGGAGATAACTTCCTCTTTTATATAATCAACATTATTTATCAAAGTTTCTCGTTTCGGTTTTCAGCCAGGACAACGAAAACAGCCAATCTTGTAAATTTTTGCTTGATATGCCGCACTGAGCCAAAGTGAAAAGTAGTTAGAAAATAGAAGTACATATGTCTAGCAGACATGTTGACTTGTCGCGACCGTACCACAACACTTCCCCTCCGGCCACTGGTTGGAAAGTGTACGTGTATTATTATATGTTGTGTAGTGAAGAGGACCTGAAGATCAAAGGTCATCCATCCCACGCGCGTGCGATTTATTGGACAGAACTACAGAGGAACTTGCGCCTTTGAACTTGTACATTTTTTAATTTTGACAAATTAGCAGTGCCCTCTTGGTTTGGGTGTTTCAAATATAACCTGGCAAATCCAACTAGACTAACAATGCTGAGGAACAGTTTACCCTCCCCGTGACAAATTGACGCTGTGTTAGGTAATTTCCCTTTGTAGATATAGAACAGGACGTCTTACAAATCGACACAGAAAAAATAACAAACCAACAGAATTAGAGAAAAATGAGAAAATATTAGAGAAACGTTTAAAGATAAAACTTACTGTTCTGACATCGCACTCGGGAGCAAAACCCCAGGTACCACAGGACATTATATCAGTTTCTGAGAGCATGAGAAGCACTTTGTAATAATTCTGGCAATCCTCCTGAAATATAATTATGTTAATTATGTTTCAAGTATTGAATATCATAATTATAATTTTAATGGTACATTCAAATTGAATATTTTGTTTAATTTCTCAATTTTTGATCAATCATTAAAAAATGTAGCTCCAAAACTACAATGGGTTCGTGCTTGTAAGTTTATCATAATATTGTGATCTTTAATAATAGTATGATATCGCTACAACAAGCTGCATGGATTGATGATTCTAACAATGCACTGAGTGTAATGCACCTGAGCTGGGTGCTGCACTATTGTACTACTATTTATATCCTATCTCCATTAGCTAAATTTAAAGGCACTAACAATAACTTCACACAAGCATACACATAAGCCCAACAGGAAACATGTTCCAAGTATGTTAAGTATGTAGCTCCCTCTCTATCACCACTTCAAAGAACATTAGCGGCACATATTATACCCATAATTCAAAATGTGCTTCACATATCCTTGAGGTATCTGGTATAGCCTAAACAAATTACACAACATGTGACATCAAATAGTAGAACGTGTAACGTGAGTTTAAGATTTAGATTTGAAATTAAACACGTTGGGTTTTTTAAATGTATATACTGGTAACTTTTCTGGGAGATTTGTTGTAATCGTAAGATCAGTTTATAAAACTTGAATTAAATGACTCACTGTCTTTTTAAAGGTTTAGAGTTCACAATTTAACCACGTCTATTTATCATGATCTGTTCAAATGAATCCACTCTAAAGGATTGGCTAGCCGAATATAGCTAAATCAGCTCTGTCAAAAACATGATAAAGTTTCACCCATTCTTTTAACTCGCTAAAACTCGTGAATACTGAAAGCAACACTTTTTGCGCAGACTAATATGGTTCGCCTGTTCAAAGATAATGGGTTCAATTTTAAGGAGCTCAAACATGCTGACAAACTTAGATTCACTAGTTCTAGAAACTTCCATAAACTTCTGAGAAACTATGTTTCAAGGGATGGTTTAGAACTGACATATTGCAATCTACGACTACTTAACATGTTTTATTGAAGATGATAACTTAAAACACGTTTTATTGAAGCTGAGAGCTTAAAACACATTTTATTGAAGATGAGAGCTATAACTAAAAACAAACAGATCTGTTCTGATGTTGGGAACACTGCTTTTACTCTTTTATTAGAAAGTGATATGGTAAAAAGAGCTGAAGTGTACAATTCCTGGGATACCCCAAAAAACATTCCACAATGCCCACTTTGTCAGAGTAGATTAAAAATAACAGAATATTCCGGAGCCGGAGCCCCTTAGGGCCGCTACATGTGCCCTACTATTGTACTACACAATCTACTATTACATTATAAAGTTTCATCATCATCATAATATGATATCCTTCAGTCATCGATAGAAAATAACTGTACAGTTTGAGGCCAATTAATCGAGCTGATCTCCGAGCTGATTAATGAGGGAACAAGCAGATAAGTTAAAGTCACGTGACATCACGTTATAAAGCAGTGTAGTGTGACGGTAACCATATAAGGGCATGTCATGTGAGGTAAGCCAAGTTTACGATAAAAGACTTATTCACGAGGGAACATGTCATAGTGTCGGTAATGAGATTGGGAGATAATAAAGTCACGTGATACGCCGACAGGTCACTTGACGTGATTTCAAGCAAATTCATTGGCTGAAGAGAGGGTTCCGTGGTTATGGATTATATAAGTCAGCTGATGTTGAGAAATAAAACTTGAGCTGTTTACGTAAACATGCAGCCCGCTTATCTCTGACAGACCAGTGTAAGTTTGTGCAAGACAGTGAGATTAATTGGAATCCAATCAGTAACCACGCAGTATGACCAGGATATCAAGTGTTAATTTGTTACGGTCTGTTAATGATAGTTGGGTGGAGCATCATCAGTGTGACCCCTCGCTGATCAGGGAGCTAATCACTAATTAGAATTTCAAGTAATGATATAATGAAGATACCGGGAGTATGAAATATCTGGGACAAATGCACGGTGTAGTCTCCATTATTACTATACTATAGATCTGAAACATTCAGAAAATGAGCTCACCTAGACCCTGTAGTTATTAATAGAAATGACAGATATTACAAGTGAACCCTGTGCAATCAGGCGATTAACCGGAGATAGCTGAGTAGACTTCAGAGACAATGGACCATACAATTTGTCCTGATCGGTTCAGATAGGAAACCTTTAAACGTTGAGAAGTATCTAGATACAACTGTGGGGGGATTGTAGGGTTTCACTGGTTATGCTGACGAGGTGTTTGGCGAATTAGACCGAGTTTCATGAAAGCAATCACTATGATTGAGTGTGCACCCACTGGGCTTGATCGGCGTGTATTGGATATGGTGTGATTGTACGGCATGAGATTGCCAATATTTTAGTAGGAGATTTGTGGGTATGATATGAGATTGCCAATATTTTAGCAGGTGATTTGTGGGTATGATATTTAATAAGATTGCCAATATTTTAGCAGATTTGTAAGAAAATATACCTCAATTCGTCCCTCTTCCATACACTGTTCAACTCTTGCCTCCAGCTGATCCTGAAGTGGATTAGAGTTAAATCATTTGAATCATATATCGTAACCATTTAATGGTACAACTCAAATGATTGCCTTATATAATTCTATCATAATCTGAGAGGCAAACGACCGGCATTTTCTGTCGTTTAACTGCGATTTGGAGTCACTTATCCCAGAGAACAGCATCACGACTTGTCATCTATTCCCATATATTCTTAATAAACCTTAAACGATCATAAATTGGGTTCTCACATAACGGTAAAAATGACAGTTTTATATAAACTGATTGGAAAGGTTGGAAAATAAACCGGCGGGAGCTTGACAATTGTCCTGCCGCTAAATCATGTTAAGCTACAAGCCGAAAGTTATATAATATCGGAGAAGCTTTCCAGCATGATGCAGTGATGTCAACCGTTTTTAGTCGGTACTGAGCAGACGTGCAGCAGTCTGCTTTACATTGGTAGAAAATATGAAAGTTAATAATGTAACCAGTAATCCGATTAAGAGGTACACTAAGTCTTACCCTAGACAGGCATGGCAAATAGAAGTTTAATGAATCAAATGAGATCAAAAAATCTTGTCATTTGCGCGGATACGCATTGAAGGGAGCCTCTGTTACACCATATTATTCCATCACATACCGGGAATCATTTTCATTAATATTTACATGGTAAATAATCGCACATTAATATGGTTAGTGCGTAGCAGTGGACTTCCTCAGATATTGCTATGAATTTAGTTGGCAAAATTGTACTGTAATGGTTTTTACGATAGCTATTAGGGCTACATAATTTAGTTAGTTGACGTATATCCAATTAAGGATGTAACCAGGTGCTAAATGACGACGTATTTTACAATGGTTTTGAAATCTCTATAATAATCCGATATAAAGAAGCAAAATGGTTATATATGGAAATTTTGATGAGCACTAATAAGATATTTGACATCTTTCACGATGAATGATAAACGTGGCACTCAGGTGCCAGTCTTTGGGGTAATAGAAGTGTTTCCATCTTTATTGACTAATATCAAAGCATTGTTACTCATTTTGCCGCTGGAGTGGCATCTAATTTCACCACCATACAAATAGTAAGAGAAACATAATTCTCAGCCCGGGGAGTAATGGGTTTATCAGGTAAAATTAGGGTAATCTAAACAGGGACTACTGTCTGGGCGACCTGCTAACTTATCTGAGTGTCACCCAATCTTGTTTTTACACCTCACCACAGGATCACAATGTACAATAATCAAAAGCAATCAGAATTTTACACCTCCAATCTAACACCCTCTTAGAGGGGAACTTGATAAGCGTGATTTGATTAGTATGAGGTCTCTCCCCTGCTTTTCAGGAATCCTATATTATAGAGGGATAGAAATAATTCAAAATCAGGTCTGTTTTGAACCAGAATTTGAGTTCAGTGTAATCATGCACTGGATACAGATTTAGGTCTTGATGGCATCGATGGTATCTGAGTTGAAAATGTAAGGACTTTACTTACAGATCCGTCTTTGTAGGAGGTATGTGTATCTGTTAGCATATCGACTGAATGTATGGTGTTCCTGAAGAGGGGTATCAGTTAGGTCCCATAAAATTTAACATCGAGAATCGAAGCATTATTTTGCAGTTTTGAAATATTCAAGTTAATGGTGGTTTCATGAAACGGTAATTGGGTTTTGTCATATATGTATAATGCATGAGCGGGAAAAACGTTCTTTGTATGGAAGATTTGTCTTTGTAGCGCCATGTTGGAATTAACATGGCTTTAATTATAATATTGGACCAGGTCTCAGGGCGGGGCACAGGGCAGACCTGTGTCCAGTTGGCAGGAATGTACCCTGACGAAAAGTCCACGCGCACAGACTAAAATTTGCCCTTATATCAGCCATTGTGCCCACCCAATTTCAATTTGAGTTATCGTTTAGTTAGGTCAGAATGAGGCAGTCTGTGTCCATGGGAAAATTTTAACTGTCTTTTTAGCATGGACAATGGTGCGGCGTCTCAAATCTCACCACTGAACTGGAACCAGACACTGCGAACAAGCGTAAGACAGGTCTCACGCGGCGATACTTGTGACCAGCGCAACATATTAGCCACTATTGTCGAACAATTACTAGAAGAATTCCTTGGTGCAGGGTTCACTTTAGGGGCCGCTGGAGTAGCTGGCACAGAAGTTTCGAGAGTTTTGATTGGGCGCGCATGACATGCCTTCGTCCAATGAGCGTATTGGGTGTCTCTAGTTGGGGTGTTCTAAGATTAGGATGTAATTGTAGGTGTGAAATATCACAGGTTTTGCTAAATAGAATTATTAGATCAAAGATACAAGGTGAGCTGTTTCAGGATTATTACATAAACAGGCCTCGTTATCAGCAGTAAAAGTAACTCTGATGATAAACATGCGCCACCAGGCGTCTAAGTCATTTTATTCCAACCGGGAAAAGAAGCCCTTCATTCATACCTTTTCAGATATGAATGATGCAAAGTATATTTTGAAGGTTTCGCGAATGCGCGGATGTTTTTAAAGGAAATGTCAGACAGCTTCCTTTCCCGGTTCCCACCCTTCTAATTTAATTGACCGCGCAGTTGATGCACACTAATAGATTTTATTCAATCAAGTCTGATGTAATTGCTGTTTTGTAAGATAAGACACTGCAACATATCATCAAGTCACAGAGGCGAGTAAGGAGCGTCATCTCTAAAAAGGTTCCAAAAATTACCCCGCACCACCATACCTGTTACCTTTCCGCAGTGACGCAACCGCGTAATATCCGTTAGCGATACATATCAGATATGAGGTTAAACGACAATTTGCAAGGATTCATGGTGCCAAATCGGTGCTAGATTGCCAATTGCGTCACAATGCAAGTCGCGTTAATGTTAATGAAACATTACAATTGCCATGTTTACTAGGCCACGCGTAATGATATGTCTTCGCAATTGCAGACTTCGGAACCTGTGGCCGGCTACTTGGTATATTTAGGGGTGTCGTAGGGTGCTAAATCTGGAAACGGTCTAAATAGCGGGCTTCGTTAAGGTGCGCGTAATGACCCCGGAAAATTGGTTACTTTGAGTATGCTTATGATGACATGAAATATGAATAGTGCTTGTATGTAATGACATCAGTTAACCTTCATTATTGGAAACTCAAATGGGGTCAAAAATAAATAAAGTTCCTGATTATCAACATTTAGTATACATTTTAATTAAAATGATAAATTAGTCATTAGCAATGCATAAGCAAGTTATAGATAATAAAGAGGCACATTTTAAATAATATAAATGGATTTAAATTCAATACATTTTATTTTATACTGTACAGCACAATCATGAAACAAATGCTATTTTTTCTTCAAATTTGTTAACAATGATAATATGATATGGAGCTGTACAGAACTAATATAATGATATAGTTATCTAATATAATGATATAGTTATCTAATATAATGATATAGTTATCTAATATAATGATATAGTTATCTAATATAATGATATATTAGTTATCTGAAACATACCTGCTGTACAGAACCAATAATATAGTTATCTGAAACATACCTGCTGTACAGAACCAATAATATAGTTATCTGAAACATACCTGCTGTACAGAACCAATAATATAGTTATCTGAAACATACCTGCTGTACAGAACCAATAATATAGTTATCTGAAACATACCTGCTGTACAGAACCAATAATATAGTTATCTGAAACATACCTGCTCTACAGAACCAATAATATTGTTATCTGAAACATACCTGCAGTACAGAACCAATAATATAGTTATCTGAAACATACCTGCTCTACAGAACCAATAATATAGTTATCTGAAACATACCTGCTGTACAGAACCAATAATATAGTTATCTGAAACATACCTGCTCTACAGAACCAATAATATAGTTATCTGAAACATACCTGCTGTACAGAACCAATAATATAGTTATCTGAAACATACCTGCTGTACAGAACCAATAATATAGTTATCTGAAACATACCTGCTCTACAGAACCAATAATATAGTTATCTGAAACATACCTGCTGTACAGAACCAATAATATAGTTATCTGAAACATACCTGCTCTACAGAACCAATAATATAGTTATCTGAAACATACCTGCTGTACAGAACCAATAAAATAGTTATCTGAAACATACCTGCTGTACAGAACCAATAATATAGTTATCTGAAACATACCTGCTGTACAGAACCAATAATATAGTTATCTGAAACATACCTGCTGTACAGAACCAATAATATAGTTATCTGAAACATACCTGCTGTACAGAACCAATAATATAGTTATCTGAAACATACCTGCTCTACAGAACCAATAATATTGTTATCTGAAACATACCTGCAGTACAGAACCAATAATATAGTTATCTGAAACATAATTGCTGTACAGAACCAATAATATAGTTATCTGAAACATACCTGCTGTACAGAACCAATAATATAGTTATCTGAAACATACCTGCTGTACAGAACCAATAATATAGTTATCTGAAACATACCTGCTGTACAGAACCAATAATATAGTTATCTGAAACATACCTGCCGCCTAAGATGAGGGTATTGGAAGTGACAAATAGCATTGACATGAACATTGCACTGTCATCGTAGTACTGGTTACAACCCTGGCAATCTGAAAATGGTATACCTTTAAACCACGCTGGGTGTGGGAAATGGCTTCCCATAAGTTTGAACATTCATTCATTTTATTACCTTACAAGGTCTGTTGAAGTTGCAGAACAAACCTTTAAACCCAGTAATCTGATCAAGCAATTACTTCAAGTTAAAAAGTAAACACTGTATTTAGGTTGTCTAATAGTTTGAAATGTTATGCTTAATAGCCTTTTGGTCACGTTGTTATTCCATCTCTATTCCCTATACGCAAATAATCATATCACAAGCTGATTTGATAAACCCTTTATTGCTTCAAGTGGTCGCATATTATGCAGGCGTCTGTGTAATTTTTGTCATAAATATTTGATGCTACCTTATAAATTTAGTCATTGGTTAGGAAAAACAAATTAAATATCCCGCAATTTCAACTGTAATCACTTTATGGCGGTATGAAGATTCAAGCACCAAACATCATGATCCCCATTTTATTTACACAGGGGTCCCCACGAGTCTCTGAAATAGATCCACCTTGGTATATGCTTTAATACGTCGCAAATTAGTTCAGGTGTAATGCTCAAAGCGGGTTGGGAGTCTGGTGTCTGAATGTAATGTTCCAGTCACCGTGAGCTGTTCCTTGTGTTACACAGGATTCACATATCAGTCATTTCGAGTGTGATGTTTTCTAAATTTCTAGCATACCAGACAAACGGACATTTAAAAAACTTGGTCTCTCTTATAACACCGGAAAGAATAGAAATGATGGTGCAGTTTCATCCGAGAAAAGGATGACGCTAGATTCTGACAGATTCTGCGGAAGTATTTGAATATATTTTTGCTTGGTTTACTCAAAGCGGACGAGGAAATTTGTAGAACCTGTCAGAAAAACAAGAACTAGCGAGTGTAAAACCGGGCGTGTACCCTCTCAGAGGAGTACACAGTTGCAGCAGTTGTGGGAGCACAGATATCCTTTGATCTATGACACTGATGTGTGAGCAACTTATGATCGTTTATAAATACAGTTACAGCTTCAATATATTATATAGTTATAGTTTCAACACACACTCGGAATCCTTTTGTGTCCGACATTTCCAATAACCAGCTTAACTTAAAATTGTACCGTTCAATGATCTCAATTGCTAGCACCAAGCCCGCCCAATTAACCTCAACCCTAACGTAGCAACATGATTACAGTTAACATTGATACTAGAGATTTCCGGGTGGGTTCGTATTGCAAGACAAGGTTAAAACGAGGGTAGTGTGGTACAGGGAAAAGGTGATTAAGAATGTTGCGGTATTGGGCTGTCAAACTAGAGGAGTACTTGTGCAGTTGACTAATCCCGTCTACTGTCTAGAAATACTATTGTGTAGTTTATTTAGCTACAATTCACTAATTGGCTCAATATACTCTGTCTTCATGTGTTAGCCAGACAGAATAACTGATTCGGGAATCAGGGTGGTGGTTGGATAAAGTCTCAAAATACCCGTTACGTTTCAGAAAATGTTGTTATTCTTCAAATACGAGATATTTGCAGTAAAACAGTTGAAAGTGTTGGCTTTAGGGGCCTTGTAAATTTAGTAGTACAGCGTTTGAGTAGACTTTTACTGTGGTTAATTCAAGTAGGGTGGTACTGTTTGGTATTCTTTACAAAATAGCAATTAATACAACCGAGGGACGTGGACATGGTCGAGTCTTATATCCTGGCTAAAGGGTAGTTTTTATATTAATTTCATAATTTGATGAAACATGCAAAAGGGCTCCATGCCACAACCTTCAGGGGTCAATGCCTACTTTAATTTCTAGGTATAAAAGAAATCCGCAAAGCCAAATATATATTATATATATATATTATAAAATATAAAGTTGGCACTTCAAGTTGAACATAGTTTACGCTGACAGTATTTTGATCGAATACAATCAAAATACTCGGCTAAGTTGTCAAAGTGGCCATCACAGTATTAATGTAACCCATCAGAATCTAAGTACAATTTATGATTGTTCTATCAACCTGGTGACCTTGCTTTGACAAGTTGCCCCCTAATACTAATAGAAACGTTAAATATTCTCCCTCTGCTTCGTGATTGAGCACAAATTAAATGTCAATTTGTCAGAGCTTCAATCTAATATCATGTTAGGTTAGCCCCAAAGTAGTTGGTTCATCTATTAGACAGCATGTTATGGAGCAGAACTATTTACTTCAATATTCTCCCTTTTAGAATGACCATATGATTATCTTCATTAAAGTTGCACAATATTTAAATATCATGTATATATCAATCAATGGTTAAAGCTAAGATTGTTCATTTCACATTTCCCGGCTAAGAAGTCTAAATATGTTCATCACATTTGTTTTACCCTACCATGTCCTTAGTAAGAATGTAGAGAACACACACTAATTACAACATGGACACAAAAGGGCTAATCTTCTACACAGTAGCTGTTCAATAATACCAGGTAGAACCTTAATTGAATGAAACAAAGTACTCCAGCTTTATAAACTAATTGAGAACCATCCTATGTGGTCCCGAGATATCGAGCTCGACACACACTCGCATAGTACTACAAAAAGACAGAGCGTTGAGTACGAAACAATGGTGCATATTTTGACTGAAAATTTGAGAGTTCAAGTGTTCTTGAATAGCTTTTGCAATAATTTCCACATCTAAAATCTATGTTTCCCTCCCCTTGTAGACTTGAAATATTTAAACTATGTATCGTTTATGTTAGCACAGCACTACATGGTATATTGTAACGGGTTCTGTCAGTGTACACAAGTTGAAAATTGGGCCCTAGTTTGCGGTTTCCTTAGTCCGGTGACAGAAATGTCACGTGACTGAAACAAGTGGTCTAGAGTGAAGAGTCCTCGCTGTGCTGCAGCGAATCACATTAATTGAAACAGGAAATGGGTTACATCACAATTACAAGTTATGATACTAGAGTAAACAAAAATGGGCAGAAGTTATAGTGCTAATTGAAGATCTTAACTTACCATAATCAGTGAGTTGCAGCCACCTCTGCAGACCTGTGACACATCCACAGCCGACCAGTAGTAATAACCATGTAAGTGATCCCATCCTAGAAATGATATTATAGCAAACTAAAAATTGAATTGTTTATGCTTTATTCCTAAAATCACATGATTATTTTGAGATATTAAACAACCTGCTCTCTAATGAAATATTTACACAGAACATGAACAGTACTCTGACTAGTTTCCTAGTCAAATCAACCCAGTGAGCACTGAGCAGAAATTCACATACCAAGAAATTATAGCATCAAGACCTATAATTTTTTAGCAGGCCCCTTATGTAGAAGTTAGAAAACGGAAATACATTTCATACCCACAATCGATAATGTAAAAAACCAATATCCACGACATTAAATGAAAAGCCCATAACAAATTTCAAATGATGAAAAATTAAATTTGGCATCTAACCCCAAAATATGAGAATTAAATAGACAATTCTGATTAAAACTGCTCGTGTCTTTGAAAGTTTAAAGAGAGAATAAGAGTATCAGGAGTACAAGAAGCTGGGAGTGATTTCCCCTTTTGATTCTTCTGTATTCAAACTGTAATCATATTTTAATTGTAAAAATATTTCAAAGCGAGATTGTAGAAGTATTTCAAGCAAGATTTTTAGTACAAGGCCACTAGGCCATGAAAATACCATGAGACCTAAAGAGCGACACTGATTCAGGCCATCAGTCATCGCTTCAAGATCGAAATTAGGAACATATGATTAGAAGTGGAGTCAGTCATTAAAATATGACCAATGCCAGTGATTCTACGGATTGAATAAAAAAGAAAGAATTGATATCCAACCACATCTATAATAATAATATGATGAATTTAATATTTTGAAATCGTTGACCATCTAAATGAGATTATTAACGTTTAAATGGAAAAAATAAGATTTCAATTAAACGAAAATCAAACAACTATCTTTCTGAGGGACTATTTAAAGTGAAATAAGATATAATTCTTAAAATATATTGTTGTGAGAGGGCCAAGACAAAATCAGGTTTAATAATGGATCATCCTTGGGCGATCTAGGCTTACCAGCAACAGCTAGCAAGGCAGTTGGACCATGGCTTAAGGGATTTGAGCTTCACAAGTCCTATTTCACATTTATTTTGAGTGCCAAATCTCTTCTTAATGCGGTATGCCTATCTTGGTCACTGATAAAAGAATTTAAACAATCAATAAATAATGTATTAAACCGCCGATATGTCTTAAATGCTGATTACAAGTCCCTTAAAACAACCACCAAAGCCATTTATGTCCTAAGATCTCTAGCATATTTTTTAGCGATATCATAGGAGATGAATTCGATCTGTTTTGCAATAGATAACCGATCAAACGTCTTGTTTGAAACAGATTATCATAATTCATAAAAAAAGCAAATAAATCATATGAGGCAATTCGTGCACTGCAACTGATAGAGCAGAAAACAAATTAATCCAATAATACTGAATGGAGTTGGGTTAAAAACATATAAGTGATACGATAGTTTAAGTTGAAGAAGCTTTCAATAAACATGTGTTAACCGTCGTCAGCGGAAAGTGATGTGGTGGACAATGCTTATATGTAATTGAGTGGTGTCAAGGATGGAGGGTGAGGGGTGTTGTGGGTGGGAAAGTAAAAATTACAGTACAATGTCAATAAAAATAAGGAGGAAGAATGTTAGGTTTCTGTTGAGGCTGAGAAGGAAATGCCAGATGGTGTGGACTTTAAGGATTTGGCGATCTTAGGAAGGTTGGGGTCCCAGAGGGAACAACATTTGGGTGCGCGGTCTGTTCTGTTCATGGCTGGTTGTCGGATTTGTATAGCTGCGTGTTCTGTGAGGTCAAGTTCGGAGCGTGAGGTGAGGGATTTGAGGACTTCTATGTTGTTCCAACAATCCAATAATGTTAAAACTGTATGAACGATATCACTCAATCTTTCGTACATGAGTGTGGACAACATTACTTGTAATGACAAGATGAAAACTAAAGATATAAAAGGGAACAGCAAAGAAAGCATCAATACATAAGTGCACAGACACAATCTGTAAGAAAGTGCTCACAACAATCGTATAAAAGAATGTGTGCAGTACATTCAAACAATCATTGTATTCCGACAGTCAAATAACAAATTGTGAGATTCATCCCATCTTTAAAATGCTTAATGCATGACAGATCACTAACGAAAAGTGAAAACAGAACACCTTACCATACAACAGTTATCATATGTGGCAATCGTATATGACCAACAATCCAATAATCAAAGCGGCACATGGACGTTAGGTGATCATACTGGAGCTGGAGAGTATCCATACAACCATCACCAAGTATCACCAACTGAAAAACTTTTCGTTTCATTGAAAACTTTTCGTTTCATTGAATATAAATTCATGTAAATTTTAGAATTTTTAAAAGAAATAGTTTTTTATTAAAAACTTTTTGTATAAAAATGTTGGAGGACTTCGCAGCCTTGACGCGCAAACTAGCATTCTTCAGAGCAACGATCTGAAGGGATTGACATCGTTAATAAAAAAATGATATTTCTAAAATTTTGTTTCAAATAGAGTATCATATTAAATTTGTAAATTAAGAATGCAACTTACTTTACTATGTACAAAAGCGTGTTTTGTGCTTTGGTCGGCGCGCGTACGAACGCGCAGCAAGTTGTATTCGTAGACGGTCTTGCACTTGGAACAAACATTTTACGTGTATCACCCGGCCGTTAAAGGAAAATTACACATCGGGTACTTTTTGTTTTAGGGCTTAAGTTGCATTACCTGGGGACCTCAGGCTATCATGTCCATAAACATAAAATAGATATTAGGCGGAATGCATGACAGGCTGAGCGCGGCCCAGCTCAGTAACCCAAAAAAGCTTACCGGCTGGCCGTGGTACTAGAGGTGGTTGTTTTTCGATGGCACGTGTGTCAGCGCGCGTGACGTAACGTTCACTGCATGATCGCTCGCTCGCTCGCGTGAATTACAATCTGGAGTCATGACAACGACATTTCTTCGCAAAGTTTAAAAGCTGCGATCTTTTATTTAGCCCAAAATCAAACTTTTCGCGATAATTCAAAATCTACATTGTTTTGAATTTGGCTCCTGGGGAGCCTACTTTAGTTTTACGAGACGGACATTTTGTTGAAAACCGGACGTTTTTTTCTCTTTTACTTCCGAAGTTAGGCCCCTAACATGCAGTAAGGTTTCCTGGGCCCAGTTGACACGTAGCAAGGTATTATTAGTCTATGTAATAAGCGCCATGAGCTGGCACAGAATTTTTGTCTCTGATTTTGATAAATTTGGTATTAAAAGTTGCCTCTAAGTGTGAATAATGAAAATTCACCGTGTAGCACGATAACGTCGAGCTGTATGTGGGCCTTTTGTGCATTGCAAGAGTGTACAAAGGACGAAAAATAGGTAATTTATTGCTTAAAATGCCTATAACTCCTAAAATATTGAATTTTTGGAAATAATTCTTTCAGGATCGTAATGAACTTAGTCAGACGCAACTTTTAGTACCAAAATTTTAATTTTTGAAGCACCAAATTTTTCAAAATTTTGTTCAAAATTTCACACAAGGGGGGACCCTTGTGTTCAGATTAAAAATGTTTGAAAATAATTTTCCTTTAAATCTTAAAATATTAGTATTACAAGTTTCGTCTCGATGAGTTTATTACAATGCCATAATAATTATGTGATAATAACTGAAAATGTGAAAGTTATAGGCCAAAAACTAAAAATTTGCGCGAAAAAAGCACGCGCGGCAAACAAGCGCCGTGTAGCATTTTTAGCGAAAATTGCTACACGGTGGATTTATTTTATTCACATTTTTAGACAACTTTTGGTACCAAATTTATCGAAATCAGAGAAAAAAAGTTCTGTGCTCGCGCTTGGCGCTTATTACACTGACTATATCGTTCAAGACTGTAAAGAATCACAAAAGTAGCCGTATAATTCCTCCAAACTTGGATGACTTAGATGAACTGTGAACTAAAGTTAGCCGTTAAAATACAGCTTACACTTTTGACCTTATGATTGGGTCGTTATTCTAAACAAAATTTGTCAAGAAGTGTGGCTCAACGGTCACTTAATCTCACTTAGCGCTCAATTATAGCGACCATGGTCTGCGACTGGCTGCAACAGGTGCATATGATCTGTTACACGAGATATCCTTGTGTTTGGCTTGTACTAGCTTTAATTGGGTATTTCGTCACAAGTCATGCGACTTGTCATGCACAAGTCATGCGACTTGATACATAATACCCAGAAAAGCTTACCGGCTGGCCGTGGTACTAGCGCGCTCACTAAATCGCTCGCCCAAACTTTTTCATTCAACTGCTAACGCGCATTTTCGCATTGGATAAATTGCAAAATTGGTTTGACTATCAGGAGTGCTCGTTCTATCCTTATATATACGTCTTTACGCTTTGCTTCTCGGAGGAAGAAAGCAGCAGTCTCTCTTATGGCATTGTGGCGCATGGAAACGTATCCACCTAGTTTGCAGTCAAGGGCGTGGTAGATACTGTTTACATTTCCACGGGCACATTTAGAGGGCACTCCTTGGATCTTCCTTACAGCCCAATTGTATTTCAATTTTATTACACCTTATTACACCTTATATTCAGTTATTCTATACTTTATATTTGACTATACACTTTACTCGATTAAATTCTGTGATACATGATCACAGGTATGTTAATTTCGACTTCGAGTGATTCAAACTTAAAGTTCATCGCCAATGGCCAATTTGTGCTTTCGTTAACAATTTCAGATTTACTGCCGTGTTTTTGTTGGGTTGACCGTTTTGTGGAAATCTACCGGATCAGGATGACTCAAGCCATTCGTGTCCTACTAAAGCTTCATCAAAACAAGGTACATATATGTACACCTTCATCATTCAACTCCGGCATCTATCAATCACGATTTTTCACTATCAGTGTTTCATACATCTTTAAGCAGTGTCACTTCGTTATAAGCAGCTTTATATCTGGTTTCGATTTTTAGTTACATTTTTGAGGTTTGAAGTGTCGTTTTTTTCATGAATTTGCTGGTTTGTAAAATTGTGCCATTCA